AAATTGATTAATTATATTCTCATGAAAAATTGTGGATTTGGATTGCTTGCAAATTTTCGCCAAAGGGAAAATTTAGTTTTTTTTTAACTTTTTTGCACTGCATTAATTGGGAATCAAATAAGTTGGGAATTTGCCTTATTAAGAACTTTGTACGTATAATGTTCCTTAAAATATGGTGATATATTTTTCACCCACATAAAAAATGGACTTTACCGATTTGTACATTTTACAGAAAATCAGTATACTGATTTTCTGTAAGATACATTAGTATTTACTATATATCGTAAATACTAATGTACAAATCGGTAAAGTCCATTTTTTATGTGGGTGAAAAATATATCACCATATTTTAAGGAACATTATACGTACAAAGTTCTTAATAAGGCAAATTCCCAACTTATTTGATTCCCAATTAATGCAGTGCAAAAAAGTTAAAAAAAAAACTAAATTTTCCCTTTGGCGAAAATTTGCAAGCAATCCAAATCCACAATTTTTCATGAGAATATAATTAATCAATTTTAGTCTAAATATGATTAGTCTAAATACTTATTTTTTCGATATTGCTTTAACCATATACATTTTTGCATGTTGGAATTTTTTTTAAACTCCCATTCCCACGTTGAATTGGGTATTCCGAGTATTTCATCTTTCTTGCATTTAAGTATACTAATTTTCTCTAAAATGTACAAATCGGTGTTAAACTCTGACACATTTTTTTACCAGCGTGGAAAATATGTCATCATACATAATCGGAATTCAATTAATAACAAATCATAACCATCCTAACAATTTAAGGAAGATAACAATACGTACAAATTTTTTAATAATACGGCAAATTTACAACTTATTTAATTTTCAGTGTCAAATGGCATCCTCAAATTTTTACCAAATTGACAATAACTTTTTTCATTTAGTAGCCGAGTTTGAATGTTTGACTTTAATGCAACGATGAAATGATATTAAATGGTCGTGAAGAATTACAGTAAAAATATGAGAAAATAATACCATGATACAATTATTTATAAACATTTCCTTCAAAAATTAATAAAAAATATGCCTCTAAAATTTGAGATTTGAGTTTTAACTAATTATTTAGCATTGTTTATTTAATTATTAGTAACTAGCGTATAGCCCGGCCAAGGCCGGGTTCTAGAGTTCCAGTGGGGGGTGAAAGCGAAAAATCCGTCATGCTATACTTTAAATAATTCCCAGTGGAGACTTCGTCGTACTACATACATATATCAGAGTGAGGGTTTGCCCCAGTCATACTGCATTTTAATTAACCTGGTCACAGTACAATTTGATTTCCCCCTGTGGGAGTAGTTGAATAGCTAATTACTTAAATTCCCGTCGTGTGGGAGTAACTGCATAGCTAACTATTTATATTCCCGCGCTTCACGCTCCCGTTCAGTTCCATAAACCCCAACTTCTATAATTAACGTCAAACTATTGACGGATTCGGATTCAGCGTCAAAAATACATTCGGATAAGCCATATTTAGCTGCCACGGTCAAGGGAAGGTCACGGGGGCCTCGGAGGTCAAAACTATTAATGGCGTTGGATTCAGCGTCAAAAATACATTCGAATTGATATGCCACTCGCTGTGGGTGGAGTTTCTCAAACTAAAATAATTAATTAATAGTGTTTATCACGATCACTTATCATGATAACCACTATTGATGAGTAATGATGGTTGGTTGATCAGTTGATGTATGTATGGGGTAGCAGTGTTTGCTCCGCTTCCTTCTTTGTCTCCTCTACGGGGCGACTTGCATTGACTTACGGACCGACCCAGAACTTAACACTGTCATTTTATGGTAGTGATTTGCCAATTCATTTCAAATTTTTTACATTGCTATAGAAGACTAGGGAAACACGTAGAGACCTTGTAATTAAATATACTTTTCAATTTCCTTAAAATGTACAAATCGGCATTAAATTGTATCAAATTGCATTTTTTTTATTGGGGTAGAAACATCCCATCATAATCACACTTAAATTAACAATGACTCAAAATCATAATCACAATATAAAGAGCATAATAATACGTATAAAGTTCTTAATACTTGTGGGCGGAGAAGATGTCGCCGTGGGCTCGGTAGGGGAATATGGGCGAGTCTCATCGAGTACCGGACGTCAGGGTCCTTGGGGGACGGATGCGACACGCTTCTGATCACGGGACACCTTCACTGGCCACAGGGGGGTAGCCGGATGGGAGCTACGACGCACGGGGAGGAGGATGAATTGTCTCTCGCTTGGCAATTAGAAATACTGTCTTGTTTTTTACTCCGATTTCCACTTATGCACCGTTTCTATACTAAACTGCACCTAGCACGACTCAATGTACAATTTTTTATGAACAATGACCCGAATAAACTGTTCAATATCGGTGCACACAATAAGTTTCACTTGACAAGGTTTTAAGAAATCTTTACTCCTTACATTAAACGATCATAACGTGTACAATAAATGAATTTTAGGAACTTAATTTTTGATAATAATGTATTTCCAAAATGGCAGCCACGCAGAAGACGTGGTGCAAGAAAATATGGAGAGAAGAGTTGTGGAGGTGTTCACACTCGGAATCCTCGGGTCGGTCTGTGTAGAAACGGAGAGAAGATCCTTCTTTTTACAGTCGTACTCGGCCACGGTGGCTTCCGTGTGCCGAGTGGTAGGCTCGTCGGGTGGGGGATATCCAATCCCTACATACTATCACAAATTCCCAACTTATTTAATTACCAGTGTCAAATATCATCTTCATATTTTTACCAAATTGACAAAACTAGCTTCATTTATTAAAAGGGAATAAATGTTTTTATATTTTCATGATAATGCGACGGTGGTAAACTAATGATGATAAACGCTACTGTAGGATCATATGTAAAAAAATCAGTAAAAATATTAATATCACTCAGATTTTTTCTAAAAAACGATAAAAATTATGTCAAGAATGTCGAAGGTAAAATTCTAATTTTCACAATCCTACAGGGACAATTAATGCGTAATGACCTCCGCCACCAATTTATAATATTAAATTTCTATACAATTTACCAATCGGTGTTAAACTCTGACATTTAAGTTTTATTCAGGTGAAAAATATGTTATCATAACCACAATTCATTCAATTGATAATAAATCAAAATCATAATCATATTCACAACGTAAGGAGCATAATAATAACTACAAAATTCTTAATACCTCAAATTCCTAGCTTATTTAATTGGTCAAGTGTCATCTCAATATTTTTACCAAATTGACAAAAACATGTATAACTTGGAGCCGAGTAATTTTTTATGATATTACGACGATAAAATGATGAAATGATATGTTATATGCATGATAAATGCTATTAAAGGATTACATTTAAAAAAATCGTCAAAAATTTGAAACTATTTACATAAATTTCCTTTAAAAAATCATTACAAAAATATGCCTCTAAAATTATCCACAGATTTGAATTTTAACTAATTATTTAATTAGTACTTTGCCTATTTAATTCCAGAAAATTTTTTGCACAAAAACTGGACACATCTTTTACGTAATTATGGTACAAATTTTCCGTGGAATGTACAAATCGGTGTTAAATTGTAACAAATTGCATTTTTTATCGGGGTTAAAAGTATGTCATCATAATCACAATTTAATTAATAATAACTCAAAATAATACTCACAATTTAAGGAGAACAATAATACGTAAAAAATTCTTAATATCGCAAATTCTCAGCTTATTTAATTGTCAATGTTAAATGTTGCCTTCACATTTGTATTGTACCAAATTGACAAAACTGTTTTCATTTATTGGCCGAGTACAAATTTTTTGGCATTTTAATGATAATGTGACGAAAAAATTATGATAATAAATATAAAGGATTACATAAACATGATAAATAATAAATATGTTTATCAATAAATAGGATTACATAAACAAATAAGTAAAAAAAATATGCCCGTAAAATTATTTGGAAGATTTCATTTAAAAACGGTAAAAATGTGTAAACAAATCTACTTTGCTATCGTAAATAATTTCTCCAACTTCTATATCCTTTATATATTTAAAATCCTATAGTTTTCTGTAAAATGTATATAAATTTTTGTTAAACTGATTGCATTTTTGGGTGAAAAATATATCACCATAATTTAAGCAGCATATGAGATGAAAAATCCGTACAAAGTTTTTAATACGATAAATTCCCAACTTATTTAACTCCCAGTGTCAAATATCATTCACACATTTTTACCAAATTGACAAAACTGGTTTTATTTATTAGCCGAGGATAAATGTTTTTGTGTTTTGATTATGATGACGATAAAATGAGGATGATAAACGCTACTGAAGGATTACATGTAAAAGAAAAAACAAGCTTGTATTTTCAACAGGCAGGGATTATAGTTACCTGTAAAAGTTCGTTATTCTCTGCTGATGATCAGGTACTTTTATTTCGTATCAAATAAGATCTTCTCAAATGATTGTTCACTAACCTCATTAAAAATCAGAGTACTTACACACGTAAGTGTGCAGTGCAGGGACTTGACATAGCCCGAGTCATTTGCTGCACATTTTTCCAGTATTTTTTGTGACCAATATTTGACAAATTTGATGTCATTTTCTGAAGGATATGATTAAGATTAAATGGACAGACAGACAGACATAACGATTCCATGAGCTCTTGACACTTAGCAATAAAAAGTGGATCGATTATATAAATCAGAGCTCCTTAATTTTTGACAATCTCACTAAACAAGTCAAATAATGACAAATATAATGAAGGGAGGAGACCCGAATGCAAATTTATTCGTCAATTAAAAATTAAAATTCAATTAAAATTATCAAATTAAAAAATAATAATCCATAATTTTTATTTATTTTCTGATTTTTCATAATGATTTTATCAAATTTTAAACTTTAAAAAGTAATCGCTGCAAAAGTTTAATCAGAGGCAATTCATCCGATGAAAGGTGGACACCCAAATGCAAATGCGGTATTTAAAAAATATATTTAATTTATTAAAGAATCATAATTTTCATTTATTTCCTAATTTTTTCATAACCATTTTTAACAAATAAATTAAATCAAATTTTTAATTACAAAAATTAATCGCTGTAAAATTTAGTAATTTAATTTCACCTTGTATTTCTCTATCCAATTGACGTACTTGTCCAAACGGGTGTAAACTCCGGGATAAACGCCGCATCTTTTCATGCGAAAAGTAACAAATAAATTAATGAATCCATTGTCATCAGCATACCTGTTCACTTTCATTCATTTCATTGATTATGATGGTAAATGGTCGAATTGAATTTTTTTCTATTTGAGTAAAAATGAATGAAGGATTCAATCATTTCAGATGAGTTACTGTGAATGAAAAGATTTCTCACTCATTTCATTTCATTTTTCACCCTACGTTTCTTAATACATGAAGCGAAATAAGAAATGAAGTGAAATTAAATGAATTTGAACGAAAATCTTCAGTCAGAAATTGGGATGACTGATTTTTAAATGAAAACTAAATTTTTGAACAGGTGTGATTGGCATAAATTTTTTAATGAATAAAAAAATCACTAAAACTTACTTAATTCCCCAGCTCACGACTCCGATTAATTGCTGTCTCCCATTTTGCGACAAGGTCAAACTTCCACCACTGTCACCTAATAAAAAAATATAAAAAATAATAATCATTAATTTCAAACTTTCTACAAAAATTTCAAATTTTTGAAAAATATTTCCAAAGTTGTTATATAATTATCTGAAAAATATATATTTCACGTATTCTGTCAAAAATGCACAAATTTTCTCCATATTACATCTTATCTAAGAAAACTGGATTTTGATATTTTATTTCTTAAAAAATAATAAGATGACGTCAAAATTCCTCAAAATGTGTATTTTTCGTTTTTTTTCGAATAAAGATTTTAACGTTTTTTTAGAATAAACATTTTTACATTTTCATACATGAAAAACATTGAAACCCAAAAGATCGAATTGATTCCATCTTTAATTTTCGAAATCTTCTTTTCGACATCAAAATTTCATATTTTTTTGTAGATATTTCATAATTATAGTCCCACCCACCTTGACAAGAGTCTTTGCCATTCGACCCAGCGCATACCTGCAAAACAAAATCGCGAATATTTTACCCATGAAATATTTGCACACATATAGCAAACTTTGCAAAAAATAATTCGCACCATTCCACTCGAAATTGTGGGGGCAAGCGTCCCCACATATTTTTGGGCACACTGAGAATTCGTCCAAATTCGGATGGACGCCGTTCTCAGTTTTCTCGAGGGGGGACCATGTTCCGAAATCTTGCCCCAACCAGCAACTAAAAATCAAATTAATTATTCCTATCACATTGCAAATTATCGCCAATAATTACTGCAAATTAATTTCAATAATTGCCACTAGTAGAAAAAAATTTGCAATTATATCACGTCAACCTTTACAAATCTCGCAAGTTTATCTGGGCAAATTTATCCCGCAAAAATATTTGGCAAACTCATTAAACTCATCAAACTCATCATTAAACTCATCCTCACCATCATAAGCCAGAGAAATTACACAAATATAATGAACGAATATTAAAATAGGTATGAGTTTTTTAAAGCAAATTTGTGAGATTTGCAAAATTTGCGAACTAATTTTTTGCGAATTTATCGTCCTCGCTACATAAATTTTTCGAGCTTCGCAAATTTGATAAATGAGTGCCTCCATTGCAAATTGTTGCCAAAAATTAATGCAGATTTTATAATTAACATTTTCTGCTTACTGTCCGCATTGGTTTCTCCGCCATCGACGGGAGGACTCCCAGAGTAGAGACAGACTGGTTTAATACTCTCGGAAAACATGACGGGCGAGTCGAGGACCATGAGCGCGATGTCATCCCGGAACTGCTGCCCGTTAAATCCCTTATGAAACGCTAATTTCTTCACTTTCCTCACCTCGTAGTCCTTCCCCCCGTAAATGTCGTGGGCTCCGATGTACAATCGCACATTTTGCAACATTGGGCCCGTCCGAATACTTAAAGAGGCAAAAAATTGTCTTAATTAAGTATATTCAAAATGACAAATTCTTTTACATATTTGTATGTCAAATCACTTACTTGTTAACACAATGCTAAAATACGCATTAATTTAAAATATTGGTAATTAATTAATCGACAAATTGATTAAATACTTGATTTTACAACTCACCGCAGCCTGGAATTCCCAATTCACATGTAAAACAAGACGTATATTTTAAAGATTTATTTACTAACAATTGCTATCTCCCAGCGTATGGAGCCCGATATTTACTAAGCCAGTGTCAATCGATGGCAAATTTAATTAGGATGAAATTTGCGAAAGACACGATCTCCCAATTGGCGCAGATATTTGCATCCGGGGAGGAGACGCACATGCCGTAATTTGGAAATTCTACAATTTGTCAACTTTAGGGTGCGCTTTTTCCTCTTCAGATGCAAATATCTCTGCAAAACCTTGGAGCAGATCGTGTGTTTTGCAAATTTTATACTACCTAAATTTGCAATCGATTGGCACTAAATGTCTTTCAAAATTTGAGACCATGCGCTGGGAAACCTAAATTTTAACAATAATTGATCATTTCTTATTCGGAAAACGAGCATCCTTACCGTCACGACGTGTCTCGCATCAATTAGGGATGCACCACAGTGATGTCGCCCATTTTGGAATAATGCCACCTACGCAAAGAAAATCGGGTTAATTAATTCATTTTCCATCATTTTAATGAACTAATTAATTACAAAACGGGTATATTCCTTACTGCCCAAGGGAACTCGTTCTTCTTGGCTTCCCTGCCCTGCACGACTTTCGGGAGCTCGTTATTGTACGGGGTCAATCCACACCCCGCGTATGCCTCCACTTTCTCCTTCTCCATCTCTTGCGGGCTCATTTCCGCATTTTCTGTCGTTTCTCGACCCTCAAAGGACGGTAAATTTCCACTCGACGCGGCCCGAGTTAGCGTCGCGCAGCAAATGTGGTCGTCGTTTGAGACACCCTCTACAAAAAAGTGGTCAAAATATATCAGTAAAATTATTTTCGTACATTTCCTCTCCAAAAAATCGGTAAAAAATTCCCTCGTGATATTATCTAGATAAATTTCTTTTAAAAAATTGGTAAAAATTCCCTTTCCTCTAGAAAATTGATAAAAAAAATTCCGGCAAAATTACCGATACAGATTTTCTTTAAAATAATTCATAAAAAATGCGTGGGTAAAATTATCTAAAAAATTTCTTCCAAAAAAAGTCGGTAACAATTATCCCGTTAAAATTATTTGTCAAAATGATCTTTAAAAAATTGGTAAAAAAATATCCCGTTAAATTCGTCTACACATACTTGTTCCCTAAAAAAATAGTAATAATTTTCCTGTCAAAATTATGTACACATCGATATTGCTTCCAAAGAAAGTCCTAAAAATATCCAGTTAAAATCATCTGCCCAAAAATTTCTCCCAAAAATTGCTAAAATATTAGCATAAATCCGCAAAATGAGCACTTATTTACCTCCGCCCGGAGACAGGGGATTCGTGGTGACTTCCGCGGGTTGACAGGGGGTCGACATATTCCTCACGACTTCAATATGACTCGAAACCGTGGAGTGTTTCACGTCCTTAATTTCGCTTTGGAAGTACGGATAACACTCCGTAAATCGGATACAGGTCCCTGCAACCCCCTCGTTCGTGACGCAGTCCGTATCACTGCCGCTTTCAGGGGAAAGGGTGGTCACAACTTCGCCAGAATTGGAGGAGGACGATTGATTGTTAACTAATTATTGAGAGTATTAATTAATTAATTGGTAAATAATTTGCATATTTAATTAATTGCACTATTTGCATACCGATACTCTCAACTTCCAGAATTAAGGCGTCTTCCGCATTCCAAACGGTGCACGTGGACAAAGTCAAAAATCCCAGGAACAGGACGCCCCCCAATTTCCAAAATCTTTTCATGGTAAATTTCGCAATATGTGCAAATCTATATATGCAAATCTATATAAAGTGACGATAACAGACCAATTTCGCAATATATCTATGTAAATCTATGCAAAGTGCTGATATGAAACCAATTTCGCAATATGTGAAAATCTATGCAATTTTGTTTGGAAATCTGTAAATAAGACCAATTTTGCAATATAGAAATCTACGCAAATTTTTTGCAAATCTCTGCAAATCTGACGACGACTTATCGATCCGTCTAACTTCTTTAACCTGAAAAGCAAAACTGACCACTAGACATTTTCTGGCGAGACATTTTACTCCCAAATAAAATTTTTTTGACGTAAATCTGGTCAAATAAACGGTAGTTTTAGTACCATGACTCGAGTCAAAAATCGGGTTCAACTTGCTCATCAAGCCCTCAATACCTACTAGAATTTTATGATCATGTCAAAAAATTCGCTCATCCGCATTGTAACAGATCCAATTTCTAAATTATTTTTCGTAGAATTCGCAATAAAATCAAATCGATAAAACAAATTGCATACATGCTCATCCGCATTTTACAGATTCAATTTGTAAATTATTTTATTTTTTTATATTTCGTAATAAAATCTGTGAAAAACAAATTGCGACAAGTTTGTGGCAAATTTATGGACGATAATAAATTTTATGTAAATTTGAACTTCGGTAAAAACCTGCTTTTGTGTGTAATTAGGTAAATATTTTGTTAAATTGATCTCAACCAGAATTTGGTATGAAGTGGATTTTCTTTGCATACATTTTGTTGTGCTGTGCAATTTTCAAAATATATTGAAGCAAATTTCCATTGTATATTATTTTACTTTTATTGTGTTCATTTTTAATCATTTTTATAAATGGCGTAGTTTAATACAAATTTTCGTTTCATGGGTTTTGTTTTGTATTTTTTTGCAATTTTTAAAATAAATTGGACCGAATTTCCATTCCATCTCAATTTTATTTTGGTTTAACTGATTTTTTAAAATATTTAAAAAAAGATTATAAGAACTCGCGTATTTTAACACTAATTTTCGTTTCGTGAATTTTTTAAGCTGTACAATTCTCAAAATAAATTGTACCGATTTTATCATCTTAATTTTAGTTTTATTTAGTAAATTTTTAAGAATTAGTATTAATGGCGTAATTTAATAAAAAAAATTGTTTCATAAATTTTATTATTCTCAAAATAAATTGGACTGAATTTGAACATCTTAATTTTAGTTTGATATAACTTATTTTTAAGAATTATTATGAATGGCGTAATTTAATACAATTTTCGTTTCATGGGTTTTTTATGTATTTTTTGCAATTTTCAATATAAATTGGACCGAATTTCCATTGCATCTCAATTTTATTGTGATGTAACTGATTTTTAAAAATATTTAAAAATTATTATAAATCGCGTATTTTAAAACTAATTTTCGCTTCATGAAATTCATTATGCGATGCAATTCTCAAAATAAATTGGACATTATTTCAATTGCACCTTTATTTTATTTTAATTCAATTGATTTTTAAGAATTATTATTAACGGCGCACTTTAATACAAATTTTCGTTTCATGGATTTTTTATGTATTTTTTGCAATTTTCGAATTAAATTGAACTGAATTTCCATTCCATCTCAATTTTATTTTAATTTACCCGATTTTTAAAAATATTTAAATATAATTCTAAGAACTCGCGTATTTTAACACTAATTTTCGTTTCATGAAATTCATTATGCAATGCAATTCGCTAAATACATTGAACTCGATTTCTCATCTCAATTATATTTTTACTTTGTAAATCTTTAAGAATTAGTATTAATGGCGTAATTTAGTACCAATTTTTGTTTCGTGAAATTTATTCTAAAACTCTCGAAACGAATTTTTATGCCTTCCAGTAAATCTCAATTTCAGTTTTATTTTGAAAATTTTGAAGAATTAAGTTTTAATGGCGAAATTTAAAATCAAATTTCGTTTCAAGAATGTTATTATACGAAAATTGAATCCAATTTCTCTATTTTATTATAATTTTGTTATTTTTTAAGAATCATCATAAACGGTGTAATTTAGTAGTAGTTTTTGTCTATTTGGCTTTACTATGCTTATAACTGTTCACCTTCATTCAATTTTCTGATTATAATAATGAATGACAGTGAATGAAAATGAATTTCCCGTCATGTGAATGAAAATGAATTTCCTGTCAGGTGAATGAAAATGAATTTCCCGTCATGTGAATGAAAATGAATTTCCCGTCATGTGAATGAAAGTGACCGAAGGATTCCGTCATTTCAGATGAATTACTGTGAATGAAATGATTTTCACTCATTTCATTTTTCACCCAATGCTTAATACATGGGGCGAAGTAAGAAATGAAACCCGATAACGTGAAATGAAATGAATTTGAGCCAATATGATTGAAAGTCTTCACTCTGAAATCGGGATGACTGGATTTTTAATGAAAACTGAATTTTTTGAACAGGTATGATTATGGTATGAAATTCTCAAAATAAATTTTATTTATTTTGTATTACATCTCAATGTCATTTTTACTTTTAAAATTTTTAAGAATTATTGTATGTAGATGTAGTACTTTTATACTAATTTCGTTTTATGATTTTCTTTAATTATGAGATATAATTCTTTAAATAAACTGAACGGATTCTCTGTCATCTCAGTTTTATTTTCACTCTGTTAATTTTTAAGAATTCGTCTTCAATTTTCGTTTCACGAATGATATGTTTTGCAATTTTCAAAATAAATTGAACCGAATTTCCTTTGCATCTCAAATTTCAATGTTACTTTTATTGTTGTTAATTTTTAAGAATTATTAGGGGAACTCACGTCAAGTTCGTAAACTTCGTAAAACTTTTACGGATTTTTTACACACATTTCTAATGAAATTTTACTTACGAACTTTTACGAAACTTCCGTAATTTGAAAACGCAGTTTCCGAACTGCAAAAGCATATTTTTTACAAAAGTAAATAATTCGAAGGTTTGATATTTGCATTTTCAGTTGAAATCAAGGTTACGCTTATGAGACTTTTTTTTTAGCTAAACATGTTAACGAAAATGTTTACAAAGTCGATTCACGTCAAATCATAAGTATGTAAACTTACAAATCGAACGCAGTTACGTTAGTTACAAACTTGACGTGAACACCCCCAATCTCAATCATCTCCAAATCAAATCCCTATATCTTGTTCCATCTCAATCCAATCCAATTTTATTGAGATTTTGTTGTTAATTTTTAAGAATTATTAGAAACGGCGACATTTGTTCCCAATTTTCATTTCATTAATTTTGTTACCTTTTGAAATTTTGCAAATAAACGGGACCTTATTTCAATTGCATCTAAAGTTGATTTTGATTTAATTGATTTTAAAAAATATTAAAACCCGTATTTTAATGTTAATCTTGGCTTCATGAATTTTAACAAATCTCAAAATGAATTAGATTGATTTTGCTTTTCATCTGAATTTTATTTTTAAATTGTTCATTTTTAAGAATTATTACAAACGGCGTTATTTATTCCCAATTTTTGTTTCATGAATTTTGTAATGTTTTGAAATTCGCAAAATAACTTGAACTGAAATTGTTTTCCTTTAAAACATGACAATTTAGACTTTGTTCATTTTTAAGAATTATTATAAATGCCGTAACTTAATATCAATTTTTGTTTCATGAATTTTGTCATGCTTTGAAATTTTGACCGAGTTTCCATTCATTTTTTATTATTTTGATCTAACTGATTTTTAAAAATAATTATAATTGGTTCAATTTAGTGTAAATTTTCGTTTCGTGAATTTTATTATGCTGTGCAATTCTCAAAATTAAAAAATTATTTTCCTTTATATCTCAATTTATTTTGTAATTTTTAAAAAATTTTTATAAACGGCGAAATTTAATATCAATTTTCGTTTCACGAATTTCATTAATTCTCCCAACAAATTGCACCACATTTCAATTTCATCTCAATAAAATTGAGATTTAACTGATTTTTAGGAATTAGTATTAAAGGCGTCATTTAATACCAGTTTTTCGTTGAGTGAATTTTATACAGTTCCCGAAATAATAATTAGAAATAAATAATTAAACAACAAAAACTTCATGTACCTTCATTTGATTTTAATTTTATTCAATTTTCGCTTCATAAATTTTGCAATGAAATCGATCAATTTAATATTAATATTCCTTTCATGAATTTTGTGAAGCGATGCAATTCTCCCAATAAATTGAACCGAATTTCCATTTCATCTCAATTTTAATTTGCAATTTTTAAGAATTATTATAACAACGTAATTTATTTAATGGCAATTTTTTCATGAATTTTGTTATCCAAATAAATTGAACAGATTTTCAATTTCCTTTAATTTCGATTTAACTGATTTTTAGGAATTATTGTAAATCGCCTAATTTAGTACCAATTTTCGTTTCATGAATTTTGGTAAGCGATGCAATTCTCAAAATAAATCAAATTAAATCATGATCTCTAAATTTTATTGTGTAGTTTTTAAAAATTATTATAAATGGCTTAATTTACTTAATGTCAATTTTTTTGATAGATTTTAGGCAGTTCTCAAAACAAGTCAGCGCGGCATTAACAAATTTTTGAACTATTAACAAAATTTCCTACTGTTTCCAAAATTTCGAATTAAAAACAGGTTATCGACTGAATCGTAAACGAGATATATTCTGACAGGCATGAAGCTATGTCGTAAAAGACATATATAGTTCCAGATTATCATGCCTGCTTCTGTGATATCCAACGATGTATTAAATAAATAGCACATACATAAATAACCTATACTATAACCCATATTTCGATCGTGGAAAACTAATACGGAATATGCAATTATTTTGCAAACTTCAACATATAAGAAAAGTGGGTTCCGAAATCGAGGCAGCGGCCAATTTCTAGTCCAAAATAATTTTTAAAAATTATTTTCGCTGATATTTGACTAAGTTTGAACGATTTTGACATAAAACTCAAAATATGGCAAAATATAGAAACGCATAATAAGTAAAGTAAATCTTGTTTGTTTAATGTATCTCTATTTTATTTTTATTTCTTTAGTTTTCAGAATTACTATTCATGGCATAATTACATTACAGTACAATTTTAAAAATGAGATTTTTTTGGCACAAGTTATTTTATTTGTACCATAAAAATCAATGTTATTTTACACAAATCAATGCTTTCTTTTACTATAAATCAGGGTTTTTAAGTATAAATTAATGTTTTTTTACTACAAATTAATGTCTTTTTAGCAAAATTGATGTTTATAAGGTAAATGGTTTTTATGAAAAAATCCATGTTTTCACCACAAATTAATATTTATTATCAAAAATCAATGTTTTTCACCACAAATTAATATTTCTTTTTTTTCACCACAAATCAATATTTTCTTAACAAAAAATTAACAGTTTTTACCACAAATCAATATATTTTTTCTACCACAAATTAAGTAATTAATAAATATATTTTTTATAATAAATTACTCCCTGAATTTATGTCTGTCCTCCTTTGGACCAGTTATTTAGAATTTTTCGTAATCCAGGGCAAATAGTGGCTAACTTTCGTGTACACGCCAGGCTACAATTTCATAAATTTATAGATTTTGTACAAAGTTTTTTTATAATATGACTTAAAAAGTAGCTTACCTTTTCCCCACAACCGATCCCCCAACTAAAAAAAGAAGAATCAAAAAATAAAATTTGGTACACACAAATTTTGATAAAACTATTTAACTTACCTAACCACGCCCACCTGGGTTGCCTTATCTTCACCCTTTTTCAGCGTGAGTGGACCTCCTACGCAAAATGTAGATGTGCAAATTTATATATTCAGTTAATTCACGCGGTCATTAGTAACATTTGTAAAAAGTAAATCCTGTAAACTGCAAACTTTCAAAAAAATTTTACAAATATTTTGAAGGAAAATTAGCTTCCAAATTTTGCATTTACCCAAATCTAGAGCGGTGTCTCTTTATTTTGCAAAGTTTGTAAACTTATTTTACCAAATTTACCGATTTTAAAAAGTTACCAATAACTGTGCGAATTGCTTCATAATTTCATAGATACAAATACATAAAATGACAAATTGTATACCTGAATCGCCATCTGTAATTTAATTTTTTTTTCTTCACAAATCACATCTTTTTAAATTGTTTAAAAATTTGCATAATAAAAACTTACTGCACGCGTCCTTTAATGGGGCTTGAGACCCTGCACAAATCATTCCTGGTCCCATCGGAGGAGCATTTGTACCTTAAGTTTGTCACATCCAAAATTAAAATTGTCATAAAAGACACAGAAGTTTAGAAAATAACGCATTTATTTTTCATACCTTGATAAGTTCGTTTACACGCTTCTGGCGAAATTAGTGGCATGTTTACCGTCTTTCTTGCCCCAATTAAAAAAATCATTGATTAAACTCAAAAATTTGCTAAAAATACCAAACGGATGTATGCACCAAGCAATTTCGCTCAAAATTTTGCACAAACTTTGCATGCGACCTTATCAAGAGATATTCTTAGGTCGTACATAAATTAAGAAGAAATTAATACATTCAATGCCCTTCATTTACATATGTACTAATTTCAATTTCGCACAAAATTAGCATACGAGCTTATCAAGAGATATTCTTGGGTCATATACAAATTCATATGCAATTAGTACATGCAATGCATATCTGTTCGTATAAACTAATTTCGCACAAAAGTTTGCACAAAATTGGCTTTGTAAAAGCTTATCAGACGTATTAAACGAAATTTGCACATCCACATCTCTGGGGTCACATTACCTTCAAAGTTTTTGAGGGAGACCCATAATTTCCCGTTTTTCCCCACCCGGCCAAATCCACTTTCTCCTTGTACGTCAATTCCTCCGAATTCAAACAAATCGGCTGAATGTACGTCGTGTATTTTACGGGGGTGCTTAATTGTAACAGGGCGACGTCATTTTGCTAAAATTTATATTATTCAAATGAACATATGCCAATTTAGTGCAAATTTTAGTTAGTACTGATATTTTTTACGTACCAGATGTTGCATTGCGAAACTTCGATGGTACAAAATCTTAGAAACGCTGCGGGATTCGCGACCCGCTTCGGTCACCCCGATATTGTGACCACCAATGAGGACTCGGACGCCTCCAGCGTTTCGCAACCTATGCAGAATTACGACTTAATTTCACTAATTCATTTATATATTTTTAAACTACTAATTTAAACCTTACTGTTGAACGCAATGTGCTGAAAAATTCAGACAAAGGAAAAACAATTAATTCAAAATTGTGCAAAAAATTGCGAATATTTTTTTCATACCCGCCGTCAGAACGTAATCTTCCTTAATAAGGCTTCCACCTGTTCATTGGATGAGTTCCTTTTTAATATAATGATCAATGCCAAATGTAAATGATATGCTCATCCCGTATAAAAATCGAAAATTCGCCAATTTTTCTGCACATGCATGTATTAATTCTTTTATAATTTTTCTGCACACTGTATAAAATGAGCAAAGATTTTTGTACGCAGGAAATTTTCATATAAATTTTTATAAGAAAAATACCTCACCAAATGTGTTCGGATACTGTAAAATATGCAAGATTTTTTATGCAGGAAATTTTCTGCCCAGATTTTTGAAGAAAAATATCTCTCAAATTTTTTCCACAAGTCGATTTTTATACGGGATTTAAATACTAATTATCTATTTATACCGCAGAATTGGCGACCATTATCCGTAATTGCTACAGCCCAAGGGAACTATTTTAAAAAGTTACACGTAAAAATTTATGAAAAGTACATATCAAAATTTTTCAAAAAAATTTCCCTTAAATTTTAAATCTAACAAAAAATCCCTCCCTCACGTACATACCTGACCTAAAAATACAAACAAAAAAAATAATTAGTACTCAAAAAACTTTATCTGTTTTTCAAAAAGTACACTCAAAATAAGGTAGTAATGAATCATTACCATGCGGAATGACTATGTGTCTCTACCACGTCGGTTACGATTTGTCGTAGAAATGGTAATAATAAGTTCAGGGAAATTCAAATTTAATACATAATGGTATTCACTTCCTTAATATTTGGTAATGAATTTGAATTTCCCTGAAATAATTGTTACCATTTTCACGACAAATCGTAACCGACGTGGTAGAGCCACATAGTCATTCCGCATGGTAATGATTTATTACTACCTTATTTTGAGTGTATGAGAAACGAACCCTTTGAAGCATACTGTCCCCCGACCACGTTGTCATCCGTCCTGCTCACAAAAGTTCCACAAGTTTGCTTTGGTTTCGTCGGATTGGGTTTCGTCTGATTTTTAGGCGCGCTGGTCGTCGTCGTCGCCGCCGTCGTCGAAGAAGAAAGCGCCCCGGGTTTGTTCGTCGTGGGGGTGGGAAATTGTGGCAAAACGGCCGGTTTCTTAGCGGGAAGTTTCGCATAACTGTAATTCGGACAGCAGACGTAGCCATTTTCTAAAAATAAAAACATAAGACAAATTTCATCAAATTTTCCACATATTTCTAAATTTTAGACGCTTCGTCACATTTTCTCTTAATCATAACTAGAGGGCGGATATGTATTTATTTTCAGCTTTTTCATGGGATAAACCTTTGTCCCTGTGTTCCTTAACTCTTATAGATCACAAAAATTTCAAAATATTTGTAACAAATTTCCAGGTTTTCTCATCTTATTTCGAAAATTCGTAAATCTTTCACATATTTTTTCATAAATACGAATATTTTTCAAACATTTCGAACGATACAAGTAATCTTTTGCTTAAAGAAATTGGATCACAAATAAATTGTAAAGGTACACATTTTGCGAAAATTCTAATCCTTATTTTTTTGTGCATACATATTTCGTAAATATTTTAGTTTTTTTTTCGTAAGTATTAAATTAATATTTCATAAATACATATCCGCACTCTCCCAAAAACTAATGATTATCCTTACCATCGGAACAGGGCTCGGTCGCATTAATAATTTCCGTAACGTATCCACTAATCTGATTATTTGCGTCCTCCTGCATCATAAAATCCACGTAGGGAAAGCACTCCCTTAAAGGGATGCAAACCCCGTCCCCACCCGTCGGGGGGACGCAGTATCCTTCCGGTCGTGGCGTCGCGGCACTTCGATCCTCCTCTCCCGGCTCGAACTTCGACGGGTCAAAAATCACCGTGTCTGAAAACGTGTTACACACAAAAATTGTCACCATCTGGAACTAAATTTCATGCAAAATATACCCTTAGAAAACTGGTATTAAATCATTACTGATCGGAGTCAATAATCGACATGGTAATAACGAGAATCACCGTTTAATAACTTCGTGCTAATGAAAATTCTACCATCCAATAAACAAATTAGTACCGATTCGGTGTAAAATTATTACGAAATATCACTAAAAGTACCGAGTATATATGTAACTCTACACTGGTATTAAAGCATTACCGACCGGAGAACATACATATCTGACTCTATCGTAATAATGCGCATTACCATTTAGTATTAATGTCGTGACATGAAAAATTTACCAGTCAGAAAAAAACTATTACCAATCGGGTAAGAAATAAGTACCAAATCAATACCAGAAAAGGGTACATATGTATAACACTCTCAAGAATTGTCACCATTTGGTAATAATTTTCTGCTAAATTTGCTTACCATCAATCACCACCGCTTCCATGACCGGATCGTAATACGTCATGGCGTGGCAACCCATGACCCCCAAAAGTAGCACCGCTCCCACCACATTTTTCCACATTTCAAAAAATTATTTTTAAACAAAATAACCACAAAAAATTCCAATCTCGCCTTCACCAAAGTTCAAAATCCGTCTGACCCACCGGCAGTTGACTTTGAGGATAAAAAGTGCAAATATTTTTGGCATAGATCATCACCACTTTTGCAAATTCTCCGTCAATGAACCCACAAAATTCGTGTCTCTTACCATTAAATTTATTACCTTGTCCCCGACAAAGTGCAAAGTTTTATATTTTTCGTGCTAAAGAAGAAGAAGTGCATATAAAAATCGGCATGAATTTTATTACCGGTATTACTACCCTAGCGCAACATTGTTTTTGAGTTCATCTCACTCGTAAAATTATCTCGTCCTTCCAGTTTTCGGTAGACACGATTCTATGCATGCAGATTATTTCGCAAAGAATTTTTTGCACAATTTGTTCATTTCAGTTTTTATTGCAGAAAAAAAATAATCCGTTAATATTATTGGGGCTCATCAACAAGATCAAGATATTTTAGATCGTGTCGCTTTTGTCAAAATTTTCAATTCAAATTCTAAAAAAATAAACGCTATTTCTGAAAAACTTGTGTAAAAAGTATTATTTTTCAATTAAATTGAGCCACTTAAAAGTCGAAAATTAATTCTGTTAGAAAATGAATAGCGTAGAATTATTTAGATTTCTTAACTTTAAGGATTGCTTCAGATTTCTAAAATAAAAATAAATAATTTTGCTATTTTTTAAACCCAATTAAACAAATGGAAACGGAAGCTATATAATTTTACTTTGCAATTAAATAATTAAATCGTAACTATTTTTATAAAATAGTTAAAAAATTCGTATTTATCCGTGCAAAAGAAGGGTTTTACAAGACGATCAAAATGTATAAAGAGGCAATTCACGCAGGTCTTCGTAATTTTGTAATACCAGCAATCTTAAATACTTCTAAGGAAAATTAGCTTACTCTGATCAAGGGCTTTAATTTTTTAAACGCTTGCAAAATTAGTTTTCAAAATTTTCGGATTTTACAAAGTTTCCAAAGACTGCGTGAAAGACTTCCTTAATGATCAAATATGTATACCTTTTAAATCGCGTTAACTTGAAAAATTTCATATTGAAAACCTAAATCAAAATTGCCATAATTTCTAAAAAAATTATATTCTGAAATATTTCTGAATTAAATTACTTCAGAGTCAAAACTAATTTTTTGTACTAGAATGAATTATAAAACTGTATTTAGGTCAGGCTTTCAAAACCTTTAGTTTATTTTTTTTTCATAAATTAATTTCCACGTTATTCAAATACATTATATGAATACGAATTTGAAATCCTATTTAGCAAAAAATTTAAAACGAAATTAATAATTATTTTACAGCTAAATAATTAAATTGACACTATTTTTTGGTAAATTATCTCAAAAACTAATTATTTTACTCGTATAAAAAAACAGGTTCACGAGATTATCAAAAATATGCAATGACCACATATTTTAAATCCAATTAATTAAAGATAATGCATAATCAAATTTTAAATAAAAGTTGATAAAAAAAATACAATTTCTAAAAAAAAGTACCATTTCTAAAAAAAGGTACCATTTCTAAAAAAAGGTACCATTTCTAAAAAAAGGTACCATTTCTAAAAAAAGGTACCATTTCTAAAAAAAGGTACCATTTCTAAAAAAAATACAATTTCTAAAAAAAAGTACCATTTCTAAAAAAAGGTACCATTTCTAAAAAAAGGTACCATTTCTAAAAAAAAATACCATTTCTAAAAAAAGGTACCATTTCTAAAAAAGGTACCATTTCTAAAAAAAAGGTACCATTTCTAAAAAAAGGTACCATTTCTAAAAAAAAAGTACCATTTCTAAAAAAAGGTACCATTTCTAAAAAAAAGGTACCATTTCTAAAAAAAAGGTACCATTTCTAAAAAAAGGTACCATTTCTAAAAAAAAGGTACCATTTCTAAAAAAAGGTACCATTTCTAAAAAAAATACAATTTCTAAAAAAAAGTACCATTTCTAAAAAAAAGTACCATTTCTAAAAAAAGGTACCATTTCTAAAAAAATACCATTTCTAAAAAAAATACCATTTCTAAAAAAAAGTACCATTTCAAAAAAAAGGTACCATTTCTAAAAAAAAGTACCATTTCTAAAAAAAGGTACCATTTCTAAAAAAAGGTACCATTTCTAAAAAAAGGTACCATTTCTAAAAAAAGGTACCATTTCTAAAAAAAAGGTACCATTTCTAAAAAAAGGTACCATTTCTAAAAAAAATACAATTTCTAAAAAAAAGTACCATTTCTAAAAAAAGGTACCATTTCTAAAAAAAAGGTACCATTTCTAAAAAAAAATACCATTTCTAAAAAAATACCATTTCTAAAAAAAATACCATTTCTAAAAAAAAGTACCATTTCAAAAAAAAGTACCATTTCAAAAAAAAATATATTTCTCAACCGAATTACTTACTTAAAAGCCATAAGTTCATTTTTGTAAAAAAAATAATTGCAAAATTTTATTTAGATATGCTGGCTTCTAATTTAAGTTTATTTAATTTGTAATTTCCATATTATTCAAATAACGATTATGGGCAGAAATTTGAAATCGTGGACGCAATTAATAATGATTTAATAATTAAATCGTCACTATTTTTTGTAAATTATTTCGAAATTTCATCATTACTCGTACAATTTTATAAGATCATCAAAATACATAATTACCAAATATGCATACATTTTTTTTAAATCGTGCTACTTAAATAAAATTAAAAAAATATGCCCACTCCTGAAAAATTTCTAAAAAAAAATATTATTCCTCAATCGAATTGCTATACTCAAAAGTCGAAAGTCAATTTTTGGGTCAAATTAATTACGAAATTGTATTTAGATATCGTTCGATCTGAAGTCAATTCAGTTTTGTTTTACTTCCTAAATTAATTTCCACGTTGTTAAAATAACTATTACGAAAAAAATATGAAATTTTACTGAGGATGAAATTGTATAATTATAATTTAAAAACTGAATAATCATATCGTCACTATTTTTTTTATATAAAATAGTTCAAAAGTTAAACGTCGAAAGTTAATTTCAGTAGAAAATTAATTAAAAAATTTTAATGAGATACACAGCACGGATGTCCAAAGATGGTCGATTTCCTAAATTTATTCCCATATTATTTTTATGAAGAGAAATTAGGAAATCTTTTTGTTAAAAAATTCAACACGAGTTTAATAATAATTTCGCAACTAATTAATTAATCACTAATATTTTGTAAAAATAGTTCAAAAGTTTCAAAAAACAGTTTATCAAAATACATAATTATTAAAATTATGAATACATAAATAGTGTCAATTAAAGAAAATCCACTTCAAAATTCTCAATCAAATTTAATTATAAAAATTTGCAAACTTTCTGGAAAATCTATTCTCAGAAATTTGAAGTAAATTCTCAGAGAAGAGAAATGACTGCAAATGTGCTGATTTTTTTTAGCAACGAACGTTTCCTGTATTTGCATTTTACACTCGGTTTCTGCACACATATGTGCAAAATATATGCATATATTTTTGCATTATGGGAGTGACAACCGACTCCTCAAACTTTTTAGTTTTCCACCACTTTTTTCATGTTTTTCTTCTTCTGCCGGTGGTTTTATAGCGACGACGACCAAGCAATCATACGTGGCGTGGAAGGGGTCAGAAATTTGGGAAATGTTGAATTCCGTCGTCATCTTCTCTAAGCAATCTTCTTCAAAAGGATCTCGCAATTCGGCCGGGATTCCTTTCACGTACGGACTCGTCCCAATGTAATACACTAAAAGAAAAAAAATCAAATGGTACCGAATACAAAAATGAAAAGGTAAAATGTCAAACATAAAGTTAAAAAATTGCCAAATGATGCCAAAAAAAGTGAACAAAAACGGTGAAAAAGTAAACAAAAATGATTAAAAATAAAATTTACAACATTTCACAATAACACAATTTCAAAAAATCATTCCCTGGCGGAACATACTATGTTTCATTTGAAAAAAGTTTGGGTGTTCAAACTGTGTAATTTTTAGAAAATTTAGAAAATTTTAGAACACTAAAAAAATAATTGAAATAATCAAACCCTCTCGTTGTAAGTTTATGATACATCAAGACCTGATTTTCTTCAGTCTCTTTAATCACGTTTGCAAGCTTATACAGCTATTTTACAGATTCGCAAAGACCAATATGAATTACTCTCACGTAGACCAAATCTAGTTTCTAAGACGAAATGTAACACTTGTAAGACGAAAATTAATTCTTTACAAAAATTAATATTCTAAACTTATTTAGATTATTCAGGATAATGAAATTCACCAATAATAACGCCAATAATTCGCAAAATAAAGTTTAAAAAATCGCCAATAAATTGCAAAACAAAGTTTCGAAAATTGATAAATTTTTTTTAAAAAAGTAGCCAAAAAACGTCAAAAATCATCTCAACATTAATTTCTGCCCGTACCGACTGCTTTCTCCAAACTGGGAAAGGTATACTCCATCGGCTCCGTTTTGATTTTCTTTACTTCAAACCCAAGAGAATCCAGACACGTGTGAAATGCGTGTTGGAAACTTTCACTGCGTTCCGATTCTTCCGGCAAGTCCTACAAATTCAAATTCCATAATTAATTATTCCCAGTTTTTAATTAATTACATAAATATTTAATTTACTTCAAAATAGTTTTTCCACTTTTCATCATGAGAAAACTCTCGGTCCAAAAAATCTGTGAATAATTGTGTCGCATATGTCACTCCGAGTTGTCCGCCGGGTCGGAGAAAGTCAAAAAATCGGGCGAGTCCTCCTCTAAAATAATGTAAATAAATTTCCAAATTTCCACTCAAAATTAGCCCCAACTTTTTCCTGAAACTCGAATTGTCTTGAATGAAAATCGAACGGATTTAAATAAACATCAATTTTGCACAAAATTTGCATGTATGTATTAACATAATCTTAATCAAAATCGCTCATGTGAAAATCAATTTTGCACAAAATTAACATATAATCCTATAGTGATTAGAAATGAGATTAGTACATCCAACAGATCATGATTGAGGTCTCTCAGCGTATGCTCTCTGATTTTGAGCAAATTAGTGTCAATCGATCGCAAATTTACTTAATTTGTAAATTCACATTAAATTTGAGAAGTAAAATTTCTCGATAAGAACACATTTTCTTCTCTTTCGATGCAAATATTTCTTCAAACCTTTGCATTAGGAGATCGCGTCGTTCGCAAATTTCACACTAATTAAATTTGTAAGAGATTGACAAAAAAATTCCAAATTCTTCGTCAAAATTCGGAGAGCATACGCTGGGAGACCTCCTTTTTCAGACGCTGATTAGTGCGAGTGAAGTTTGCGATTTTTTAAAATTTACCTGTAATCCTTCACACACTGGAGCACATGTATCGCAAATATCTTATCAAACGACGTCCACTTGAAGGGAAAGTTGTCACTCGTCACGTCCCCCACCGTGTACGTCACCGACGCGTGTGGGTACTTCATCGCCGCGTACGAAACCAACTGTTCCGAAGTATCCATCGCAAATAAATGCGAATCATGCAGATAAATTTGCGGCAAAAAATGTGCAAATCCCGTCCTCCCCGAACCACACCCGCAATGCAGCTGATGTTTAGAAATTTCGAAGTTGCATGCATAACCCCGTCAACTAAAACTACCATGCAAAATAAAGTACTAAATAATACTGCGTTGCAAAATAATTCGCGTAGGAACCCCTGGATTTATTAATTCCGCAAAAAATTCTCCACAAAATCACGTCTTAAATGTCGCTATTTTACCTAAATTTCAAAAAATTGCAAATTGCTCACCCGTAATCTCTCAAACCACACTGATACTTGATACTTAAACTATCATGCAAAATAATTCGCGTAGCAACCCCTGGATTTATTAATTCCGCAAAAAATTCTCCACAAAATCACGTCTTAAACGTCGCTATTTTACCTAAATTTCAAAAAATTGCAAATTTCTCACCTGTAATCCTTCACACACTGGAGCACATGTATCGCAAATATCTTATCGAACGTGGTCCACTTGAAGGGAAAGTTGTCACTCGTCACGTCCCCCACCGTGTAGGTCACCGACGCGTGTGGGTACTTCATCGCCGCATAAGAGACCAACTGTTCCGACGTGTCCATCGCAAATAAATGCGAATCATGCAGATAAATTTGCGGTAAAAAATGGGTAAAACCCGTCCTCCCCGAACCACACCCGCAGTGCAGGACCCGCTCCTTAAATCCGTCCCATTTCATGTCCCGGACCAAAAGCGGGGCGTAAATTTCTTCATCGCGATGAATAAAGTTTGTATTCATCTCTTCAACAATGCGGTCCTGGTGGTCACGGATTTCTTCGAGGTGGACCAAAGTCACGGCGTTGTTGTCCTTATCACTTTTTGTGGAGGAGGATGAAAATCGTCGTAGAAACGACGCCATGATTTTCACACACTTTTCTATTAAATCTCACAAATTATGCGTGTAATTTTTTTAACCACTTTTGTCACAAATTTGCAAAGTTTTTGGCTAATATTTCCACGCTTGTTAAAGAAAATTGAATTAAATCACACATTTGATAATTTTATTTTTTCACAAATTTCCAAAGCTTTTCGCCCAGTTAGGCAAATATTTCCATTTTTAAGTTAAACTAAATCTCACAAATTTAGCTTTTAAAATGTGAAACGTTTAATTTTCACACATCGGTATTTCCCCTTTTTGGAAAGGAAATCGAATTAAATTTAACAAAAAAATCATGCACTATTTTGTTCAAAAACTATATTTTCTTTAATGTTATGAATCTTTAACGGCCGATTCTCTGGACTTGAAGTCAATAGAAGTTAAACAACAACATGCATCCCGAGAGATCAAGGAGACACAAACATTTATATTTACATGATACATGTGACCATATTTTCGTGCAAGTTTATACATGCATGGAAGTCATGCTTATTACATAATTTTTTATGCTTTACACTCCAGATCCCAATGCAGAACTCATTCGTTCGTGAATGTTCTAGCTAATTTAAGCTCATTATTAACCAAGCAAGCCCACATTTTCTCACAATTAATTAAGTATGTCTCTCTTGAGTTTAGGATGAGATGAATGGCTTGCGTGTTGACAGTAGAAAATTTCAGTCATTAAAATTGATAACTTTTTAACCTCTCAATTTTATTTTTAAATGAATGAAGATCAATGTTTCCTCATCCCCTTCCATCCATATCTGATGCTTATCATTTACAGTTTGTAAATATGTGTACGTGTGATACATTAATTATGATGATTGATATTTTCCACTGCTTATCTCATTTAAAATGTATGACTAAACATTGAGGTAATTCATGCAGTATTTGGTAACTTGGTAAAATCCGTAAAATTAAAAACTTTTGCAAATATTTTTAAGGAAAATTAGCCCGAAAACTTTTATAAGTTTACTTAGATATCAAGGGCGTCTTTTTTTATTTTGTAAAATTATTTATTCATTTTACAAAATATATTTTGTAAAATTATTTATAAGTTTACTCAGATATCAAGGACGTTGTTTTTAATTTTGTAGAATTATGTATTTTAAAAAATTGACGGATTTTGCAAAATTACGAAGAACTTCGTGAATTGTCTAATTGATGACAAATTGTCAGAATTTGTGCGTTTATTAGGATTTTTTATTAGACTCAAAATATTTCGAAGATCGCATCCGATGTTTCTCAATCCAGTCGAGATAGTCAGGAATTTTTGAAAATACCTTAAAAAAATTAACGCATCATACTTAATTTGAAAATAATTATAATTAACTTATAATCATCCATACCCCTGGATATTGACCACATCTGAAAAATGATCACATAATTTTAACAGGCTCTCAATTAATTAATTAGCATAATTCTGTAATTCTTACCCAATTCCAAACGAAACAATGCCGACTTGCTCCATCCGTCCGTTCCGCACGAGGGAAAGTGGAGCACCAGAATCGCCCTGGACAAGTAATTAATTAATTAATTACCAATTAACGACATATTATGTAAATTCCATAAATTTCCTAAAATCCTATGTAATTAATTGCATACACTAAACTCAAAATTCTCAAAATCTTGTAACCAATTAATTAAGCTATAATTAACGACGCGATAAAAATTCACAAAAGTGCCCGAATTTTTGAATAGTTAGTTAACGAACGCTACCAAATTCTAATAATCCTTAAAATCCCGTATTTATAACCCATAAAAATTCCTAAAATCTAGTAACTAATTATTTCACGATATCATAAATTCCCAAATTTTGCAAGTAGTAGTAAACTCTACCAAATTCTAAAAATTCCCAAAAATTCCGAAAGTCTTGTAATTATAAATAAAGCATCAAAATTCCTAAAATCTTGTAACTAATTAATTAATGATATCATAAATTCCCAATTTTTAAAAAATATATAGTAAACTTTATTACCAAATTTTAAAAATTCCCAAAAATTCTTAAAAACATGTAATTGTGAATCATGAGCTGGTCCTTCAATCTTGTAACTAGTTGATTAAATACAAAACATTCCCAAATTTTTTAATAGGTAGCAAACTGTACCAAATTCTAAAAATTCCGAAAAATTCCCAAGATCTTGTAATTAGTTGTAATTACAAATTAAAAAATTCCTAAAATCTTGTAACTAATTGATCAAATACACCATACATTCCCGAAATTGCAAGTTATTACAAAATTACTACAAAATTCTAAAAATTTCTAAAATCCTATAATCCCCAAAATTCCTACGTGCAATCCATCTAACTAATTAATTAAGTAAATCATAAATTTTCAAAGTATTAATTACCAGTTTCTATAAATTTCCAAAATTTCCTAAAATTTTTTATATACCTTGCACGCATCCTTCAAAGTTGGCGCGATAGAACCCGCGCAAACCATTTTATTTGAAATCCCACCCCCAGGAATTTTCCCCTTGTATTTTTCCGCGCATTCGTCATTCCTCCAAATCCGGAGGTGTGCCTTCATTAAGGTGTCGGAGGACGGCTTCCCCTCCGCCGGCTGGCCCCACCCCGTCAAAATTCCGTACGAGGAACCATCATCGAACGGGATTTCCCCCTCCGATAAGCAAATCGGGGCTATGTTATCCGCCCATTTTACCGGCTCGGATAAGTACATCATCCCAATGTCGGAGTGCTGAGAGAGCAGAAAGTAGAGATTTTTTTGTAAAATCAAGCCTCGTATATAATTTTCTTTGGGGGTATTCACGTCAACTTCGAACATAAAAGCTGTCAACGTCGCAACTCGCAACTTTGCGAAGTTTGCGATGAAGCCTCGTTTTTTGCGAAATTTCGGCATAAAAGGCATATATTATCATTATCGTAGCCTATGAGGAAATTTTCGAAGGCCTTTGTAACATTGTAAAACCCATAAATTCTGTAAACCACAATTTTTTACAAAATTTTACAAATATTTCGTACGAAAATTAGCTTACAAATTTTTAAAACTTATAATTATATCAAGAATGTTTCTTCATTTTGTAAAATTATTTTACAAAATTTCCTGCGGATTTTACAAAGTTGCCAAGGATCGCGTGAATTGCTCTATGTTTCACACTGCTCATTTTCAGTTTATATATTTTCATTTATAATCACTCGTTCACGACACCAATTTCGCAAGCAGCAAAATTGCGAAAATATATTGCGAGGCGACGTTACTGATTGACGTGAATCCCCCCAAAATCACATAACTTACGACGGTCCGCATGGAAAAGTTGGCGTGGAAAATGATGGCAGAAACGTTCCTTTCTTGATGATCGATGTCCGTGGGGTCGCGAATATTATGGTCGCCGATGAAGGCACGAATGTTCTTCAAATCTTTGCGACGAAGACTGCGGCAAAAAAAGTTTAATTAATTTTAATTACGAATCACAAAAAATAGCATAAAATATAAAATCATCAAAAACAATAATTAATTACTGAGCAATTCAAAAAATTGTACAAAATTATCAAAAAATACTGAAAATTTTCCACTTCAATTCACAAAGCACGTGTGAATAACAAAAAATTATTATAAAATGTGGAAAATTTCCCCCTATAATTTACAAAATACTTCAAACTTGTCACTTACTGGCTCACACAATGTGCAGCTAACAGCACGTGTCTCTCATCCAGTAACGACCCACTGCAAAACGTTCTCCCTTTATTCGTCAGAGCCACCTTTTCAAAAAATACAAAATAAAATAAAAATTATATTTGCAAAATTTCATTCCAATTTTTCACACCCACCATCCATGGAAATTGACCCAATTCTGCATCCTGTCCTCCAACGACGCGATACTTGGCGTCGTCATCTTCATGCACACCGGCCTTCACGGGACCACACTTCACCTCCTCCACCACCGCATTGCTCGTCGATTCTGGAGTCGTCACCGTCGTCGTCGTGGATGACGATTCTCCTTCCGAAGCGTTGTCCGTCTTGACCAATAGTGCATTCGGCTTGGACGTCGGAAAGGTACGAATTGGACACCAAACGTACACGTTGTCCGCTTTTTATAAATAAACCATGAATAATTTTTTCGTGTGCAAGTAAGACCACCACGTGCAAGTGACCACGTGCAAGAAAGTGGTTTCTTGCATGTAAATATTTTGGCCTGCAAGAAATGCAAGGCGCAAGAAAGTACGCCCCGTCGCTATATTTTATACGGAGCGTTAGCTACATGGCTCATATTTCTTGCACTTTCTCCCACTTTCTGCCACCTCGCATTTCTTGCATTTTTTTCTTCCCAGTGCAAGAAATAACTGCAAGAAAGTGGTTTCTTGCAGGACCTAATTTGACCTGGGAGAAATGAAAGGCGCCATAAACTACTACCCGCTGCTAAGCTTCATTATACGACGCGGTGCTGGATGGCGCATATTTCTTGCACTTCGTATTTCTTGCATTTCTTCCTTTGCAGTGAAAGAGATGTACCAAACTCGTGTGAAATTCACTGAATTTTTACCAAAATATAGACTCACATGGCGCATCGCTCCTCCCCAAATCTTGCGGGGGCAGGTCCGACGGTTCACAATAGTTCGCCGTGCTCAGAATAAATTTCAACAAATTCGGATCCACGACCCGTTCTGGCTCCGAATCCGATAAGTCCGCCGAGTAAAATAGGATCGGGTAACATTCACTCGCTTTGACACAGAGCCCCGGAATTATTTCGACCGGAATTGCCGTCACTGGTGGTGGTGGTGGTTCAACCGGAAGTGTGGTCGCATTAGGGTCCCCCGCCCGTGGTAAAGTGGTCACTGGTTTGGTCACGGCGCCGTCTAAAATTAATTCATTTTTGAAAATTACATTTTTTTAATTTACAAAATTAAAAATTATTATTTGGCAGGAATTAAAAGTCACGAAATTCCGAGATTAATACTCTAACTAATATGCTAAAAACAACTATTTCCGGTTTTCGCTGTAGTTTCACGTGACAAAATCAGTACGTAGGATTTTAGAGTAAAGAGTTATCGAAATTATGTAAATGTATAAAACTTATGGCGAAAATTTCAAGACAGGAAAACGATCTGAATCTGACCAAGTATATTCAAATATATTTCTTTTACATAATTTTGTCCCGGCTTTGAAATGTTACACTATTAATAAATAAAAACTATATAATATTTCGGAAATCTACAACTTTTACGAAGATTCAATGCTTACAAAGCTTCTCAAATATGGGCAAGATTGAGGCGTCTTTTTCTTTCATAAAAATATTTTGTAGGAATTAAAAATCGTGAAATTTCGAAATTAATACTGAAACAAATATTCTAAAAAGAACTACATGTTTCCGATTTCCGGTGTAGTTTCATGTGACAAAATCAGTATGGGAGGAGTTTAGAATAAAGACTTATCCAAGTTACATATGCAAATGTATAGTTGCATTAAATTTATGACAAAAATAAGAAAAAATCAAAAAACGATCTGACCAAGTATTTGTATCTCGTTATATTTTTTTTACATAATTTTGTCCTGGCCATGAAATGCTACAATATTAATTTGAAAAAACTACATAATATTTCGGAAATCTAGAATTCCACACTTAGAATATTCTATGCTTACAAAGCCTCGTAAATTTAGGCAAGATTGCAACATCTTTTTTTTCCTTTGTAACAATATTTCGTAGGAATTTAAACTTTGGATATTTCGAGATTATTAAATATTATTATTATTGATGAAAATTAATCAATCAAATAAATGAATAAAAACGTAATAAATTTCTGATATTCTTTAAAAAATATCTATTTCCACTTTAGTTGCTCGTAACAAAATCAGTACGTAGGACTTTAGAGTAAAGACTTATCCAAGTTATGTAAATGTAAACTAAATTTATGACAAAAATACGAAAAAAGTACACAAACGACCTGACCAAGTATATTTAAATATATTTGTTTTATATAATTTTGTCCTGGCTTTGACATGCCACAATTTTAATTTTAAACAAACTACACATTTCGGAAATCTAGAACATTTGCGAAAATTCCATGCTTCTAAAGCCTCGCAAATATAGGCAAGATTGGAACATCTTTTTTTTTTCCTTTGTGGCAAAATTTCGTAAGAATTTAAAGTTCGGATATTTCGAGATTATTAAATAAAATTATTATTAATAAAAATTAATCAATCAAATAAATGAATAAAAACATAACAAATTTCTTATATTCTTTAAAAAATATCTATTTCCACTTTAGTTGCTCGTAACAAAATCAATACGTAGGATTTTAGAGTAAAGACTTATCCAGGTTATAAATGTAGAGTTGAATAAAATTTATGATGAAAATCGGAAAAAAGTAAACAAACGACCTGACCAAATATATTTGTTCTGCATAATTTTTTCCTGACTTTGAAATGCTACACTGTTTTAAAAAATACATAATATTTCGCAAATTTGCGACATTTACGAAAATTCTATCTTTACAACAAAGCTTCGTAAATCTAGGCAGGATTGTTGCGTCGTTTTCTTTCGTAAAAAAATATTTCGTAGGAATTAAAAATTGTGAAATTTCAAAATTAATAGTCTAACCAATAATCTACGAATACTTATTTCTATTTTAGTTGCATGTTGCAAAATATATTGTACGTTGCGTTTTAGAGCAAAGATTTATTAAAATTATGCACGTGCTGAGTTGCATTAAAACTCATTATGAAAATTTTAAAAATTTCAAAATTTCTTATAGAACTAAAGCCTATCTGACCAAGCTTTATTTAACATATTTATTTTGCATAATTTTGTCCCGACTTTGAAATGCTACAATCTTAATAAAAACTTGACAAGGAAAATTACGACATTTACGAAAATTCCGTGCTTAAATAGCTTCGCAAATACACGTAGAGACAAGAGTGACGTTTTTTTCGTAAAAAAAAATTCCAAGGAATTAAAAATCTCAGAAATTTCGAAATTAATAATGTATCCAATATTCTAACAATATTTATCTGCTTTAGTTTCACGGTACAAAATAAGAAGACTAAAAACATATCAAAGTTACGTAAATTATTTTGAGCGCATTAAATTTATTACGAAATTTTCAAAGTTACCCACAAAAAAGCCATACCTTATCAAGTTTAATCAATGTATTTGATTTACATACTTTTATTCCGACTTTTAAATGTTACTTTAAAACTGGATAAGGAAATTTACAACATTTACGAACCTTAAAAACCTTAAACGTATTATTACTTATTCCTTTTACAAATATTCTTTTTCACAAATCCACACTTACAAACTTTACGTAAAACCCCTTCAAATTTTTTTTACCTTCTATATAAATCGCGTCTTCATCAATCCATTCGAACCCAGTGGAAACCGAAACGACAAATAGTAACGTAAATAATGCCAAAATTCCCAATTTTATCGCCATTTTGCAATTTAAAATGTGCAAAGCCACGCCAACAGGAGAGGTAGAAAGTAAGCTTTGTTTAGCGTGCTATACTTGACCACCAAACCTCGTGCAACGTGGGTCCAAACTACAACCAGTAGAATTTTATTATTGCTTTGGCTTTGTTATGCATATTTGCTCAGCCAGGTTTAGATGAATAAATTTGCAATATCAATAAACCCCCCGTCGTGATCGATGGGATTCTTTTTTACGTCTGCTGGCTAAATTTCTGCCATCATAATTTCCTCCTTGCAGATGGTATGGCAATTAATGAAACAAGGAACTCAGCCAAACAAGAGGTACATGAAATGTGAATACCAACCTTACATTCAATTAAAACTCCTCTTTACATTGAACTTTATTTTTTAAAATCATGATTTTTTAATCATGATTAATTAATACTTCACTATTAATTTCCTTAAAACAAATATTTCCCACAATTTTTTCTGATCATGAATTTGCAGATGGCATTCGAAATATTGACAAAATAAAAAGTTTCCTCTTCCTCCATTAAAAACTTCCGTGCAATCCAAATGAAGTATTCTTTATTAAATAATAAAATATAAACTTTTCTGTACATTGAAATTTATTAATTAAATAAAAATTCTTTATTAATTTCCTTAAAACAAATCTTTCCTGTAATTTTTTCAACTTTTTTTGTTGACATTAGAAATATTGCAAAATAAAAAGTTTCCACTAAAACTTCCATGTAATCCGAATCAATTATTCTTTAAATAATTAAAACTTTTCTTTACATTGAAGTTTAATGAAATAACAATTCTTCATTAATTTATTTAAGACAAATCTTTGGGATAATTTCTTCGACTTATTTTGCTACATATTTCTTGATAATGAATTACAGAAATATTGGCAAAATTAAAAATTTTCATTAAAAGTTCCGTGTAATGCAAATTAATTACTCTTTATTAAACAATTTCCAGTCGGTGGCGTCATGAAAAATTTGTATTCCTTACGGCCTTTTATTGTTACTGGATTTTTTAATGTTTCGATTTATCCAGTTTTTTTTTTAGTGACTGACACGCAGGTAAACGCCTGGAGTTTGTCCACACCTGAAAATAGCGAAAGTTATTTTAATTAATACATTTAACACCCAGGAGCCGTATTCAGAGCTTCGAGTAAAAAGTTAAAGTTACTTTTGTTTTCGAGTTACCTGAAATTTTTACCCTCATTCAGAGGATTTTTACCTTACCTTAATTTTTAGGTAAGGTAAAAATTCAGGTTACTCTGGGGGTTATTTGAACAGTGGAGCTAAATGCTGCCCTGCGCTCCGCGAAACAGCAAGATTTCCTTATATTTATGTCAACATTGTCAAAAACCCACTACCGCAGTTACTCTCTACCACCTCCATCCACTACTACCTCCACCCACTATCATTGTAAAGTTGTGCCAGTCTTTTTAATATAATTCAAAATTATTATAATAAATTATAAATGAGTTATTATTAAACGAAACGAGTACATTCATTAAATCACAATTTATTGTTTTTTAATTACTGGCATTGACACAGTTTGGCCGTTACACAGAAATTGACATAATTTAGGATTTAAAATAAAATCATCAACATGTTCTATTTATATCTACTCTAAATTTAATTACTAGTATTAGCACAAATTGGCCGTTACACAGAAAATTTTGTTAGTTTAGATTAGTTGTATTCTTAGACCTCTTAAACTCGACTCTGCTAACCTATTTATGTATTTCTGTCGAAGCGAGCTACGGCAGATTCGTTGCCATTAATTACAACGTCAGTACGATAATCCTGCATTTCTAATTTTCGACTGAAACGTCATGAATGTTGCCTCTCTTCATGTCACGGCCTAATGAAACAATGCATTAGTGTCACGGCTGTTGCAACTATAAATACATTATTGTCCAAATAAATAACCTGGTCACCAAATATTCCTATCATCGTAGCAGCCGGGAGGGTCATCGGAACGTTTTGAAACCACATTTCCTCATCATCCCCTCACCCAGTTTTTATTGTTTCCTACTTTTTGCTAGATGCATTGGCTTTTGTTCTTCGTCATATTCTTAAATTCTTCTTGCACCTTTTCGAAGTCTCTGTCACTGCCGAAACTGCATTTCCTGGAGCCAGAGCTTTATCCAATGTTTCGTTTTGTCTCGTCAAGTTCGATTTCAATTTTCCAAAGAGACATCATTTTTATATTTCACAGCGTCGATTAGGGCCAGCTTTGTATAGCATTGAGATTGTCCATCCTGTTAAAAAGATCACTTAAATTTTAAATACATTTTACCATGTCAAGGCTATAATATCACGGCTGGTACCTCAAACTTTGGCGCAATTACAAGGAATCTTCCAAGTGGTGGCGTTGTCGCTGAGCTGTCTAACGAGCTTGTGGTGGTGGCAGTGAGTGGTCTTGATAATTTGGAACATGCTATGATGCCCGTCTTCCGTGAATGGAATTTCTTTATTAATCCAAATGTTGTGTAAAACAGCTGCTGTTACTGTAATTATATACGCCTTCCTCTCCGAATAACGCAAAGCCCCACCAGTCCTGAAAATAACAGATTTAGCTTTAATGTTTTGTCCCAACATTATTGGAGCATCACAGATGGAAAGGTCGTGACACTATAGGTCTTGACACTTGCAAAAGATGCGAACAGAATGATCTTGAAATTGGTAACTTACTTGTCTATTGGCCGAAAGCGTGATTTCAAACTGCAAAGAGCTCTCTCGGCGATACTTCTTGTGTTTTTGAATCGATTGATGCAGGTGTTGTAGTAAGATCAATTGTTGCAGATAAGTTGCAGTGTGTCACGGTTGTATACACATGCCACGGCCACTGGGATTTTAAATTAATTTTACCGATACCAAACTGTTTCTGAATTTCTAAATCCGTGAAGTGTTCTAAAAATGTTCTTCATCCCAAATTTTTTTGTGCTTCGTCGCCAAGAGTAAGCAGAAGTACTGCCATAAACCTGTCGCACTATTTTCATTCGTCGTTCTCAATTGGCTTATAGTCCTCTAATTGGTTAGAAAGTTTCTACTTAATGCTATACACTTGAATATAGGAAATAGTTAACATTATTAGAGAATAATATTCCTCTCGATGAATCACTTCCGCATCAATTAAAAACTTAACGTAGTGTGGAGATAAGGAATGACTGTTCTGGGATTATTATTCGTTTCGCACAATTTTAATATATTCCATCCGCTGTCAGAATTGCCGAGTCTTGATCAAAATTAGATTCAAACAAGTCGCTAAACTCAATCTTATCGCAGTAAAAATTAAACTTCCAATATTTATGTTGAATTATTTGGCCGTGGCAGCTAACACCTTGACACAAATTTTATTTCAGCTTCACTAAATCTTATACTTGCTTATTACAACACACAAAACCAATTACTTTGAGTTATAATTAAGTAAATGGACAATTTTATGAAATATAATGGAGCGAGAAACCATGTTTTGGAGATGGAAAATGAGGTAATATTGATTTTAACCCTGCCTCGGAGCAGGGGAGAAATTTTGCTTACTTTGGGTTACTTTTGAGGGTAACTTATTTTTTACTTTGTGCTCTGAATGGTTTCATTCAGAAACCGGGGTAAAATGAGGAAAAATGTAACTTTTTAGGTTACTTTTTGAGGTAACCTAAATTTGTGAATCGGGTAAGTGAAAATTTGGGTAACTTTTCGGGTTACCCTGTGTTGTGAATACGGCCACAGAATGCAACGTTCTTTAGCCCGAGTCAGGGTGTTACTAAAAATTGAAATTGAGGCGGGTATATAATACGACCAGGAAAACTTTTCTATTTTTCCCCACATTTTCCCCATCTTCCAACTTGAATATTAATTTTGCCAAGTCTAAAATTTTGTCCAAAATCCACTCTGTCCAAAAACCCAACGTGTCCAAAATTTCACATCAATTGGACAATTTTTACACGTGTATTGACAGAAAATAATAATATTTTTCTCATCACATTTTCGTGTAAAGAAAGACGATCTGATTAATATATTGATATAATTTCATATTGGCCATATGAAATTTTAAATAAAAATATATTTTGGCGTTTTAGACAAGTTTTGTCTTTTAGTAAATTTTTTTATCCATTATCTCAAAATTTATTCTTAATGTTTTATTTACGTGTGACTAAATTTCAAATCGTTTCGTCAAGTTTTTGATGAAAGCCAAGCCATGAATCGCACTGAAAAAATGTTACATTTTTATAACATTTTTTGCCAAATTATTATTTGAGCATGAAAAGAAATTCCAATTTTTCAAGGACAAATATATCCACATATTTATCAAAAATTTTGAATTATATTTTTCACATTGTTCAAACCTGTAGTTAAAATGGGAACTTTTTGCACAAATTTACATATGGAAAAAATATGATCGGATCATATTGATTGGAAATTGTAAATACAAAATTTATTTCGGCGTCTCCATCTTACAAGATTTAGCAACAATTTATCTTCAACTGAATTTTTTTATCGGTAAAATGGATTCATAATTTTATATTCTATAAGAATTTCTTAAAAAATTCAGGTTGTATAAATGTAATAGATAGACTGACAGACGGACAACCATGACGAGTAGGTAAGACATGATTCCGACTTAAAATGTCAAGTTTGGGACATTTTTTGCAAAATTATTATTTGAGCATAAACAGAAATTTGAATTTTGCGATGACGAATATCAAAAATTTTGAAATATTTGTTTTACATTCTTCAAACCTTTGTTTAAAAAAGAAACTTTTTTCCTCTAATTTTTGCATGGACATACATGATCTGACCATATTGAATGTCTGGAAATTGATATTCAAAAATTTATTTCGGCGTCTTTTCCCTACACATTTGAACAATTTTTTTCAGAAGGGATTTTTTATCGGTAAAATTGATTCATAATTTTATATGCTACGTGCGTGTCTCCAAATTTAAAATTTTACTAACGTAATAGATAGACTGACAGACGGACAACCGTGACGAGTAGATAAGCCATAACTCGGACTAAAAATGTCAAGTTTGGGACATTTTTTGCCAAATTATTATTTTGCATAAACAAAAATTTGAATTTTCCGATGACGAATATCAAATATTTTGAAATACGTATTTTACACTCTTCAAAGCTTTAGTTAAATTTTATCCCAAATTTTCGTGGGAAAAAAATATGATCTGATCGTATTGCTTTTTTAGAAATTGAAAGTAAAGTAAATTGAAAGTTAGTGTCTCTAAATTTCAAGTCGATTGGATCAATTTTTCGAGCCTAATTGATAGACAGACAGACAAATAACCATGATTCGGACTGAAAAAATGTTAAATTTTTATAAAATTTTTTGCCAAATTATTCTTTGAGCATAAACAGAAATTCTAACTCTTCAAGACTGAATATATAAATATATAAAAATTTTGAAATATATTTTTTAAATTGTTTAAAGCCTTACTTAAAATACGGATTTCTTGCCCAAATTTTCATATGGAATAGATATGATCGTATCATATTGATTTTATGGAAATTTTAAATTAAAAATATATCTCCATCGTACAAAATTTAGCAAAAATTTATCTACCACTGAAATTTTTATCGGTAAAAATAGATTCATAACTTTATATTCTATGTACGTACGTATCTCCAAATTTCAGGTTTTAAAAATGTAATAGACAGACTGACAGACGGACAACCACGACAGATCTATAAGCCATGATTCGAACTGAAAATGTTAAATTTGGGACATTTTTTGCCAAATTATTGTTCTTAGTGAGGAAAATACCTAACAACGAAAAAAATTTACTAAGTATGCATTTGCCCCACCCCAAAAATGACCATCTGCGATATCTCAGTCATTTCTCAACCGATTTTGATGAAATTTTGCACCGATTATTGTTACATAATTTAGAAACGGGATCTGGTCCGACTTAGCGAATGCTTGATTTTTACGCGAGTTATGGGCAAAAATATACCCCTGGAAACGTGTTTATATTTATAGCTAAATAATGGCGTATCGTAATGAAAAACGAATTGCACAAATTTTAGAGTAAATTTTTGTGCAAATTTTAAGGGTAGTATGATTAAAATCGGTTCATAAATGGCAAAGTTTGTTCTATAAGAGTTGCAAAAAATTGGATGAAGCTTAAGGGGTGGTAAAAAAAACGCCATTGACAACAACTAATGGAATGAATATATGAGTTCTACATACTCGAGTTATGTGGCAAAATATTTGCAAACTACATGCAAAATTAAATTTCGGGCATGCGTGGTGTTTAGTATCTAAATAACTCAATTACAAGTATTAAATAAACAAGCCCCCAAAAAAGGGAGATCTTAGTGAGGCTGGGTGCAGCTATCAATATTAAATAAATTTTTCGGAACAGCATTTGCATCACCACTCGTAAAACTATCTATTCGCACATTAATTTGTATTGATCAGAATATGAACTCCTGTTGTCTTCATTCGAAATCTTTAGTTCAATATATTTAATTGCAGTAATTTGTTAATAATTATGTAATTAAGTCCGTCCTGATGACGATCGCAACCGAGATCGAAAACTTGACACCATTAAAAAACAATAAAGTTTTTCGTTGTTATTGAATTTGTACATCTACAATGTACTTAATCAATAATTCTACTAGTAATTAAATCATCTAGGCTAAAATAGTTTGGAGAGTCGTGATTCAAATGCTGTTACGAAAAATTTATTTAATATTGATAGCTGCACCCAGCCTCACTAAGATTTCCCTTTTTTGGGGGCTTGTTTATTTAAGCATAAATAGAAATTTTCCGATCACGAATATCAAAATGTTTTAAATATTTATTTTATAATCTTCAAATCTTTAGTTAAAAAAACAAAGTTTTTCCTCAAATTTTCATATGGAACAAATATATTGATTTTATGGAAATTCTAGATAAAAAATATATTTCGGCGTCTTCTTCTTTCAAATTTAGTTTTCCAGAGAAACTTTCCATCGATAAAAATTGATTCCTAATTCTGCAAGTTCTACGTGTATCCAAAATTTCGACTCGATTGGATACATTTATTACGAGCGTATTGGATATACAGACAGACAAGCAGATAACCATGACAAGTAGATAAGCCCAGATTAAGATTTAAAACGTCAAAAATGTCAAGTTTGGGACATTTTTTGGAAAATTGTTATTTCAACAAAAATTCTTAATTTCCGAGGACGAATATATGTACATATTTATTCAATATTTTGAAATATTTTATACCTCCCAAACTTTACTTAACAAAATTATTCGTTTGCATAAATGTACAGAAATTGTTAATAAAAAAATGTAAATTTTGGTCTCAACATCTCACAGATTTTAACAAATTTTTTTTTCTACTAAAATTTTGTATAAATATCGAAAACTTTATTCTTAATTTGGCATGTTCCTCTAAAATTGCAAGTTTCATAAGCGAAATAGATAGACGGACGGACAAACAGACAACCATGACGGTTTCATAAGCCCTGTCACTGACTCCAATTTTAAGTTTTAGGCATTTTTTTTACCGAATTATTATTTCAGAAATATAAAAACCAGAAATTGTAATTTTCCGAGAAGGAATATACAAATTTATAAAAGAAATTGAAAAAAATAAATATTCTTCATCAAACCTTTAGTTTAAAAAACAAGTTTTTGACAAATTTTAAGAAGGATAAGTCGATATCTGAGCATATTAAGTGCATAAAAATTGCAAATAAAAAAATATATATTTTGGCGTCTTCATCTCACAAAGTTGAACAAATTTTGTTTCCTAGTAAAATTTTTTTTAAATCAAAATTTTACATGTTCTACGTGTCTCTAAAATTTCGAGTTTTACAAGCGTAATAAATTGATAGACGGACAGACACACAACAATGACAGGTTGATAAGCCCGTGCTCGGACTAAACCGTCCAAGTTCCTGACATTATTATTATTATTTGAGTATAAACAGAAATTTTTATTTTCCAGAAAGAATATGCATTTATGAAAAATTTTGAAAAATTTTGAAAAATTTTGAAAAATTTTGAAAAATTTTGAAAAATTTCATGTTTTCCAAGTATTAATTCAAAAATAATGTTTGTCCCAAGTTTTTAAACCAAGAGATATGATGTGATCATACTGCTTTTACCAAGATGGTAAATAAAAAATGTAAATTTCAGCGTCTTCATCTCAAATTTTAATAAATTTTGCTTTTGCTAAAAATTGATTCCCAAATAATTTTCCACAATCTACGTGTCTCTAAAATCAAGTCGATTGAATAAGGTTTACGACCGTTCCAGATAGACAGATAGATAGACACAACCAGAACGGATAGATGAGCCCTGACTCGGCCTAAAAATGTAAAGTTTGCGACATTATTATTATTCGATTGGAACAAAAAATTTCAATTTTTCGAAGACCAAAAATTGGTAGAGTTCCACACCGAGAAATAAAATTCTGGTGGATTTTAATCAATTATTTAAAGCGTGACAGGTTTGGCATCACTCCGACTCGAAATACAAGTTTTTTAAAGAAATTAATTTTTTTGTATCGCTATCAAAATACTCTATTTTTAGAAACTCTTGAAAATAAAACAAACCCAAAAAAGGAAAGCTTAGATGAGACTAAGAAGTGCGATAAAAAGTATTTAATAAATTTCTTCTCCAGTGAAGGACATAATTTTAATATTTCCAGCATCAGCGCCCCATTTCATTCACTATCATATAAATAAATACAAATATACAATAACTATCAAAATTCAAATATGATGTAGCGAGAAATATTAAAATCATTTGTTAATTGTTCTTGTCGCTAAAAAATTATGAATGCTTGCAATTATATTTGTACTTAAAGTTGATACATGATATACAGGTCTGACCAAATATAGTCGACTCTTTTCCCCAGTAATATGTATACACATACGTAAATATATTGCTTATGTAATTTAGTCAGTTAAAAATAAAATGGGGCGCTGATGCTGTAAATATTAAAATTATATGTCCTTCACTGGAGAAGAAATTTATTAAATACTTTTTATCGCACTTCTTAGTCTCATCTAAGCTTTCCTTTTTTGGGTTTGTTTTATTGAACAGTTTTTATTGACGTTGATGACTTTGGGGGTGTAACGGTCAAATTATAATCAGGAGTAATCGTAGCAAAAGATGGACGAACATAACGATCTATAAATGAGTTTGACCCTTAATAATAATCTTTTCGTTGGATGACCGGTGGGCCTTAGCAACTAAACTTGGTGGTAGTGACAGTGGTGATATTTGACCACCATCAAAACTTTCTCAGTTTTAAACCGATTTTGGGTATTTTAATTTTGTATTTTTCTAAAAAATGTTTATCAACTTTTTGCTCATTTACATTTAGCATAAATGGCTTCGTTTTTTTCTAATCTCCAAAAAACACATTTTCGATGGTGTTTTCCTTGCATATCTCAGGAACAGGGAAACATTTCAGCCTCCTGTTCGACAGTTCAATTCTAATTTGCCATAATTAACTCTGGACACTAATTTTATTAAAATCGGATGGAAAGTGACCTAGATCTGAAAAAATTAAGCTTTTCAAAACCGTAGTGATTGCTTACTTAGATGATTTTTTTCCTGCAGTAACTATAGCCTCATCTAAGAATAATGTATGTTTCCAGCTATAAAATTTTCACGTAATCTGAATTACATTTTTTTGTAATTACATACATAAGCAAATCTACGAGATTTACGAAAATTACAACCTTCGTAAATATACGCATGTATTGAACTTCAATAATTAAATCAAAATTCTTTATTATCTCCTTCAAACAAATCTTTGTGATAATTTTTTCGACTTTTTTTTATAATGAATTGCACATACGTAGCATTACAAATATTGGCAAAATAAAAAAATTCCGTGTAATCCAAATTAATTATTCTTTATTTAATAATTTCCAGGTGGTGGTAGGCATCATGAAAAATATGTAGAAGTCATTCATTACGGTCTTTTATTGTTACTGGATTTTTTAGTGTTTCGACTTATCCAATCTTTATAGTGACTGACACGCGTATAAACGCCTGGAGTTTGCCCACACCTGAAAAAAGTTGAAAATCATGTATAGTAAAACCCAGAGTATAGCCTTCTTTTATATAGCCCGAGTCAGGGTGTCCCTAAAAATTGAGGTGGGTATAACACGACCAGGGTTTGCCACCCCGGGTTTTTGGGGTATTGGGGTTTTGATAGGTTTTGGGGTAGCAAATTTGAGCAATACCCACGGGTAGTCGGGGTTTTCAAATTTAAAAAAGTGTACAATATATTAAAACAGCATGTTACTGATAATTTTTTAAATTAATTAGATGCTAAAATAGAATTAATGAACTGCTTTGTTGCGAAATAGTTGAAAAAGTAGATTGTTTTCATAGCATAATACATGAGGTACTGACTCAGTTTACCCCCAAAACCCCGATTACCCCGACTACCCGCAAAACCCAGGTAAAACCCCTGGGTATGGGTTTTCAATAGAAAAAATCCGGGGTTTTCCTTACCCTGAACACGACCTCGACAGCTTTTTCATTTTTCTACACATTTTCCTCAACTTCCAATTTGCTTCATAATTTTGCATGTTTTGAGTGTCTCCAAAATTTCAAGTCGATTTTATAAGTTTTAAAACGAGTTTAATCTGAAGACAGGCAGACGACGGGCACATAAGCCATGACTCGGACTAATCCTAAGTTTGGGACATTTTCTGCCGAAGCGTTATTTCAGTATAAATAGAAATTGTAATTTCCCGAGGACGAATATATGTACATATTTATGAAAGCTTTTTTAAAATATTTCATATCTTCTAAGCTTTATTGAAAAAAAAAAATTTTTGTCCAAATTCTGGGTTGAAGAAACACGATCTGATGAAATTGAATGTATTAAAATTGTAAATAAGAAATATACTTTGGCGTCTTCATCTTACAAATTTCAACAATTTTTTTTCAAGAGGGATTTTTTATTGGTAAAAATTGATTTCTAATTTTGTAACGTGTCTCTAAATTTCAAGTCGATTGGATCAATTTTACGAGCGTAATCGATAGACAGACAGATAACCACGACGGCTAGGTAAGCCCCGACTCGGACTAAAATGTGAAATTTGGATGATTTTTTCTTGCCAAATTATTATTTCAGTAGAAACCATAAGTTGTAATCTGAAATTATTGTGGAATAAGGTAAATTGTTAGGTATATGTATATACGTGGATATGTATATGTAATTAATAATATGTATGTAATCTACGTAGATATGTATATGTAATTAGTTATGAATCTGTACATGACTCCATCTTTAACTCTCCACTAATAAATACTCTCCTCTGTCTCCTCTCACTGTGTACCACTTATTTATGTATAATCATATATACATAACATTGGTGGACCGTCGAGTACTTTCTTTCGCTCCTCCCACTCACAATGGATTTTAAAATTTTCAAAATTCTTCGACATCCTACCAAATTTGCTACGACGGCGACGACTAAGCAGCTTGACCACCGACCCTTAGAGCTTGTCATTTTGCTTCCGGTAGGGAAACTTCCCAAATCTCTCTTCTCAAAACCTTGCGTAAACTGTGTGATTTTCCTGTGAAACTTTTTTTGTGAATTTTCGTCATCTGGTCTGTAAATTGGATTATCCTCCCGGATGCTATCAGGTCTGTAAATTGGTTCTAAACCACCCTGAAAATATTTCCCCATTCTTAAAATTTCCAAATCTCCAGTCCAAAATTTACATTTCATAATTCGAGCAAATATGCTAAATTCAAAATTCCGTTATTTGTTTTAAACACGTCAAAAAAATATATGCAAAATTGTCCTTCAAAATTGTTAAAAAATCGTAAAAATATTGTAAAAAAAAATTCCGTTTAATTTCTGAAAAATTTTGATCAAAATTCGTTCAAAATTTATCAAAAGTTCTGCAAAATATTTGCAAAAATGTCATTTTTATTCATTTCGTCTGGAAAATTGTCCCAATTCTTTATCAAATTTTGTTGCAAAAATGTAATCTGATTCACCTTGTCTCAAAATTCTGCTGAACTTTCATGCTCGATCTGCGTTGTCACCACTTTCCCAGGCTGAGAATGAAATATAACGCCTTGAGATTAATGTTTGTAATGAGCAACGTCTACATATTAATTGCGTGTTCAAGTATGGAAATCCACATTGTACATAGTTCCCCTTTTTTAACGAGTCACGGTTATGGGTCACCCACACAAAACCCTGCGTCTTCGAGTTGTCCGGTTATGGGTCACCCAGAGAAAACCCTCACAAGTCTGCGTATTTATGTATCTCCGATGTCCCGATGGACGACATACCACGACCATAAAAATGTATTTTTCTTTGTTCATCGTTTTGTCCCAATCTGCAAGTTTTATATGAGTCAACCACCACCACGCCTGAGATGACACAATTCCACCACCGATTGCGAGCCATACCATCTTCTCAAGTTCCAGCCCTGCAAAATTACTGCGTCATTCGATATGTGTATTAAATTGTTCAGTGTTATTCATGCAAAATCTTTGTTCATGTTTGTTTTCCGGAGTCATTTCATATTTCATTTTTCCATGAATTTTACCTATGTCTCCAACCCTCAAAATTTCTAATTCAAATTGTGACTACTGAAATTTTTAGTTTGCAAACCTACACACTCTTTCAGACTATTTTTCAGGAGAAAAATTTTTTCGTGAGAGGGTAGTGTTAGGTATATGTATGCCTACGTAGATATGTATATGTAATTAGTTATGAATCTGTACATGACTCCATCTTTAACTCTCCACTAATAAATACTCTCCTCTGTCTCCTCTCACTGTGTACCACTTATTTATGTATAATCATATATACATAACAAAATATATCTGGCTACGTGTCCCTAAAATTTCATAAGTTTTTCTCGAAAGAAAAATTTCCTATACCATTTCAAAGCGAGTAAGTCGGGAAATAAGTTTTTGTAAGTCCCAAAATTAGCTCGACATTAACTCGTTGAAGGCCTGACTACATTTTAACTGAGAGGGATGTGGCCGTGAAAAAATTAAGACATACATAAAAAAGTATGGAGAATCCGAAAATGACAACCCCAAATACGCAGGATGAGAAAAAACCATCATTTCGACTCCTCCGAAAATGAAAAACGAAAAATTTGTTTAAGAAAATTCTCCATCCACGTCGGTGCCTGATGCGGCCATGAAGTCAAAGATTAATACAAACCACTTGTATCATATTAAGGCCTATAAAATGAGGGTCAAAGCGTATGCAAAGAAATCTCCAGAAAAATAAAGGGGACTGAAGAAAAAGTACGACCTCCCAAGCTTTACAACAAAATCTCACCAAAAAAGTTGGTCACGGACGACGAGTCCTACGTTCGTAAAAACGTAACAGAAACTCCGGGAAGGCAATTTTTTCATGGGAAATATATCTCCCAACTGCAAACCGTAGAGAAATTCAAATGTTTTTCGAAATTTCTCAGAAAACCTCAGGTTTGGTTGGCGTTCGGGCAATTTGGGCACGTTTCGGACCCTTCAGTTAAAAAGGGCTGTGAGGATGTACAAGTTTGATTTCGGGAATGGGGGATAGACCGTCTGATTCCTTTCATCAAGGAGTATTATAAAATAGAAAATGTAATTTTTGGACCGACCTTGGACCAATCCACGATCCAACAACTATCAAGCAAGAAATCGGAAAAAAATTCAGTTTGGCGTCGAAAAATGGAAACCCTACATACATGCCTCATCTTCGCTCAATAAAAAAATGTGACCTATGTGTAAGAAGGAATACTTCCAGCTTTGGGAAACAGTCGATACTTTAAGAAAATTTTGGTTCCGGTGGCAGAAAATTAACAATGAAGTTGCAAAGTCTTCCAAAAAATCAGTCACGGCGGGTGTGAAGAAAAAAGTTAAATGGAAAGTGGATAATGGATTAAAGTCCTAATTGTTCCTGGATATGTTTGGGCAGATATATTTTTAGTATTCTACAGAAATTTGAGATTTCAAAACTCATTTTTGACAATTTTCAGGCCGAAGTTGCAAGTGATCGGGTATATATAAGACCCGCTCTATCTATGCACATACCTGTTCACTTTCATTCATTTGACTGATTATGATAGTGAATGAAAATTAATTTCCTGTCATGTGAATGAAAATCATCGAAGGATTCCGTCATTTCAGATGAATGACTGTGAATGAAATGATTTTTCACCCTATGCTTAATACATGGGGCGAAGTAAAAACTGAAGTAAGATGAAATGAAATGAATTTGAAAGAAAATGACTGAATGTGAATGAAAATCTTCAGTCCGAAATCGGGATGATTGAATTTTAATGAAAACTGAATTTTGAACAGGTATGTCTTTGTATATTTCATTTTGCTAAAATTTTTTCAAAGATCAAACTTTATCTAATCATACTAATCGTATGAAATTGTAAATCAAAAATATATTTTGGCGTCTTCATCTTACAAATTTTAACAAGGTTTTGTTTTCTAGTTAAGTTTTTTATCAATATCTAAAAATTAATTCGTCTCCAAAATTTCTAGTGGATTGGATAAGTTTTACGAGCATAATGGATAGACGGACAGACAGACAACCATGACGGGTACATAAGTCCTGACTTCGGCTAAAAACAACTTAAAAAAAACTGTTAAAAAAATTTCCACACATTTTCCTTATCTTCCAACTCGATTCCTACATTCTTAGAAAACTGATATTAAATCATTACCGACCGGAGTACATATGTGACTCTACCGGCACTGGAATTACCGTTCAGTGATGTTGTGGTAATGAAAAATTTACCACTCAGGAACAATTTACTACCAATCGCGTAAGAAATTATTACCAAATTAATACCAGCACGGAGTATCTATGTGACTCTACCAGATTTTTAACAATGTAATTTAGCATATTCTACCATTGTAATCGATAGACAGACAGACAGACAACCATGACGGACGGGTACGTTAGCCCTGACTCGGGCTAAAAAAAAGAACGTGACACTTATGCAGTTTTAGTAAAATCTGTGATTGTCTTACTCAACACCAAAGGAGACGAGTCCTACACAAGGAACAAAAATGTATGTATATTTTGCTCAAATTTGAAAATCATGCTCGTCATTGCTCATAATTTTTCATCTTTCGCTTACCAACTTGCTCAGCCGTCGTCTTTGAGTTTATTGTCAGACTTCCTCCCGAATCGCCCTTCAAAACGTAATTAATTAATTAAATTAATTAATTAATTAATTGTGTATAATGACCAGAGGGAGGATATGTATTTACAAAAAATCCTGGAATTATGTCAATCTTTAATATTTACGAAAAATCTCAAAATATATGAAATTACGTAATTACATGCTATTTACGAAATATATACGAACAAAAACATGAACATAAGAATTTTAAAAATTTGTACTTTTAATTTGTAATTAAAAATAATTAACAATAATTAAGAAACTAATCCCCTAATTTATCCCCTAAATTAATCTCCTGTGGTCGAATTAATTTCAACACGAAAATTTCGTCTCACATCGTTTATGTATTTACAAAATATGTATATTTAAAAAAATATAAGTTTTTCGCATTTCTTGAATAATAGCGGAAATATTTAATATGTTTAAAAACCTAGAAATATGTGACAATGTGTAAAAATATTTTGAAATTTTTGTGATCTATGCGAGTTAGGGGAACACACCGACAAAGCTTGACGGTCATCAAATGGAAAAGTTAAAAATAAATACATATCCGCTCTTTGCTCATGCAAATCATCATCATAATAAAAACTGCATTTAATCACGACATTCATTCACAATCAAGGACTTTTTTGCAATATTGCAAAAAATTACTAACCCTGCAACTATCCTGTCCTTTTCCACCAGAGCAAACCATCCCTTCCGTAATTTCGATGATGCTCGCATATTTCTTTTTACAATCCTCATGCTTCCAAATGTTTACCTGCGCCGTTCTTAATTTACTTGGTTGTTGGCATCCTTCACAAAGTTGGCCTGCGTGGAGTACATGAAAATTATAACTTTGTGATGCGAAAAGAAATTGGCGATATTTTTACGAATTGGCAACCGGTTTTTTGCTAATTGTTTTTTGTCAATTGTTTTTTTTTTGCTAGTCAAAATTTCACTAGCAAAATCCACGAATGTGTAAAATATCTACATATCTTAGTAAAATATCGACATATTTATTATCGTAACAAAAACGATAAATTGGTGTTAGAAAATACATTATTTTAGGTTTTAAAATCTTGCTGACAAAAGATGAAGATTTCTGAACGATTTTTGCACAAGGAAAATAAAGTCCTAAAAAGTACATTTGAGTACGTTAAAGTTTTCAAAAAATGTAAGAGTCTCACACCGAAAATAAAATCTGGTGAATTTTAACCATTTAAAAACATACCTGTTCAAAAAAAACTTTTTTCATTCAAAGTTCAGTCATCCCGATTTCTGACTGAAGATTTTCATTCACATCCAGTCATTTTCTTGCAAACTCATTTCATTTCACTTCATCGGATTTCATTCCTTACTTCGCCCCATGTATTAAGCATAGGGTGAAAAATGAAATGAGTGAAAATCCTTTCATTCACAGTCATTCATCTGAAATGACGGAATCCTTCAGTCATTTTCATTCACTATCATTCCCTATCATAATCAGTGAATCATGTATGTTCAAAAAGCGATAGATTTGTCTACCCTCACACATAAAGTGACACATTATAATAACTTGAATGATAGAAATTAGAAATTTTTTAAAGACCTTAAGAAACAGAAATGAACAAAATATTTTGTGTATTTTGAGCTTCTATGCATTTCTGGGACTGTAACACCCACAAAAAGACGAAAATTCACTTGGAGAAGGCAACAGTTAGATAAAAATAGGTATATGGTTTTGTCAAGAAATTATGTTTTTATCGGGGTCAAAATACATTGTTTTAACGATTTTTAAAAATAATTTTGACACCGATAAAAACATAATTTAAAAACCCCGTATTTTCGACTGACTACCTTCTCTACATAGATTTTGGTCTTTTTGTAACACCCCCCGAAATCCAAACCTTGGCAAAATACTCTATTTTTTGACACAGTATTTTCCCCGTCCCTCCACTAAAATTCAATCTCATAATATACGAACGTACCCCACCCAGCTATGTCGCCAGTCTTCTTGTCGATCGAACTCCTTTCGCCGCTGTGGAGGCAGACGGGTTGAATGGTTTTGCCATATTCGACCGGACTCGACAGCTTTATTAGACCGATGTCATTTTGCTGCAAATTTGTGAAATACTTACGACGGAGGTATCTCAGCGGATGGTCTCCGATTTTGAGCAAATTAGTCTCAATCGACGACAAATGTAATTGATATGAAATTTGTGAAAGACACGATTTCCTAATGGGCACGTTTCGCAGAGATACTTGCATCTGAAGAGGAGAAAACGCGCAGTAAATTTGGAAAGAGTAACATTGTAATATTTCGAAGTCAAAGACAATAAATTTTTCAAACAAATTAACTGTCAATATTTTGTATTTTTATTCTGTATCTGGTCATATTTAATTGAATTTATTTGTATTCAATATTTTTTTTCTGACATTGAAATATACCAATTTTACCCTTTCCAAATTTACTGTGCGTTTTCTCCTCTTGGGATGCAAATATCTCGGCCAAACGTACGCATTGGGAGATCGTGTCTTTCGCAAATTTCAGGATAATTAAATTTTGCATGCGATTCCTAATTTTTTACTGGATTTTATGATATAACTCGATACACAATCCCGATTTAGCTTGAAAAGGTTCAAATTTGTACCAATTTATCCATCGTAAAGTGCTTGTTGTACAGGACCATGTACGCCTTCCTGGTCTGAATGGGGGCATCGTTCGGGTTCGAAATATCGTGGTCGCCAAAGACCAACTGCAAATTTGCCACATCACTCGCCGACATGCTTTAAATACATAAAAATATGCAAATTAATGTAAATCATCATTTTCCTTAAGGTGGAATAACTCCGTCATAGATCTTTATTCTCACTCTACCCCAATTCAATGTATTTAATTGCAAATTTATAAAATTACATCAATTTTATGGGTTAAAAAAATTAAACTTTTCATACTTTTATGTATATAACGTTAATTTAGGGTACTACGGAAATATCAATTTGAAATAATTAGTTTTTGGTATTAGTTTTTGACGACATTTATTGCAAAAATTAAAAAAGTTAATCAGCATTTTTTTCAAATCGATAGTTTTGTAGTGCCAAAAGTTAGCTTCACAATAAAGTATGAAAAGCTGCATTTGTCTGAAAACTCATGAAAAAGATGTAATTTGCGAAATTTGCACTTAAAGAGATTGAGCTGGGGTAGTGTGAGACTTAAAATCTATTCCACACCAAATCTTCATCCTATAGCACCTTAATTAAATACTTACTGCTGGATACAATGCTGCAAAAATATTAAGAAATTGTTTTACTTATATATCGTTACCAAGTTTAATGCTTACATGATCAAAATTAAATTAATTACCGCGGCTGTAAGGACCCATTCATTATTGATGATCGAACCTTAATTAAAATCAAAATCAGCTACTTTTCAGAAAACATACACGAACGTTATCTTTTCCAACCTCCGCAAAATTGTCGCCGTTTGTTCATCAAAGCCACCTTGAAAGTTCGCGACAAAAAAAATAATTAGAAATACAGTTATCGGACGACATGATTATTTTAATGCAGATATTCTGCCAAATGTTGATGAATTTCAAAGATGAAATCGAAACAAGCCTAAAATGATTTGGATAAAATAAATCAAAATTTCATTAATGCATTATTTTACAAAAATTTTGAATATTTTAAACCCAACGAAATCTCAGCAAAATTGTGATTTTCTGTAGCATAATTGTGAATTTTTAATTTTTTGTTTAGATTTTATTTCACAATTTTATAGACATACCTGTTCACTTTCATTCATGTGCCTGATTATGATAAAGAATGATAGTGAATGAAAATGAATTTCCTGTGATTTGAATGAAAATGAGTGAAAGATTCCGTGATTTCAGATGAATGACTGTGAATGAAAGATTTCTCACTCATTTCATTTTTCACCCTATGCTTAATGCAGGGACGAAGTAAGAAATGAAGTCAGATGAAGTGAAATGAAATGAGTTCGAAAGAAAATGATTGAGCGTGAATGAAAATCTTCACTCAAAAATCGGGATGACTGAAGTATGAATGAAAAAAGTTGTTTTGAACAGGTATGTTTATAGGACTGTAGGATTTCAATCTCGAATCCAAATTCAGTCAACATTTTGTAATATTAATAAACCTTTCAGATAAAGTAGCAGCGTCCTTTAATAATTGGGATAAAATTAAGTAAAGTATTTTTTAATTAATGATTCAATTTTCTGAAAAAAAACTCGTAATTTCCAGAAGCAAAATTCGAAATTCTTGGATTTTATTTCACGATTTAATAAAACTGAGTTTTCAATGTAAAAAGTTTATTAAAACTATATAGAGATCCCGTACTATATAGTGGCGATGGAGAACTTTGACCTAAAAATGGTCAAAAAATGATTCTTGAAATCTCAAATTTTGGTATAATATGTCAAATATATCTGACCACGTGTCCTCAAAATTTCATAACTTTTGCTTGAAAAATAAATTTCCTACGCCATTTCAAAGAGAGAAAGTCGGGAAACGAATTTTTTATAAGTACCAAAATGTGAGCGACAGCGACTCAAAGAAGGCTTGACTACATTTCAACGGAGACAGGTGTGGTCGTGAAAAAATTAGTACATACATAAAAAAGTATGGCAAATCCGAAAATATCAACTTCAAATACGCACCACAAGAAAAAACCATCATATTGACCTCTTGAAAATGAAAAACGATTAAATTTATTTTTGGAAAGTACCGCTCCACGTTTGTGCCTGATGCGGCCACGAAGTCGAAGATTAATCCAAACTATGTGCATCATATGAAGGCTCATAAGTTGTGGGTCAAAGCGTATTCAAAGAAATCTGCAGCAAAGCATACGGAAGGTCAAGAAAAAATGGTGAACGCAAGCCCTCCCAAGCCTTACAACAAAATTTCACCAAAATAGTTGGTCATTGGCGACGAGTCTCACGTCTTCAAAAACGTGACAGAAACTCCGGGAAGGCAATTTTTTGTGGGAAATATATCTCTCAACTGAAAACCGAAAAGAAACTAAAATGTTCTTCGAGATTTCTCAAGAAATTTCAGGTTTGGCAAGCGTTGGGTAAATTTGGGCATGTTTCGGACTCCTCACTTCAAAAGGGCTGTGTGGAGGCACATGTTTGTTTTCCGAAATGTGAGATAGACCGTCTGATTCCTTTCATCCATGAGTATCAGAAAATATAAAATGTAATTTTTTGGACCGACCTTAGACTAATCCACAATGCAATGACTATCAAGGAAGGGATCGAAAAAAAAATTCAGTTTGACGTTGAAAAATGAAAACCTCACATTCAACACTTATTATAGCTCAATAAAAAAAATTAGGCTATATGTAACAAGGCATACTCCCAGCTTTGTGAAACAGTCGAAACTTAAAAAAAATTTCGATTCAGGTAGGAGATAATTGCCCATTAAGTTGCAAAGTCTTCCGAAACAGCAGTAATGGCGGGCGTGATGAAAAATGTTAAATACGAGATGGACAATGGATTTCAGGCTTCTTTCTTCGCGGATGTGGGTAGTCAGATATATTTAGGATATCATACCAAAATTTCAGATTTCTAGAATCATTTTTTGACCATTTTTAGGTCAAAGTTTCCCATCGCCACTATATAGTACGGGATCTCTAACTTACTTAAACAACTAAAAAAGCAGATATATTTATTCCGAGCTTTCGATGCATTATCTTCAGGGAAAATTTTAGAAATCGAAAAAACAAGATTGATTTCACTTCATTCAGACGTGGGTAAAATAATTTGTCAAAATGCAGTATTTTGAGCTCAAACTGCTGTACTTTAAAGTATTTTTGCCACCTCTGTTAGTTTGTTTTAAATAAATCTATGTTTTCTATAGTTTAATTTATTTAACTCTGGAAATTACCTCTAGGTAATTTCCTTGTCACATTTGGCACATAAAACCCAGGTATATATGGCTTTCTAAATAACTAAACCTAGTTAGAATTTCTTTTTCGGTGATCAACTCTTGCACTTTTTGAAATCTTGTTACGTTTCCCACCCTACATGTTCAAAAATTTATTTTTTATTCAAAATTCAGTCATCCCGCTTTGTGACTGAAGATTTTCACTCACGTTCAGTCATTTTTTTGAAAATTCATTTCACTTCATCTGACTTCATTTCTTACTTCGTCCCATGTTTTAAGCATGCATAGAGCGAAAAATATTTAAAGGAGTCATAAATCCTTCATTCATCCGAAATGACGGAATCTCTCAGTCATCTTCAATCAAATGGCAGGAGTTTCATTTTCATTCAGTATCATAATCAGTCAAATGAATGAAAGTGAACAGGTATGTTCTCCACGCAAGAATCGTTTATAAGTTTGGGGCTTTTGTCAGCCGGATTCGGTGTGAAAACCGAAGAGTTTTTTACATACACGGAACCAATATTATTCAGATTAGAATTGGTTTGATTTATATTTTAACTAATATGAAAACCCCTTTACAAATTCTGAAATTAAAAAATTGCCGAAAAAAAATGTGTTTAAAAAGTTGCCAGCCTGAACGGTTGTGCAGAATAAAATATGTACTTTTTTCAGTAGGAAATTTTCCCTTTAAACATGAAGAATTCTTTCATGAGTAAAACCAAGGGATTATTTTTCTAAATAAAATTATCTACCGAGCAAAAAAAAAACGAAAATCTGGAGAAGACAACAGTCAGCCGAAAATTCAGATTCTGTAAAGAAGTTGCATTTTTAACGCTGTAAAAATGCATTGTTGACACGATTAAAAAAAATAAAGTATATTTGACTTCGATAAAAAGATAATCTCCACAAATCCTGGATTTTCATATTTCGTACTCGGGACAGAAACTCAACAATAATCTATCAAATTAAAATTCGTAATTAAAATTCGTCAGACTTTTTCTCGGTGTTAGACTCCTGCATTTTTTTAAAGCATGTACAATTACGCTTTTCCCAGGTAAAAATCGTTTATTTTCTTTAGAAATCTTGGAATTTTTTTTGGTTGGAATTTTTATTCCTGGAAATTCAAACCCTGGGAAGGACGGAGCTCAAATACCGTTCAAAGTATTTTTCCTACTTATGAAAGTAATAAAATGTAAACTTAAATCAAATCCTGTACTCACAATCCACGGAAATTCATGCATTTTTGCCTCTCTTCCCCCCACGATACGTGTCGCCCCCTCTTCAAGATCAGTTTCATTGCCAGGAACTACCGGGTTATTATTTTCTTCGCCCAAATGCACTTGAACTTGGCCACACGTTCGTTTTCCCTTGACCGACTCTTCTTCCACCACGTCCCCCGGTTCCACGGGGGTTGGGGGATAAATTGGGTTCCGATGCGGACAACAGATAAGAAATTCTGCGGTGAGGACTTGCCTAAAATCTGGAAACATTTTACAAAAAAAATCCTTAAAATTTCTGAAAAATAAATAGTTCTATCTTAATAATTTTGTTTACATTCTGGTTATGAAAAATCTGGACAACTGTACAGAAAACAAATTTTTAAAAAAACATTCATTTTTATAAAATTCGGGGGGTCAGAACTTGCTTAAAATCTGGACACAATTTTCAGAATATCTATCAAATTTCCGAAAAAAAACATTTATGTCTGCATGATATTGTTAGAATTTTCGTTGAGAGTTTGTTTAAAATCTAGATAATTTTTTTTCAGAAAATCTTCTCTCAAATTTCCTAAAAAGCAGTCTGTACAACTTTGTTTAATTTTGTGGTGAGAACTTGCTTAAATTCTGGGTAGCCTAAAATATTCACACAAAATCTCTAAAATTTCTGAGAAAAAAATTGTTTTCCTTACTCTGTGGTGAAATCCGATCTGCACCGGACGTCTCCATGTCGCAAATTCCAGAAATCTGGATAAGAATATGGGCCAACTCGGGGTTCATCGTGGTCACGTGTTGTTCCACCGTTTTATTCAGCGGAAATAGGAATGGGTAACACTCCTCAATTTTTCGACATGTCCCCCGCTTTCCGCGGGTCGTGGTACATTTCGAGGACAAAACGATGGCGTCATATCCTTCAGCCGAAGTGTCTTCTACAACAGTGCGTCTCATTCTTTGAGGGGACGATTCATCCCCTAAAGTAAAGGATCAATTTTTTTTCAGAAGTCTGTGAATCAGTGGCCGCGGAAGTCGGGGGAAAAGATCCCCTCGTACAGAAAATCGTTTGGAAATTTTTATATGCAAAAGAATTATTCTGATAAGATTTTGTTTTGGTCTTGATCCAAAAATCTTGTTCCAAAAATCTTGTTCCAAAATCTTGAATTTGAATTTTTGAGGGTATTGGGCCAGTGGCTGCGGAAGTGGTAGGGACAGAGGGGCAATATCCTCACAGTTATTCGATATCCGCATCACCTGCCCATATTATAAAAACCCCTCCCTCCTCTATCCTTAAATATTAATGTCCCCGCATGTCTCCACAGCTTCCGCGGCCACTGTTCGGAAAAAACTATCTATTTTTTACCTGCTTTTATAACGATGGAATCCCCATCTACGAAAAAATCTTGCCTAGCGAAAACCGAGGCCACCACAAAAAATAAAACAAATATGATTTTTTTCATCGCTAAAAATAATTATAAATCTTCCACTTTCCAATCTTTCCCTAGACTGGAGTCGTTTCTCCGAGATCCCACTATTTTTCATGGCATGGGAAAAACCATGAAATATTTAGTTTTGGAATTGTATTTACCCCGATGTCCATGGAATTTTTTAGCATTTATGGAATTAATGATTTCTTTTGCCATTTTTGTCCCGCATTTTAATTTATGGTCAATCTTGTAATAAACGTGAGCGATATTTCTGCCATGCCCAAAATAAATTAATTCTCAGAATTAATTATATTTTCTGGGCATTAATTATGTAGCATTGTACAACTCTGATTAACAGGTAGCCAAAAAAACTGGATGGTCCAGACCATTCAATTGGAGGTCGAACAATGATCCTTTATTTTGGTTATAAAACACCTTGACAGATTTATTCCACTCATTTGGCACTGTTCTGTAACAATCTTAGAAAGTTGTTTCGCAATTTTTTTTTGCATATGTGTCTGCCAGATGTATCGACTGGATACCTGAATGAGTGAATATTGTGGAACTATCATGCAAGGCATGCGTGAACGCTTGAAGAAAGATTCGAAAATTGACACGTTTTTCTGCATAACAAAGTTTCATGCAAAATTCTATGCAAAATTTTACAAAAAATTTCGGACCAAATTAATGTTGGAGGACAATGTGCAGAATTAGTTTTGTGTACATTTTCTGCCCAGACCTTTATGCGAATATATAAATAAATACTGCAAAAAATATGCATATTTTAAGATTTTCATTCTCTCCACGAACAAGTAACTATTTGAAACAATTTATTTTTTAGCTTTCTAATAAATTAACCAGTTTAATTCGATGGCAAAATTTTTAATAAACAGATTGGTAAAGAAGGTGTTGTATTATTCTTCGCTTTCTTTATTTATTGATAACCCATCCCTTTCACCATGTTGGTATTAATCCAGCTCAAGTATCGGTCAACTCTACAAATTCGAAAATATATCAAAATTAAAAATCACTTTTTAAAAAATTGCACATCATAATTCAGAATTATTGTTGCATTTTAAACCTCGTGTAAACACCCGGGTAGCGTCCACAACCTGTGCATAAAACCGAACCAAATTTTGCATTATTTTTATTCAACATCATTTATTATGCATGAGTTAACTCATTAATTAATTAATTACTCACCAATTCCCCAGCTCACAACGCCAATTTGTTTCGCCTGACTTTTATTATCCACGGTTAACGGGCCACCAGAGTCGCCTAGAAAAAAAGACAAGACAAGAAAATCTCAAATCTTAACGTCATGAAGATCAGAATACGTGATTAATGAATCCCACTTGTGTGGGATTACATTAATACAGGACGAATTAAATAATTCGATTTGCTGTGATTAAAGATTAATTATTCCTGATTAATTTTTGATTAAGGATTAATCAAAATTATATATATATTTTACTGCTTTTACTGATTGCAATCAACTTAATTCTAATGATGATTAAGGGTTAATAATTTAGCTACGCTTCGTCGGTACTAAGGATTAAGAGCATACAAATTGTTGTTAGGATTGAGCAGTAGGGATTATTAATCCTTAATCCCAATTTTAATCCCGATTAATTAATCACGAGTTAAGGTCACTGCTTGTCGGCCCACCTTGGCACGAGTCTTCCCCCTTGTCCGCGCCCGCGCAGATCATTCCGTCCCCAACTTTGTTCGCGGTGCCGGTGTAGCGTCCCTTACAATCGGCCGGCGTGATGACGCGCACCGTGACTGCGCGCAGGTCGGACGGTTGAGAACCCCCCTCACTCAGGGAACCCCATCCCGCTACGTCCGCTCGGCTTTTTCCGTCAGCCACGTTCGGCGTCCCCGAGTGCAGGCAGACGGCTTGAATCGTGTCCGAGTACGTGACAGGCTGGTCCAAAATTAAGAGGGCGATGTCATGTTGCTAAAAATAAAAATTGGTTACAATTTTTTTTAGGAATTTTTCATTTTTTTCAAAAAATTAGGTTCAAAATTAACACAGCGATATCATGTTGCTACATAAAAATTTTAAATATTTACAAATTTTTCATTTTTTTTTAATTGGTGAGGTTATTCATTCATACTTCATTTTTTGCCAACTTGCACCAAAATTAAAGTATCAGAGGGTGGATATGCATTTACGAAACGACAAAATTTGTATTTACGAAATAGCTATGCAAGTGAAAAAATTTAATAATAAAAATTTTGGCAAAATTTGTATTACAATTCGTAATTCTAGAAAATTCAAAATTTTTCAAAATAATTAATCTCGTTTCTAAGAATTCAATGATTTGGATTTTTTTGGTCGAATTTTTACTTTCCTTGAACAAACTCAATTTATCTCACGTCGTTAAAATGTGTATAAAATATACGTATTTTTTGAAAAAGACGTAACACATTTACATATTTTTAAAATAATAGCGGGCATATTTACATTTCTGAAAACTTAGAAATACATTGTTATAATATATCAAAATATTTTGAAATTGTCGTGCTCGATGCGAATTATGAAATACACCCCATAAAATTTGACCGTCGGTTATCATCAAATGAAAAATAAATAAAAAATAAAAAAATACATATCTGCCCTCTGCTAAATATGCATAACATTTTCGCAACTTGGTAACAACGCGTGAGGCATAAAAACACCCAAAAAACTTACCAAATGCTTCATGCTAAACCCTTTATGGTATTTGACCGCTTTAGCTGAAATTTATAAAAGGACGTTATAAATTTTTTCTTACAAATCATTAAGCAAAAATGGAAATTTAAATTTATGGCATTATGAAAATCCTTAAAATATTTGTAGCTCGTCTACAACATGACCTTTTGAAAAATTATTAATTTCAAACACTACAAATTTTCCTTTCCGACGCAGAAGTTAAACTTTTACACAAACTTGAATTTTCTAATATAATCATTTCTAAAGCTCTTTAATTGGGTTAAAATTACTAAAAAAACAATTTTCTGAAAGTCTCAAATTCTAATAAAATTCCAAAAATATTTAAATTACAAATAATTTTCCGAACTTTTTAAATTCAACTAAAATTATTCAAAAATTTGCAAAATTTTTTATTTTGGCATACATTATTTTGAAATCCAAACAACTTTTTAACAATTTTTCCCAACAATTAATCTTCTGAACCTTCTAATTGAATTAAAATTACATATTTAAAAACTTTGTAAAACTTCCCATTTTCATAAACATAATTTTGAAATCTTAATAATGTTCTAATAATTTTTTCTCGACAATTAATTATCATTCAATTGCAATTTTTAGGTTAAAATACATACGCACCTCCACGAACTTCATGTTTGACATCATTCTTCTTGTAAATATCCCAGTCACCAATTTGCAATTTCAGATTTTTCACATCGGCAGAAGTCATGCTGAAAAAATAAAATTTCGTAAAATCTGTTAACCCAGAAATTTCCGTTTTTCTGCTTTCATTTTACTTACTGTTGGACGCAATGTGCTAAAAAAAGCATAGGTAAACAAAGTCAATTAAAAATTATGCAAAAAATCATAAATTCGCCAATATTGCATATCAAATTGAATGCACTTACCCGCTGTCAACACTGTATTTTGATTGATAAGACTTCCACCTGTTAACAATTTCATAATTTTTATGAAAAATCCTGGAAACATGTAATTCAACATTTACGAAAAATGCAAAAATATTTACAACAAACAATCAAATTTTCTGAATTGAATACTTTTTAAATTCGTAATTTCATATTTTTGTATATTATTCCAATTTGTTCCGTCCAAAAACTTTTCTCTATAAATTCGACATAATTTTTACGCGTTTTTTTAAAAATAAATGAAAAATTTACAAATACTACCTCAAATATTTTAAATAATGATCGCATTATTAAAAAGTCATAAACAAAAAATATTCGTGGAAATATATTGCAAAATAAATAATAGAGTTTAAGGATCCGCAAAAGATACTTACCACAAAATTGTCGCCCTCTATTCATCATGGCCACCTAGTAAAACATAATTAATTTCTATGTAAAAAACTGTCCGAAATTTATACAGAATTTTCATAATTTTATAAAATTTCTAAATATACAAAAATCAATCCGAAATCTATACCGAGTTTTTTTCAAATTTATAAAATTTCTATATAAAAAGACTCACTCTAAAATTTATTTTCTATCGAATTTTTCCATAATTCTATTCACATTTTTAGTCATTTATGTAAATATTTACATAAATTTGTGCAAATTTTTTCCATTTTTTTGCACTTACCACGTACAGATATTCGCAAATTTTTGCAGAGCATTTTAATATAATTTTACGTGCATCTTACTTTTACTAGATTATTCAATTTATAAAATTTCGATATAACAAATCATTCCGAAATTTATTTACTATCAAATTTTTATATAATTCCACCCACATTTATGTAAATATTTACATAAATTTGTACCAATTTTTTCCATTTTTTTGCACTCACCACGTACGGATATTCGCCAACTTTTGTTTTCCTCCCTTTTACAATTTTATCCATTTCTTCCTCCGTTAAAGGACCCTCGTCTATCAATTCTGCCCACGCGGTCCGATTTTCCTTGACCGAATCATTCCTATACCCGCAACCTTTTCCCTTGTACATTTCGTCGTACACGTTGTCCGGCTCTTTTTCCGGGGCGTCCAAGTCAAACGATCCGGGATTCGTGTCGGGCTGTGCGGGACAGCAGAGGAGCACTTCCGACCGCAAAATTTGGTCCATCACTGCAAAAAACGTACAAAATTCAGCGGTACAAATTTTAAGCTCGTTCCCAGGGTTTAGATTTCCGGAACTGTTGACAATCTACGCGGAGAAGACAACATTCAGTCGAAAGTACAGTTCTTTTTAAAGAAATTTACTTTTATCCCTGTCAAAATACTACATTTTTAAAAATCGTGAAAACAATTAATGTATTTTTTCAGCGAGGAAAAGTTAATTTCTTCAAAAAAACTTGCATTTTCCGCGTAGATTTTCGTCTTTTTGTGGGTGTAACAACCCCCGAAATCCAAACCTTGAGAAGAACGGGCCTCAAAATGCTGCCGATATTTTTAAAAAATCGACCATAATCTAATCTGAATAATACTTTTCTAAATCATTCTTTTTTTTGCATTAAGAAAGCGACATACGTACGCACAAGTTTTCAAAAATGCAAGATTTCGAAACCGAAAAAGAAATTTTGAAATGCAAGATTTCGAAACCGAAAAAGAAATTTTGAATACTTTTAGCTCTCTGACATGACAAAGATATATAATTTGTCAATTCGGGTCAGACGAAGTTATTGAAATAATTCGAATATATAACTAACAATGCGATGGTGTGAAGAGTAACCCTCTGATTTGGTTGAAATTTTGAAACTATGTTGTCCAAGTCAGTACAACCAACGTTTCTTCAGGCAGTTTGTGCGATGGTCAGAATTTGCCAAAATTTTTGAGGTCAAAGTTGAAAAACCGGGTGATTTTCAGGTGGAGGAAGAAAACCCAACTTCCATTCTCTTCCCGTGCTAAAAATCGCATATTTGTTAACTCTACGCTCAAATATTTTGGCAAATTCTGACCATCGCACAAACTGCCTCAAGAAACGTTGCTTGTATTGACATGGACCACATAATTTCAAAATTTCAGCCAAATCGGAGGGTTACACTTAGCACTATTGCATTGTAAGACGTGTTTTTACGACTTTCAAAACCAGAAGGGTCAAAATACTTTGTCAAAATGCAATATTTCCAAAGTAGTGGATTTTCAGGATTTCTACAAAAATTTCGGAGAAACGATTTGGAGGAAGTAAAGTAATGTACATCCAAGTTTTTCATATATGCAAATTAATTAATTTACATACGCGTTGGGGTGAAGTCACTTCTCGCTTGGGGCGTATTGTCGCAAAAGCCCGACGCTTCGACCAGCATTTCCGCAAGGATTCGATTTCGCACGGGTACCGTCCCGTTTTCCGGGATTAGCAGCGTGAAACAGTCCGAAACGGTGGTACAAGATCCCTAAAATAAAAAAAAATGTAATTTGATAAAACAAAACTTTTGAATTTCAAATTTTGCAAAAAAAACTCTAATTTGCATACTGTATAATCAACGGCTTTTAAAGTGTGGCAATTTTTTTAATTTGAAATTTTCTAAATAAAATTCTAATTTGTATATTATTTATTTAATTGACAGCTTTTAAAATGTGGGAATATTTTTTTTAATTCAAAATTTGACAAATTTTTATACTTTTTCAAAATTAGCAAAAAATTAATTTTAATATTATTTAATCGACATCTTTTAAAATGTGGCAATTTTTTTAAATTTGAAATTTTCTAAATACAATTCTAATTTGTATATTATTTAATTGACAGCTTTTAAAATTTGGGAATATTTTTTAACTTAAAATTTGACAAATTTGCATTTATTTCAAATTTAGCAAGACAAAATTCTAATTATCATATTATTCAATCCATATCTTTTAAAGCTTTGAAAAATATGTATTTAAATTCAAAATTTGGAAAAAATGCTTTTAAATTTAAAATTCGGGAAAAAATCTAATTTGCATATTATATAATCAAACCCACCGGTTTTCCTCGAGTCGTAGTGCAGACGAGATCCACTTTTGGGGACGTTTTAGCAGCAGCATCATCCGGAACGACGAGCGTGGGGACGGTCGTCGATGGCGAAGTCGTCGTCGTCGTGGTCGTCGTTATTGGCGCGGATGTTGACGTCGACATCGTCGTTGGTGTCACGGTTGAGATCTCGTCCACGCCTGACGCACTAATTGTGGTGGCTGCAATTATGTAAAATATTGCAAAAAAATGTCGCAAAAATTGGGCGTGCTCACGTTAACCTTTGCATATCTCGTAAATTTAGCGAAGCTTTTGCCAAAAATCTATTGAGTTTTTTGCATTGTTTTTAGAATTTAATCGTAAAAATTGGGCTTATTCACGTCAACCTTCTCATGTCACACAAATTGAGCAACCTGTTTTTTTGCAAATTTACTCCGCACCTGGGGATGCTGTTATTCGCAAAATTATTTTGCAAACTCATTCTCACCAGCACCAGCAAGAGAAATTACAGAAATTTATGCAAACAACTTCAAAATAGGTGTTTTCAGAAGTAAATTTGCGAGACTTGCAAACTTATATTTTGCAAATCCTCTCACAACACAAATTTTTACAGCTTGGCAAGTTTGTCAATTAAGTTGCGAAAAATTGTAAATTATAACAAATTTAAATTTGCAGATTTATTTACCATCTATCGACTCCGTATCGACATCTTCGTCCAAAGGAAGGCTGGACACGATCAAAGGAGAAATTAATCCCAAAAATAGAAGCAAAATCTTGAATTTCATCCTTGCCAAAAATTTGCAAAATTTTATACGTGCAAAATTCCACCGGTGCAATCAATATTATCCAACACAACCGGATATTTTATCACGACTGGGCACCAACTGGCTTGTCTTGGTTATTGACTTTATTCACTACCAGCAGGAAGCCGGATTGAGATTTTTGCCCTCTTGCTGATTTTTGTCTCGCGAATTTATTTTGCAAAACCAAACCTTCAACTTGAACTTGCAAGGTATGTATGCATATGCAAATAGGCAGTGGCCGCGGAACCCGTCGTGGGGACATCGGGGGACATTCAAATTGTAGGATAAGGGAGGCTGGGGTTTATATAACATGAGGAGATGATGGGGACATTGCCCCTCTGTTTCCACCAGCTTCCGCGGTCTGTGAATTTCGTGGTTTATGCATGTAATCAGTGGCCGCGGAAGCCGTGGGGACATCTGGGGACATTAACATTGTAGGATAGGGGAGGGGTTTATATAACATGGGCAGATGATGCGGACATCGAATAACCATGGGGACATTGCCCCTCCGTCCTCTCCAGCTTCCGCGGCCACTGCAAAATAGGTACGCAATGTGCCTTGTGATCATTGATCTCTCAGAGTAGTAAGTAGTAAATCTGCATTTTGCAAACAATCACAAACGCATAAATGAAAAATACTTGTCTGTCATGTCATGTTTCTCAATTTTTTTATCCACTTCTCCTTTTCATTCTCTTTTATTGTGCCTCCGCTTCTTATCCTGCCTGTCATCTTTTTCGCGAATCACTCCTTGTCGATGGGAGGATTGATTTCATTGGCAAAATTGCAAAGAAAATATTGATGGACATACTTCAATTCAGTTTTTGCATGAATTTTGCGTATCTAGAAATTATGTAAGGTACGAAATTCTGCACGCATAAAAAATGACATGGACTCTCCATGTGAATATTTTTTCGCGATGGGAGGCTTGATTTCTTGGAAAAATTGCAAAAATGTGTGTGACCCCAGAAATTTTTGCGGGGATTGATTTCATTAGTAAAATTGCAAACAATATTAATGCGCAAATTTCAGTTTTTTGTATGGTATCTGTAAATTATGCAAGTTATAAAATTTTGCAATACATAAAAAATGGCATGGATTCTTATCTTATCTTATAAAGTTTTAAGTCATATGAATTTTGGCATACATAATTAAAATGGCGTCGATATTATACTATACAAATATGTGGGAAACTAATAATTTTTTCCAGGATTGATTTCATTGGCAAAATTGCAAAAAAAAACTTTGATGGACGGACTTCAATTTTTGTATGAATTTTGCATATCTAGAAATTATGTAAGGTATGAAATTTTGCAATACATAAAAAATGACATGGACTTTTTATGCGAATCTTTTTCATAATGGGAGGATTGATTTCTTGGAAAATTGCAAAATGTGTGTGACCCCAGAAATTTTTGCGAGAATTTATTTCACTGGCAAAATTGCAAAATAATATTGGTAGACAGACTTCAATACAGGTTTGTATGGATTTTTCGTATCTATAAATTATGAAATTTTGCAATACATAAAAAATGGCATTGATTCTCCATGCGAATCTTTTTCGCGATGGGGGGATTGATTTATTTGGCAAAATTGTGAAGAAAAAATTTATATAGCGGAGGATGTTAATCTTATAAATAATTAAGTTATATGAAATTTTTCATACATATTTAAAATGGCATTGACCTTATAAAACTGTGCGAAACTATAAATTCTTGCGAGGATTTTGGAAAAATTGCAAAGAATATTGATATATACAACTTCAATTCAGTTTTGTACGGATTTTTCGTATCTATAAATTATGAAATTTTGCAAAACATACAAAATGGCATCGACTCTCCATTCGGCTCATTAAAATAATGGTCTTCATCTTTAACCTCTTAACGACGAAGTACACACATTTGTGTAGTATCTCATTTTTCCGTTGACGACGATATACACAAATGTGTGTACTGCAAAAATAAATTTCCTTGACACCAAAGTTTTTTCAAAAAAAGAAAATTTCTTCGGTATTATGTGGAAAACTCGATGGTGAAAAGTGGATTTTTTTCGACATTTTTCTCCAAAAATTTTGGAATTTTCCCTATACCGACCAATGTTAAAAAGTGGATTCTTCGTGTTTTTCGTCAAAAACTCGAATATTGGAAACTGGTAGAAAATTTTAATTGGTTGCTATCAGGTATCCTTATGAAATCAAAATCGTACCGAAGGGAAATTTTATTTAAAAATTAGTAGTCCTAAAGAGGTTAAGCTACATCCACAGTCCGTGATTTGTTCGTGATTTGGTGATGCTTTCACGGGTTCATAATTACAGCATGTTAATCACCATAACAATTAAAAAATCGACCAATCAGAAAATCAGAATAAAATAATTTTTGGAAAGTTATGGAGCATGGATGCGAGAAATTATCAAATCATTACGAAATCATGAACAAATCACGGACTATAAATACAGCTTTAGACTGCGTAGGATCTATAAATTATTAAATTATGCCGAATTTTCTATACTGATTTAAAATGGAGTCCACTCTAGTTAAATTTTTTGCAACACTAGAAATTTTTGCAATGTATTGTCAAAATTGCAAAAAACATGTGGACAGACTTAAATTTAGTTTTTGTAGCGATTTTGCATATCTATAAATTATGTAAGTTATATACGAAATTTTGCATGCATAAAAAATCGCATCGCCCTATTAAAATATTTACATTGGGAAATCACGACAAAACGTTGTATCTATAAATTATGAAATCATGCAAATTATGAAATTTTGCATAAAATTGCATGACCTTTCCCTAAGCAAATCATTTTCCTATCCGAGGATTGATTTCACTGGCAAAATTGCAAACAAAATATTGGGCCGCAGCCGTTCTACATTTAGGGCATTTTGGCATTTATATAAAATTTTGCACACATACATAACCTGGCGTTGACTCTTATTAACGATGGGGGGAAGGATTTATTTTGGCAAAAATTGAAAAAACAGAAACTGGAGGTCATATTGCGTCGCGGATCTTTTTAATTATTATGATATATGAAATTTTGCATACTTTTTAAAATGGCGTTGACCTTAAATAATTAAGTACACCATAGTAAAAAATTTTGCGAGGAATTGTCAAATTGCAAAAAAGAACGGTGGACAGCCTAATATTCAGGTTTTGTACCGATTTTGCATATCTATATCCATATAAGTTATGTATGAAATTTTGCATGAATCACTTCGACCTATAAGAACATTTACATTGGGAAATTACGACAAAACGTTGTTCAGAAGGTATCTATAAATTTTGAAATCGTGCAAATTATGAAATCATGCAAATTATGAAATCTTGCATAAAATGGCATGACCTTTCCCTGCAAACCATTTTCCTATCCGAGGATTGATTTCGCGGACAAAATTGCAAAAAATATTGGTCCGCCTTCAGCCGTTATGGATTTTTGGCATCTATAAACTATGAAATCATGAAATTTTGCATACAAACACAAAATGGCTTCCACTCTCTATAACGATAGGGAGAAGGATAGATTTTGGCAAAATTGCAAACAAATTGGCAATCAGAGTGTACGGATCTTATAAATTAAGTAATAAGAGTTCTGCCATACTTATTTAAAAAGGCGTCGACTTTATACTTACAAAAACACCACTGCCACATCCTCGCAAAAATTTTTTGCGAGGATGTGACAAAATTGCAAAAAAAATTGGTGGACAGACCTCAATTCCATTTTTATACGAAGTTATCTATAAAATTATTATCTACAAATGATTAAATCATGCTAGTCATAAAATTTCGCATGCAAAAAACGACATCAACCTTATACAAAAATTTATTTTTAATCTGTAACAACCACAAATTTTATTAAATAATTTGCAAAAAATTATGTACTTATTTAATCGAAAAGAATTATTTTTCAATTATTATCTCTGATTTTTGTAGATCCAGCTCAAGTATTTGTCCACCCTGTAAAATAAAAGCAAAATAATTTGCATTTAATTCCATAATTTAGTTCGAATTATTATATATACCCTCAAAATAAGGTAGTAATGAATCATTACCATGCGGAATGACTATGTGGCTCTACCACGTCGGTTAGGATTTGTCGTAGAAATGGTAATAATAAGTTCAGGGAAATTCAAATTCATTACCAAATATTAAGGAAGTGAATACCATTATGTATTAGATTTTAATTTCCCTGAACTTATTATTACCATTTCTACGACAAATCGTAACCGACGTGGTAGAGCCACATAGTCATTCCGCATGGTAATGATTCATTACTACCTTATTTTGAGTGTATTATTCGCATTGTTAACGTTCGCTAATTTTAAAGTTTTTGCTAACCTTGTGTAAACCTGAAAAAGAAGAACAATATTTCCAATATTATTATTTTTTATTTTATTATTAATTAATTGTTATTATCTTATCATACCCCTGGATAAGTTGCACAACCTGAAAAAAATTAAATTAATATTATTATAAATTTTGAAAATTTTCAGTTTAAAATTTCGCATTTTTGCGTTCATACCAATTCCCCAGCTAACAATGCCAATTTGCTTGGCGTGTGAGTGGCTATCAATCGTCAGAGGACCACCAGAATCTCCCTGTAATTATTTATTTAATTAATTAATTAAGAATTAACAATACAAATTAAGAGTCACAAATTAAAATTTGTAAAATTCGCTAAATCCAAGTTCATATTTAAACGTCACGAAATTAATTTTTCCCAAAACTTGCCAATTTTTCTGCACAATTCTCTCCATAAATAGAGCAAAATTTGCGCGATTAATTAATTAACAATATCAATTACGACTCACAAATTAAAATTACTAAAATTCAATAAGTATGTAAAAGTTCATATAATTTTATGAAATTGATTTCGGATTTTGCAAATCGGAATCATGCAAATTTTTTGCATGATTCCTTTCATGGAAAGGGTTTTCGTTCTGCACAAAATTTTTTCACAAGACTACGCCGTGCGAATTCTGTCTTAAAAAAATATGCAAATTTTTGGCGTATCGAATTTCACACGCGTTTCCTCACCTTGCACGAATCTCTCCCTTTACCACCGGCACAAACCTGCCAAAAAATTAAAAAAATAGATTCTCCTTCAAATTTTCAAAATTTTGATTTTTTTGTCGCATAAGTTTCAAAATTTCGAACTTCTTTGTCACCCACCATGTTACTAATAATTCCGGCCGGCGCCTTCTTTCCATAGGCCTGCATGCACTCCGTATTCGTGATGACGCGCACATTGACCGTGTTCAGGACAAAGGACAGCTTCCCCTTTTCCGCCGTCTGTCCCCAGCCCGTCACATCCGCCCCCGTCGTCCCCCCGTCGTAGCGCGGAGCTCCCGTGTGGAGACAAACGGGTTGAATATATTTCCCAAAAGTGACCGGTTTCGAGAGACGAATTACCGCAACGTCGTCGTACTTTCATAAAAATAATTTGCAAAATTTCAAAAATTCTGCACAATTTTTCATAAAATTGTCTGGCCGTACTCACGACAAAGTCTTATTTCGCGGATCGAAACGCATTTGGTAAACTTGCCAATTTCAAAAAATCTATATTGTAAGGAAATTAGCAAAATGTGACTTCGCAAATTTAGCAAACTTACTTATAAAAACACCTTTTTTGACGCTATTTCAACTGATTTCTGTAATTTTTCTTGTCGATGATGAGTTCGCGAAATAATTTTGCGAAATAAAAATATGCCAAACTACTGGGTAAATTTGCGAAAAAAATAAATCTTCTAGAATAAGTTTTGTGAAGTTTAGCAAATTTCGCAACTTATTTTACGAGATATACGAAGGTTGACGTGAGTACGCCCAATTTTTTAAATAAAATCCTCTATTTTTTCTTTACCAGAGTGCTCATACTGAATCCGCGATGGTAATAAATATTCGACGCGGTGCGAACTTCGTGCGGCCCGTCCGACGTGGAGTAGACGTTATGATCTCCTATGAAAATTTCCATGCGGCTCACATCCTTCTGATTCATGCTAAAAAAAGTTTATGCTTTGGACAAAATTCGACTAAAATTTGACTAAAATTATGAAAAATTGACTTTAAGTTCTTACTAGTAAACGCAGTGCTACAAAATACAGATCAAAGTAAATTATTTAATAAATTTTTGGCGAAAATCGCAAATTATTTATAAATAGTAAAATGTAAACAGTACCGCGGCCGTCAATATGTGCGAATTAGAAATTAGTGAACCTAGATTGTTAATTACAATTTTACAAATTTTGCGAAAAAAAATTGCAAATTTATAATGTCAACCTCCACAAAATTGAGCTCCCCTGTTCATCAGGGCCACCTATAAAAAATGACGCCATGAATGAACCAATTTTCGATTAACTAATTAATTAATCGATTTATGTAATTACTTTATTAATTAATCGATTTAATCAGTAGGTTAATTAATCATTAATTAATTACCGCGTAAGGAAATTCACCCTTTTGGGCCTGTCTTCCATTAACGATTCGTAACGCCCCGGTTTCCGAAGAGGTGACATTTCCACTCGCATCTCCCTCGTCATCTCGATAAGTCACGAACGTCTTGCCACACTTTTTATCCCCCACAACTTCCGGTCGCGGTGTGGGGGGTGCGGGTGGGCGAGTCGGCTGATTCACGGGTTTCTTCTTCTCATTTGGACAGCAGACGTACTCATTCGTCGAGACGCCCTTTCCTGTGTCATGCAAAAAAATACATGGATCTTTTTCATATAAAAACAGCAACATGGCAAAAAAATTGGCACATTTTCAGCAAAAAATATAATTTCTTTATACAATTTTCTCTTCCCTACCATGCAAAGAAAAACATGGACATTTTTCATGTAAAAATCTACATAGCGAAAAAAACGTGGCACTTCCTTCACTTCAAAATACTGAATTTCTTTGTTATTCAAAATTTCTTGCAAAAGCCGTAAATTTTCTCCAAAAATGATTCTTTATGCAATTTGTAATTTTAATTCTCTCCTCAAAAAAATGCAAAACTAGTCAATTTTTCTGTAGAATCAAGTTTACGTAAAAGTTTTCTGCATAAACTTTCATGCAAATGGGCCAGAATTTGTTTTTTCTCCGGATAAAGACATACAAAATTGTGATGTCTGCTAAAAATGTGCAAATTTTTCCCAATGAAATTTTCATACCACATTAAATTTATGAAAAAACTCACCAATATTTATGTTGCTGATGGCATTCAGCACGTCTTTATCACAAGGACCGGAAACATTCCGATAAATATTTTCCAATTCCAAATTTTGAATCGCAGGAACGATGTCTCTCCCACTTATTTGCTCCGTTTCCGTTTCCTCCAAATCCCGCAGACGAAAAAGCGGGTAGCATTCCTTAAACCGTTTACAAACCCCGTCCTCATTCCGGGCTGTTTTGCACGTTATGGAAATCGACGAAGCACGAGGAGACGTGTCATCTTCACGCTTCCCACGTGGGTGAACATTACTCGCGAAAATTGTGTCATCATTTACCTCACCAACAGCTAATTTTTAAAAATTTGCACATTAATTCAAACTTTCTTCCAAAATATTTCAATTTTTTTCGTAAATTCTTGAAAATGAGTGCAAAATAACACCCGAAAGCCAAACTTTTTCGTTGAATTTTCACTAAAAATGGAAGTCTCCAAGCGTATGCTCTCCGATTTTTAGGAAATTAGTGTCAATTTAAATAGGATGATAAATTTAATTAGGATGAAATTTACGAAAGACACGATCTCCTAAAGGGCACGTTTCGCAAAAATATTTGCATCAGAAGAGCAGAAAACGTGCAGTAAATTTGCAACGTGTAAAATTCTACTGTTTCAATGCCAGGAAAAATATTATGTAAAAAAATGTATTTAAATTAAGCTGAAAAGATAGGTTGTAATGTTCTTGCGATTTTTGAAATTTTCAAAATTTTCGAAATTTTCGTAATAAATTTAGTACAACTAAAACTTACATATCACTTTACATTATCACTTTAGCGAAAACGGCGTTTTCTCTAAAGTTTTCATTTTCAGTTTTCAGTTTTCATCGCGTTTTCAAAACGCGCAGTAAATTTGGAAAGTGTAGCATTTGTCGACTTTACTTGTTTTCTCTCCGGATGCAAATATCTGCGCCCTCAAAATCGGAGAGCATCCGCTGGGAGGCATCTCTCGTTACTATTCCGAGTACACATACTATTCGTTATGTATATAACTCCCTATTTTTTTCACAAAAAAATTAACGTACCTGTAATTTCTACCGTGTCAAAATCCTCCTCCCGAAATCCTGACACCACACCCAATAAAATTAGGGACGATAAGAGTCCACCACTTATCAAGATAAAATACAATTTCATGCTAAATATGGTATTTATTTAAATCAGGCACGTATTCGTCCGAGGTCTTCCTCAAACTATGGAGTAAAACTTTGACATTTCGCATTCTCCGACTTTTACACGTTTTACGTGCAGGTGTTAATTTTGCATTTTTGCCGTAATATTGCAAATTCCAAAGGTTATTGTCACCGACCGACAAGTTGCGACGTCGTATGTATGTACATATTTATTTGCAGATCAAGAAGGCAGATAACATAAAATCCGCCACCCTCTGTGCCGTATTGTTTATCAAGTTTACTACATTCTATTTTATTAAACTTGTTCTTGCCCAGGTGGTGCCTAGACCATCAAGTAAAAGTTGAATGACTCAACATTACCTGGCCTGGCTGGCTGGGATTACTTTTACAACCAGGAAAATACGACGACATTCAATAAATAACTATTTAAAGCCGTTTTCCTTGGAAGTCGTCTCGTTTACTGGGAAATTCTCCTATGAAATCGAAAGGGATACAAATTTGAGTATTTGTTTATAGAAACTGGTTCCATGTAAGACGAGATGTGTTGCATTCTGCACAAATTTTATAATGCGCAGATCACTTTATTTTTGCAGATAATTTTCCACAATTTTCCGAAACATGTAGAAGAGGCTAATTTTCATAACGGAAATTTAACACATGCATGCATACTAATTGCATCTAAAAACAGGCAAGGATCATATTTTTAACCAATCTTCTTTATTATTTAACAACTCTGTGACTTACAAAAACAAAACAAAAACCTAAATACATAAATTATTAATTACCAGTCTATAAAAATGCAACAAATCGTATTATTTTTTTGTAACTTTGGTTCTCAAATTTCTCCCCTCTTCTTTGCAAAACTATCACAACCTTCTACATAAATCTAAGTATTTTTTGGAATATTTTTCGAACTTCTATTAATTATGTAGATAAAGAACACCTCAAGAATTAAACTTATTTTTTTATTAGGGGACAGTCATCACTTGTTTGGAGATGAGACGTTTTTTACGACGTTACGCAACAGCAGGTACATAATTTTTGTGTACTTCCTCCCTCCTCAAATCAATCCAATTATAAAGAATTAATTAAAATGAATGATGTTGATTGGTCCAGTTTCGGATTAATTAATGTCTCCGATTACTCGCCACCCAGTCCGTGTAATGATCAAGTCTAGTGTAAACCTAGAAAAGTAAGTAAATAAAATATGTAAATACGATTATGCAAACAATAATCGAGGTCTCCCAGCGTATGCTCTCCAATTTTGAGTAAATTAGGGTTAAACATTCACAAATTTAGTTAGGATGAAATTCGCAAAAGACACGATACGTTTGGCAGGGATATTTGCATTCCAAGAGGAAAAACGCGCGGTAAATTTGGAAATTGTTAAATTGTAATGTTCCAAAGTCAGACAAAAGATTGTGTAAAACAAATATATTTGACTAAAATCGATCAGATCATTTTTACCCAGTTACGTAATTTTCACATTTGATTAAACGCAGCTCAGCGTTTGCATTAAATATAAATTTCTCCAAATTTTGGAGAAATCGTAATAACAAGGGAGGTATGCCCTCCAATTTTGAGCAAATTAGTGTGAAACGATGACAAATTTAGTTAGGATGAAATTCGCAAAAGACACGACCTCCCAATGGGCACGCAGAGATATTTGCATCCGAACAGGAGAAAACAAGCAGTAAATTTAGAAATTGTAAAATTGTAATTTTTCAAAGTCGAGAAAAATATTACGTAAAAAGATGTGTTTAAATTAAATTCAAAAGATACGATGTATTAATCCTAAAATTTTTGAAATTTTTGAAATATTCGTAATGAATTTAGTACAACTCAAACTGTACATTTGACTTTACATTACCACTTTACTTGGCGTCCGAGGGCACCTTAAAATCGCCAAAAATTTTACACTTTCCTCATTTACTGGGAGTTTTTACCTCTTCGGATGCAAATATCTCTGCGAAACGTGCCCATTGGGAGATCGCGTCTTTCGCAAATTTCATCTTAATTAAATTTCTAATTAACCCTTTAAACTGTAACGACGACAATTGTCGTTTTATAAGAAATGGTTTAATTCGGGAGTAAGACAAAAGTCGTCCTAAAAAATCGTGGTCATGGCGCGGAAGGACGACAATTGTCGTTTCTAGGAGGTCATGGATTTTCACCGTTTTCTCTCCGCGACCTAAAATTTGTTGCAATTTTGAGGGATTTTACCTATGCCAACACAATGCTAAATTTGAAGATTTTCTTTCCAAAAATTTGGATATTTCCCTATACAACGCAATGTTAAATTTTTGATTTTTCAGTTTTTCGAGTTTTATTAAAAATTCCTGAATTTCTCCTCCCGCGCCATGACCACAACATACTTCCAGTGTCCCCGATTTAATGTATTTTCTTGTCGTTAATCATACACGTTAAAGGGTTAAGCTTGACTAATTTGCGACTTAAGATGGTCAAAGTAGTGTGAATCAATCACAAATTTAATTAGGGTGAAATTTGCGAAAGACACGATCTCTCAATTTTGCACCAATTTTGACATTTTCATCCGAAGAGGAAAAAACGCGCAGGAAATTTGGAAAGTGTACCATTGTAATTTTTCAAAGTCGAAAAAATATTATGTAAAAAAGTATATATTATTAAACTTGACCAGATATGCTTTTTGGCTCCGAAAATTTTTGAAATTTTGGTAATTCAACTCAAAATTTACATGATTTGGATAAATCTTTGGTTAAGATTCTTTACTCTAAAATCCTACGTATTGATTTTGTAACAAGTGCAAATTTGATTAGGATGAAATTTGCAAAGTACACGATATCTCAATTCGCACGTTTGGCCGAGATATTTGCATCCAAAGAGGAGAAAACCTCACAAATTTGTAACTTTCCAAGTTTACTATTGAAATAAAAGGGAAAAACGAGTATCTACCTGGTCATGTTTAATTGAATTTATTTGTTTTCAATATTTTTTTCTGACTTTGAAATGTGACAAGTTTACACTTTCCAAATTTACTGTGCGTTTTCTCCTCTCCGGATGCAAATATCTGTGCCAAACGTGCCAATTGGGAGATTGTGTCTTTCGCAAATTTAATAGTAATTAAATTTGTCATCGTTTGACACTAATTTTTCGTCAAAATCGGACAGCATACGCTGGAAAAGGTCTGCATTGTCAGTATTTTTCTGCAAAAATAATGTGATAATCAACAAATAACGATACTTACCCCCGGGTAGCTTCCACAACCTGAAAAATAATAATTAATGAAGATATTATCTTAATTATTATCTTAATTAGTGGCCAAAAAGATTAAAAATAAGTCAAATTATGTATACCTATTCCCCAACTGACGATGCCTGCAAAAAAGTCAGTGTATTTAAATGCACGTCAAGTTTAAGATGTGAAATATTTTTCATACCGATTTGTTCCCATCGTCCTCCCGTATTTCGCATGAGTGGGCTGGACACAAAAAATTCAAATTGATTAAATTCCCCTTAAATTTCCCAAAAATATGAAATAATTTTGCCAAAATTATCATCTCAAGAAGTTTTCTTCATCACCTGTATAAATTTTTTGTGCAAAATTTTAACCACTCGTGTTTAAAGGGTTACCAACACCAAAAAACATAAATCCTGGATTGGGGTGGGTCAGGGTTCGGAAAAACCCAGGGTTTTATTCAAAAAGTAGTGACCCAGGGGTTTTAATGGGTTTTTTGGGTTTTAATGGGTTTTATGGGTTTTATTGGGTTTTATTAGGTTTTGCATAAGTAATACATTGAACAACAATTTTCACAACTATTGCAATCCAATTTCAGTTAATATGCAAATCCTCCTTGTTCATGTTAGAATTTGTATCCGTTTCGAAAGGGTCCTATTTAACTGATCATAGTTTAATACTTTATGAGACCATAATTACATGCATTACCTTTTTCTCGAATACTTCCTCTCATCGTAATGAAATCCAAGTTATTTAAAGGTTTTTAAAATTTAATGTTTTAATGCGATCTTAACGTGTATTATCAATTCTGGAAAAAATCGAGTACTTATGTACAACGAAAGCACAAAGCATGTATTACGAGCGAGAACATAATAAGTGCTTTTTACAGATATACTCTTTTGTTTATAATAACGTAATTCGTTATGCATAAGTACTCGATTTTTCAAGAGGTGATAACTAAGATCGCTTTGAAACATTTTAAAAAACTTTATAAATTAAAAAAATACTATTAGTATTTTTTTAATTTATTCGCTGAGATGAGAGGAAGTATTCTGGAAAAAAGTATTAATTATGATCGCAAAATGTATAAAATTATTTGTGATTAGTTAAACATACCTTGTTCCGAAATTAATTTTGTGTATTTTTTGTCACTTGAAACCTGTAATGGTAAGGGATGTCCCTGATTTATTCCTGGTTTTCAAAACTTACAGTATTAATCAAATAAACTACTTAACTGCCATCAAACAACTTCGTCTAACGTATGACAGCTGTTTTCAGCTTTTAGAATATAGTTTTAAGCTAAAACACAGTTAAAACCCATTAAAACCCTAATAAAACCCATTAAAACCCAAATAAAACCCATTTAACATGGGAAAACCAGTTGGGTTTTATTCATTAACAACCCATTAAAACCCATTAAAACCCAAAAAACCCAACCCAATAAAACCCTGGGTCGGAATACCCTGGGGTGGGTTTTTGCGATTTTTTTTGCACAATCAAAAAATTTTATCGCATATTTGCACCCATGATGTCATGCAGATTCCAAAAAAGCACGTTTTCAAAATTTCGAAATTGTAAACAAAATTCTTACCCTCCACTATCTCCCTAAAATTAAAAAAAACAGTCAATTTGATTTTATCACGTAAAATTACGCCTCAATTTTTGGAAATCTAACCCTGCACGCGTCCGCATTCTGAGACCCAGCGCAAACCATGTGACCTAAAATGTCAGAATTATTAAATACTCGGTCATTCTTTACCATGTATTTACATATTTTGGTCAAGTTTGTATTTCGAACTGACTAGTAATTCCGCCGGGGGCACGACCACCATATTTTGCGGCGCACTGTTGATTATCCCAAACTTGGAGGTCTACTTTCTTGTAAATGGCGGGTTGTGGGCCACCCTCGTATATTCCGCCCCACCCTGAAAAACCACACCCACAAAATTTACATATGTATACAAATTTGTCCACTTAATTCCTAAATAAATGTGCATTTTGTGCCATCTCAAGCAAATCAGATAGCACATACATTGTACAGTTTCGAAAATCACATTACAGTAAATATGTTATTTCTGCGACTATGAAACAAAATGAACAACTTTCTTTAATACAACTGGCTTGAAATTTGGATTCAGCCCAAAATTCTGAGCATTTTCTTCTACGACTCGACCCGTTTTTTGGTTAACTTTCATCTTTAATAAGATGCGAATCAAATGTAAAATGCAAGTTTGTCCTAATCAGCACAATTTGAATTCAAATTCTAAGCATTATTCTATTAAAATTTTGAATGGAAAAATGCTCAGAATTTCTTATGTCAAACATCAAGTTGGTTTACGTATGTATTTTAAATAAGTTGCTTCACTTTAACGCCAAAAATCACAATTGGAGAAGAAATCACACATGGAGTGCAAATCACAGAAATCGTAAAGCGTGATTATCATAATTCAATCAAACCCTTGTAATACAACGATTTAAAACTTTGTGCTCTCTGCATACCTGCCACGGTGACGGTGGTGCCTTCATATCCGCCGGATCTGGTTAAGCAAATCGGCTGAATATTATTATTCCCGTTGTTACCAAATTGTACCGGCGAGTCCAATTTCAGCAACTGCGAAATTCGCATATGAAAATTATTTTCATGCTAAGTAAAACTAAAACATGTCCAAAATACTTACAGCAATATCGTTGTGCTAGAAAAATCAAGAAAAATTAATTATACCGCAGTAAAAAATGATTACAAATACATGAAAGCACTGATTACAAATTTGTAAAAGTAATTAAAATTGCAAATAATTAATTAAAAATCTGTAAAAATTAATTTAAAATCAACAAAAATTATTTAAAACTGACGAGGTTTCAAAACAAAACTAACTTCAAATCAGCAAGATTTAATTAAAAATATGTAAAAAAATTAATTATAAATCAGAAAAAATAATGAAAAATTAAAAATCTGCAAAAAATAGCTCCATAAATCTGTTAAAGCTAATTTTAAATCCTCAAAAATTACATCAAAAATTAATTAAAAATCTATACAATTTACATATTCATCATTCTGAATTTTTTTCTCACCAAAATCTGCATACTAAATCCCGTATGTCGCACTAATTTCGTCACGCCACGAATCGTCACGGGTCCATCCGTATTCGAATAAATGTCATAATCTCCAATTTGAATCCGCAACCCGGCCACGTCGTGCGGTTGGAAGCTACAACAATTTCCAAAAAAAGAAACACGTCACCAAAAATCTGCTAAGATAACTCAATTTAATTAATTAACTTCCTTACTTGGCAAAACAATGCTGAAAACGGAACAAAAAAAATAGTAAGTAATTTGACTGCCGATTAATTAATCACAGATTTAATTTCATGATACACCTACGGCTGCCGAGAGGATCCATTGATTATCGATCAGACTTCCGCCACAGATTTGACGCCCGTGCCGCATGATGGAAACCAGCCAAGGAAACTCTGCATGGTCAAGTCAAGCAAAAAACATTAAAATCCCGTCATGAATAAAATTACGGATAGATAGATTAAAATATAATCTATATTTGATTTTCTACACTACTTTTTGTAGATGGAGTTTTAATTACAAGTTCGAAATTTCGATAAATCAGATCAAATAAAATTTTAATCTATGGAAATTTTACAGCTCATTTTGATCACGCCATGACTCCTCGTCCTCGCCATACACTCTTAGAAATGGGGTAACGATTATAACCAAAAAGTAAACATATGTGACTCTACCGGCGTGGTTATGAATTTATCATCAAGTGGTTACAATTGTCACCGAGTAATTATAAAGTTTCACCAACTTGGTATTAAATTGTCACCAGAGCTAATAAATTTATAACCAGTTGGTGACAAATTCATAACCAAGGCGGTGGAGTCATAAACGTTTACAATTTGGTAATAATCGTAACCGTATTTGTAAAAGTGTACATAATCCCCAAAAAGGTTAAGTTCACGACTTTTTGCCTTATTTATTATTAAATAGTTGAGTATAAACAAAAATTATTTTTTTCCTAGGATGAAAATCCATACGTATGAAATATTTTGAAATATTTATTTATATTTTCAAAACATCTATAAAAAAGTGAAGTTTTTGTGCAAAATTTCGAAAAGAAAGAGAGGGCGCGTTATCTAATTATGATAATCGTCGTTGAAGCTGCCAAAAGGGCCTTCTCCATTTTATGTCAATTGACACAAAATGGAGAACGCCCTTTTGGCAGCTTCAACGACGTAATGTATAAAATTGTAATAAAAAATATATTTCGGCGTCTTCATTGCACATTTTTTCTGGTGAATTTTTTGTCAATATCCAAAAATTAATTCATAATTTTGAATATTTCACGTATGTATAAAATTTCAAGTCGATTAGATAAATTTTACGAGCATAATCGATATACAGACAGACGGACAGACCGCCATGACGGGTAGATAAGGCCTAACTCGGTCTAAACACAACTATTTTCATTTTTTTTACTCATTTTCCACAACATTCAATTCCTATAATTTTGGTTCTACTTTGTCTAAAGTTTTACCAGCGTAATAATAGACGTACAAACAGACAGACAACCATGTCGCGTACATAAGCCCTGACTCGGGCTAAAAATAAGGATTGATCAAATTCTATGCTTTATTTTGCATGGTAATTTTTGTAAAGAGGGTTTTATGCTACTTCGAAATTTTTAATTAATTAAAATTTTACTCTACACGAATTTTGATCATTCTGCTAGTAAAAGTTGTTCCCAAGGGAGAACGTGAATCAGAATGGAGCCCTAAAATTCCCGTAGATTGAAATTTTTCGAAATTTCGAACTTACATAAATAAAACCCTCTCTACAAAAGTATGCAAATTAAAGTCAGAAACTGAATCAAATTTGAGCCTTAACATTCCCCTAAATTAAAAATTTAATTGGTCTAATTTTTCGAAATTTTGAACCCTCTCTATGCAAATTAAATCTCGATTTCTCACCCCCTTTGGCCGCCTGACTTCCCCCCACAATCTTTCCAAATCCACAACTCGACGAAACCGGGGCTTGCGTCACGGAGGGTGGCGTGGTCATAATGCTGGGAGGTTTGTGGGTCGGATACTGCTGCTGTGGCGGCCAGTGGTGCGATGGTCTCTGTGTCGTCGGGGGGGTCGTGGTCGTCCCCTGAGTTCCGAACGTGTTGTGCACCCAGGACGGAAAATGGGAGGGCGGATGCGTGATAAATGGTGGGGGCCAGTTCGGATAGAGAGAGGAAAATGTGGTCCTCTGGGTCTGGGGGGAGCAGGGGTCGTCCAGTGGGGTTGAGGGGGTAATGGTCTCATGGTAGTTGTGGTAGTGGTCGTGGTCGTGGTAGGTCTCGTACTCCAGGCCGCCCACGGAGGTCGCATCGTGATTTGCGGGTGGAAAAGGTTACTCGCGCCGGGAATGTGGGGTCTCGGCGGGGTCGCGGGGTGCGACGCGGAGTCCGATCCGGCACAGCAAATCATGTTTTGGACATCTACATATTTAACGATATGTAAATTAAATTAAGTACTCATTAAGACAATCCCGCAATCATTTCATTCGTAACTTCATAAAATCCACAAATTTTATAAAAAAAACTTGTACAAAGTAAAAACGACGCCCTTATTCTGAGCAAACTTACAAAAATTTCTAATATAATTTTCCTTCGAGATACATACATATTAGTAAATTTTGAAAAAGTTTTTAAGTTTACGAAGTTTACAAAGTTACCGATGACTGCGTGAATTGTATCATGAAATATCTTGAATGTCTATTTATAGCCACCCAAATTTCTTAATTAATTGTACCACATCAATTGTAAAATTCCAGCAAAATTAAACATATTCTGGACATTTATATAGTAAATTCTTAAATTTGCGGTACATACAAATAAAATTCAATAAAATTTACATATCCATTTATTAATAATATGGCAAATTTGTCGGTAGTACGTAAAATTACACTAATTGTAAAACCCACCCGCCCTGAAGATGAGATAGTTCGGCATCGCGTGCAAACTGCATGACCCAGCACGTTCCTGAACATCCGCGGCCAAGCCAGGATTTCGAAATTTATCCTCCTCCCCTTCCAACGAGCTAAAAACGAATGGATAGCACGCCCTCAACGTGGCACACCTCCCTTGAAGCCCATTCCTCGTCACGCAAGACCCCATTTGAGACGGCGCCGTCGTCGTCGTTCTTGGCGTCGTTGTCGTCGTGGTGGTGGTCGTCTGAGGGGGATGAGTTGGTTGCTAAAATTGCAGAGATGGTTAAAATACCGTATTTTTTTAGCCTCGTTCTTGGTAGGGCTCGAAGTTCGGGGGCTGTTACACCCACAAAATGACTAATTGTAAAATCCACGTGGGTAAGACAGCAGTCACGAAAATACAGGTTTTCTGAAGAAATTTACTTTTTATTCGTATCAAAATTCTTTACTTTTTAAAACTCAATAAATTTTCCGAGTAATGAAAAGTTATTATCTTATTATTTCTGAAATGTATTGGTTTGACACCGGAATAAAAATCTGGTGAATTTTAATATCATATAAACAAGTTGTCAGATCCGTTTTTCATATTTTAAGTGTGAGACGAAAGTATTTAAAGTATTGAATCACAGATTATCAATGACTTTAAAACACGAAAATCTACATGGAGAAGATGGCAGTACTACGAAAGTAGAGGTTTTGTGAAGAAATTAACTTCTTATCGCTGTCAAAATACTTAATTTTTAAAAAAATTGTGAAAACATCGTTCATTTTGACCCCGATAAAAAGTTAATTTCTTCACAAAACCCTGAATTTTCGTATAACTGCTGCCTTCTCCACGTAGACTTTCGTCTTTGGAAGTCATTGATAATCTGTGATTCAATACTTTAAATAAATTCGTTTCGCGCTTTAAATCTTAAAAATAGATCTGACAACTTGTTTTATATTGTATTAAAATTCATCAGATTATTATTCCGGTGTCAAACTCTTACATTTCAGAAATAGTAAGAAAATCACTTTTCATCGGTGAAAAATTCATTGAGTTTTAAAAAGTAAAGCATTTTGATAGGAATGAAAAGTTAATTTCTTCAGAAAACCTGTACTTTTGTGTGACTGCCACGTGGATTTTGTGGGTGTAACACCCACGGAAATCCAAATCCTGGGGAAAACCAAGCTCAAAATACTGAATTTTGGCAAAATATTTTGCTCACTGCGGGAAATTGTGAAGGAAATCCGGCCGCCCCGGGAAATTGCGATGGAAATCCGGCGGCCCCCGGAAATTGGGAAGGAAATCCTGGAAAACCGGGAAATCCGCCGGCGCCCCCACCTCCCCCTCCGGGTTGCTGTTGTATGAACGGCCATCCAGCCGGAAATTGGAATTGTTGAAATGGCGAACCAAACTGTCGTTTTACACGACGAGTTCCGGAATAATAATAATCGTTTTCTGTACTGTTCCAGTTATCCAGAGATTGCAAGTCTTGATCCGAAGATGCTAAAAAAATGGAGAAGTGTAAATTTAGCTTGTAGAAAAGATGACAAATGTCACTTTGCAAATTTTGTGCACTACTTTTTTGCATTGTTTTACGTTTTAGAACTAATCCATGCAAAGAAATGAAGTCATGCAAATTCAACTATTTGAATGCATAATACACAAAATTAAATTCATCCCACAAATTTCAGATGTAAAATGCTAAATAAAATCATACAGAATTAGTTATTTAATTAAATACGCACATGTAAACAGGGTGCAAATACTAAATATTTTTTGCACTACTTTTTCGCACCATTTTACCACTAATAGATTTAAACGTTATAAGAAAGTCACAAATTTAGCTACTCAATTATGTAAATGCGCATATTATCTAACTTGTAAACAAGGTGCCAAAGTGCCAATGTCACTTTACATATTTTTGCACTAGTTTTTTGCACTAGTTTGCGTACAAATTTAGCTACTAAATTAAATGCGTATAAATATTTCAGTCATTCATAAATGTTTAGTCGATATTTGTCGGTGCACACTCTACATATTTTTTGCACTATTTTTTTTTTGCACACTTTTACTATCAATCTTATACATTAACAAATATTTGCATAAAATCGGACAACATTATAAACTCAAGGACTAAACTAACCCTCATTAATCAATCCTCTTCTTAAACCAGGTTTTAACCAACCACCCAGTCAAATTGAAACCTTGCCTAATTGTGTCCTCGTCTCGTCTCACTTTTGATTTTATTGCTAACTACACAACACATTTTGCAAATTGGCTTCTTCTAAATCAATCTCACCTTTACTACCACTCACTCTTAATTTCGCGATCGTCTCATACTTCTTCCATTTGCCTAAAAAACCCGTATCTCTACCTTCACAGTCATTATGTCAATCCAGTTTTAGCTCAGAACAATCAAGCCCAAAATCTACGAATCTCATCCCTCTTTTGCTAATCCAACTAAACGTTTTACTTATTGTTGAACACGTGTACAATAATTAGGCAGTGCAAATAATCAGCTCTCTGAGAAATTTAGGCATTTACATAAAATAATTCACCACCAAACCAACCAACCTTCAATTACCACGCTGTCTCCATCTTGATCCCAGTACACGCCTGAAACCTGCCCGAGAGGTGGTTCAGCGGAGGACGATAAACTAATAATTGCCACAAAATAGACGCCTAACTCCTTCATTTTCGCAAATAAAATTCGCACTCAATAAAATATTTAGTAGCGAAATAAAATATCACAAAAAAACACTAAATTTACGTAGTAGTCTGCAAAACTACACCATGATTTCAAATTTTACGAGTATTTTATTTTCAACAATAAAAATTCGCACTGGTCAATAATATTTTTTGCACAAATGTATGCAATAAATTCGCATGCAAATAAAGATGAACAAGCCACTAACTTCTTGACAAATCCAAGTTCCAAATGCGACTGGACTTGCGACTTTTCCGTCAATGATTTATCTGGCCGGACAGAATTAGAAAATGTCAAAATCTTTGCAGATCCACCCTCTCCTCAAGAGAGAGAGAGAGATGCGATCATTCTTAACCTCAACCTGGCTTAAGGATTATATTTTTGCGAATACTACCGTCACCGTCGCCCTCGCCCTTCTCCCATTGTTGAGCAAAACTGACGGATACATATGCATACGTGATGTGATGTGGGATGCTGTAGAGAAGAATCATCCGATTAGTATGGATATGGATTAAGAAGAAGAAGAAGAAGATCGATTATGCATAAAAGAAGAGACCAAATATCGCCACACACACGGTATTAAAATACTAATACGAGCTCTATAGCTTGGTCGTCGGACAGGCAGCTGCATCGCATTTTTAGCTAAACTCTTCTCTCTCAAAGTCAAACCCTTTCAGTTTTCATGGCTTCATTCTCATTTTCATTGTGTGTATAGGAGGAGGAGAAGAAGAAGAACCAGATTATGAACGAGATATTGATTCCTTTAGAATATATAAGTTGCAGGGGTGGGCAAAATACAATATTTTGAGCTCTGTTCTTCCCAGGGTTTGGATTTCCAGGTGGCTGTTGCACCTACAAAAAGACGAAAATCTATTTACGTGGAGTAGAGAAAATACGGTTTTATAGCGTTATATCGCTGGAAAAATACTTTATTTTTAAAAATCGTGAAAATAAAGTATTTTGAAACCGATAAAAGGTTAACTTTTGACCAAAACCTGTAAATATTTTCATATAACTGATGGATTCACCACGTGGATTCTGGTCTGTCAGTAACAGCCCTGGGAAGAACAGAGATCAAAATCCTGTAGGTATATTTTGGCCAACTCTGTTTCTCAATGTCTTAAAAAATCATTCCATTTAATTTACTTCGACGAAAGGCCATCTACATTTTAATTAACTCAAATTCACCCGATTTTTTACTCTGGTGTCAAAATCTTACATTTCTGAAAATTTTCTCAAATAACTTTAAGAAATTTATTTTCCATTACTCCCAAAATACTTTATTTTCAAATAATCTTAGAAGCAATGCATTTTGACGGCGATAAAAAGTTAGTTTCTTAAAAAAACCCCCCATATTTTCGACTGACTGTTGTCTTCTCCACGTAGACTTTCGTATTTTTGGGGGTGCAACACCCCCGGAAATCTAAACCCTGGGAAGAACTCAGGATCAGCTCAAAATACTGCATGCATTTAATATTTTACCCAACTCTATTTTTAAACTCATAAAAATCGATGATTCAATTTAATTTGGTTCCACACTTGCATAGATTCACAAAGAAAAAACCATCTAACAATTCTAATGTGATTATAATTCACGCTAATTTTTTCTTCCTGGTGTCGAACTCTTACAATTTTCGGAAACTTATCCGTTTTTCGGAAACCTTCTCAATTGGTTGGAAATTTCCGACAGCACGATTAGCAAAGGTATAGCCCTGGAAATCCAACCCGTCTAAAATGTATCACACTTTTCACAAAGTATTTTGCCCATCTCTCCCCCCAAGTTAACAACTTTAGTCTGATTTGATCCGACATAAAGGCAAGATTGCGTATAGCTGAAGAAGATGAGGGAGTAGTCCGACCAGATTGACCAACCACTTACCAACCACAACCTCTGCATTGTTGTTCATCCATAAAACAAACACGTCGTATTTCAATCTCGACATCGATATTTAATCATCTTCATCTCTCCATCTCTCTCCTCCTGAAATATGATCTTAATCACTTTTAGTTTCTAAAGACCATCTCTCCGCGTGTCTCGTGGCGTGGTGTGGCGTGCCGTATGCGAATTGTAATTTCGATGTCTGCACAAATTGTGGTGGTGGACGCTGCGGGTTTCAAATCGCATCTCTTGACGTACGCAAATTTCGATGCACTGCTAAAAATCTGGTATAGTCAGGCATTCATTACCGGTATTAAATTTGTTACCGCTTGGAATTAAAATTATATCTAAAAAAAATATTGTACAAATATTTATTGTGCAAATATTTAGTCGTTCAAGCTATGCAGAATAATAATAAAATCTACGCAAAATTTGGTACCGATATGATAAAACTTTAATACCAGGGTATTCTTTACTGTGCGATGTTACGTACTTATCAGTACCACTTGGGTGTATAAAATTATACGCTTGGTATTATTTTAGTACCGGATTTCTAAGAGTGTGACTGGACACTGCGGGGCCAAATAGATAAATGCCAATTTTATCTATTTGCCATTTAATTTCATTGTTTTCTTGTTTGCACAGCCAGTTAATTAGATTCCCTGCAGAGGAGAGTTGAGGGGGCACACAATTATTCTATTTCATCGAGTAAACAAGTCGTCATTTACATAAATAAATACACTTGTTACTTAAACAAACATAACTAAAGAGCGTCCGAAAAAGAAGAGTCACTCCCAGTTGACTTTGACAGTAACGATGCTGTTCTGCCGATATTTTTCGAGTCAAGTGGTTTGCAGTCAACAATTATGGCAATTTTCAGCAGTCAAGTTTACTCCATTATTTACGACTATTTTTATTAAGCCGGTGACCCCAAGTACGTAAAGATAAAGGCATAAACTTCCCAAATACGGAAGTTGGTCTGTTTAATTTAAAGCTAAAATTAAATTCGCAATTCATTCAAGTCCTGTCCGATTTAGCTGTAAAAATCGCGTGGTCATCGATGACGCACGTTTTAACAAGAGTCGTCTTTTTAGCCCGAATCAGGCCTTATGTGCCCGTCATAATTGTCTGTCTATCTATCCATTATGTACGTTCGTAAACCTTGTCCAATCGACTTGAAATTTTGCAAAGTCGTGCAAAATTAGGAGGCAAGTTGTAAGATGAGGAAAATGTGTGGAAAATTGTCGTGGTCGTATCATACCCACCTCAATTTTTAGTAACACTCTGACTCGGGCTAAAGAAGGCTGCATTCTGAGTTTTTAGATAATAAATGATCAGGTTTCCTGGTCCAATCTGGTAGGACAAAGCGAGGCATCGAATTACTTATTTTTATTCTTGTCGAATAAAAATTCAATCTTTTCACAAAATTCGCCCCTTTCTGATACATTTTTTGCCACGATTGCGCTGTAAAATTTGCACGTTTCTTATACATTAAACCGACCAAATTGTGCCTAATTTTCAACAATATTATTCCGACAAAGTAAGTGAGTTCTCATCCAAGAAAAAGAAGATTAGCATGGATTGTAAGACGGAGCATCATCTTCTGTTTTTCGCCTGGGAGGCTGGGCGTTGTCCGATTTGTCATGCTCTCAACATGCATTATGAACTCTGGAATGGACCATTTCTCCAACAACGTGGACCAAATTAAACGCTAAAATTGATGACTAATCGTCTTCTACTTCTCAACTTTTTTCCATGCGGATTTTCTCAATTCAATTTTTCAATCAATTCAATCCTGAATCCACCCTTTCTGTCGTCTCCCTCCCTCCGCACCAGTGGCCGCGGAAGTCGTGGGGACCTGGGGGACATTGCCATTGTAGGATAATACACTCAAAATAAGGTAGTAATGAATCATTACCATGCGGAATGACTATGTGTCTCTACCACGTCGGTTACGATTTGTCGTAGAAATGGTAATAATAAGTTCAGGGAAATTCAAATTTAATACATAATGGTATTCACTTCCTTAATATTTGGTAATGAATTTGAATTTCCCTGAACTTATTATTACCATTTCTACGACAAATCGTAACCAACGTGGTAGAGACACATAGTAATTCTGCATGGTAATGATTCATTACTACCTTATTTTGAGTGTAGGAAAGGAAGTTGTTTATATATATAAGATGGGGACATCGAATAACCCTGGGGACATTGTCCCTCTGTCCCCACCCACCCTTCCGCGGCCACTGCTCAGCACCACGGTATTATTAATGACTCCAAGTCTCTTGGGTGCTATCAACCTTTGCATAAAACAAAAACATACATTTTACATTTACATACGAAGGAAGGATAAGAACTCGCCAATTTTTTTGCACATTTATTTCCGTCCCTCCCAAGAATCAAAGCGATGTTATCAACCTCTCGATGCGGTGAGTTGTCTTCGTCGTGAAAGGCAGATTAATTTAGATCCAGTCTGGTTCACCGAACTGATAAGTTCCGAGATTTAAATCTTGCAGAATTTTGGGATGTCATGATGTCATGAAAAAGCGGTAGTACGCATGTGCAGATGCAGGCGATTCAAACCTTGCAAAATTTCGGGTAATGTCATGAAAAAGCGATGAGGAAGGAGCGCTGCAGATAAACTGCATCCAAAATTATTGCTAAATCATGAAAATTCGCGAAAAATTGTGCGAAAAAACTGGACACATTTATTTATTGAGTCACTCATTCTAAAGTACAATTTTTAATTGCAAAAAACATACATACATAGATTAGAATTTGGGTGACCTCTCTATTTAATAAAGGTGCGAAATAAATTGAGCCTGAGTTGCAAATCGAAATTCTGCAACATTTATCCTGCAGAATTTTGCAATTCGAATTTGCACACTGTTCAAAATCTGATAGAGTCACATAGATACTTCGTGATTTGGTAATAATTTCATACCAGATTGTAACGGAGTGGTAAGTTTTTCATTTCCACGACATTACTGAACGGTGATTCCCGTTAATACCAGAGCCCGTAGAGTCACATATGTACTCAGGTCGGTAATGATTTAATACCAGAGTACAGAGTGTCATGAAAAAGCGGTGGGAAATGAACACTGCAAATAAACTGAAGTCAAAATTATTGCTAAATCATGAAAATGCTTCAATTCATGCAAAATAGTGCGAAAAAACTGGTCACACAGATTTAGTGAGTCACTCATTCTTACAACTTTCAATCGCCCAAGATTTCATAGATTAGATTTTTGGGTGATGTTTCCGCCAGAAAAAAATTTTGAGGATGAGCAGCGTATTTTAAAGAATGTCAAGATGTGAATTCCGTAGTGAATAAATTAACACTCGCAAAATTATTGATAACACAGCAAGAAAATGCATCAATTCAGTGCAAAATAGTCGAAAAAAGCTGGTCACATTGACTTACATAACATACGTATTTATTTTTTCACTCCTAATTCTTACTCTCAATAATTTTTTGATGATATTGTTACCGGCTCTCTACCGCTCTGGTAAAATAATTTATCACCGAAGGGTAATATATATACAGAGGCTAAATCCTGCTCCGCCCCCAATGTCAACGCTCAGGTAATAAAAATATTACCGATACCGGAGGCAATTTCTTACCCACAGAAGAAAATTTGTTACTATAGTGTTACCACGCGGTATAATTGCATAGTATCTCCACCGGTAACAATATTGTCAAAAAATTATTGAGAGTGTACAACTGTCAATAAGATGAGTGACCTTTTTCTTTAATAAAAGTGAGGAACAAATCGAACCTGAGTCGAATATCGAATTTCGAGACGTCATGAAAAATGAATGAGTGGGAAAACTGAGGCAAAAATTATTGCCAAAAGTTGTGCAAAACATTGGTCAAATTTTTGCATTTATTTCGTGAATCACTAATTCTTACAAGTATTAATTAATAGCGTAAGATTATATTCCGGGTGATTTTTCAGCCAGAAACAAATTTTCAGTTTGAGTCGCATATTTTGCAAAATTGTTAAGATGTGAAAGCTGTAGTGGTGAAATTGTTGCTAAAAAGTATTGCCAAATCATGAAAATGTGCAGATTAATTCAAGCAAAAATAGTGCAAAAAACTGGTCACATGTCTGCCCTTATTTAATGATTCACTCCCAATTCTTATTGACAACTGTCATTTACACGAGATTAGATTCCGGGTGATTTTTTAGCCAGAAACAAATTTTGAGTTTGAGTCTCATATTTTGCAGAAATTTTTAAGATATGAAAGTTGAAGTCGTGAAATTAACGCTCGCAGAATTATTGATAGGTAATAAATCATGAAAATGCGTCAATTAATGAAAAATATGCAAAAAACTGGTCACATGAGTTTACTGACAATGCGATGGTGTGAAGTGTAACCCTCCGATTTGGTTGAAATTTTGAAAGTATGTGGTCCATGTCAACACAACCAACGTTTCTTCAGGCAGTTTGTGCGATGGCCAGAATTTTGCAAAATATTTTAGGTCAAAGTTGAAAAACGGGCGATTTTTAGCACGGGAAAGGAATGGAGGTTGAGTTAGCTTCCTCCGCCTGGTAAAAATCGCCCGTTTTTCAACTTTGACCTCAAATATTTTGACAAATTCTGACCATCGCACAAACTGCCTCAAGAAAGGTTGGTTGTATTAACATGGACTACATAATTTCAAAATTTCAACCAAATCAGAGGGTTCCACTTCACACCATCGCATTGTTAGTCACTCTCAACCCCATTTCTTACAACTGTCAACAAGATTAGATTACATTCCGGGTGACGTTTCTGTTTAAAAAAAAGAACAAAGTTTGAGCCTGCGAGTTGCATATCTTGTAAAATTTCAAGATGTGAAAGCCGTCGAGGAGAAATTAACTCAGAGATATTGCTAAATCATGCAAATGCGTCAATTCATTACAAATAAACAGTGCAAAAAACTGGTCACATGTGCATAATTCACCCTTACTCCCAATTCTTACAACTGTCAAAACAATACAAGATTATATAGATTCTGGGTCACCTTTCTGTTTAATAAAAGTGAGCAACAAATTTTGAGCCTGAGTTGCATATCTTGCAGAATGGTGGAGAAATTATTGCTAAAAAGTATTGCTAATGAATCATCATTCATTAGCAATACTAAATGTAAATAAGTGCGTCAATTCATGAAAAATAGTGCGAAAAATAACCAGTCACATTTACATAAGTATGCATTTACTCACTCCCAATTCTTACAACTCTCAGGCAGATTAGATTATACATAGATTCCAACAAATTCAGTACGAGCTACATACATATCTTGCAAAAATTTGTCGTTGAAAAAATTATTGCTAAATCATGAAAACGCGTCAAATCAAGGTGGCCACATGTGTCAATTTATTTCGTGAGTCACTCTCTCATCCCCAATTCTTACAACTGTCAATGTAACAAATATGTAGATTAGATTCTTTAGTGACCTCAACAAATTCAGCGTGGGTTAGATATTATCTTGCAGAATTTCGAGATGTGAAAGCCGTAATCGGTCAAAATTTTTGTTAAATCATAAAAAATCGTGCATAAAACTGGTCAAATTTTAATTTATCACCCAAAATTCTTACAACTATTAACACAAAATTCTTAAATTTAACAAATTCTTAACTCACTACTTAAAAGTGAGGAACAAATTGACTCCGAGTTGCACATCATGCAGAACTTCGAGATGAGGACGACATGATTATCGATTAAAATTATTGGAAAAAATTGTGAAAAATAGTGCAAAAACTTGGTCGCAATTAATTACATATTAAGTGGCGACTCGTTCAAAATTCTTAAAACTATCACCACAAAATTCTTAGAAATTTTTTGCATAAAAATAAATTCCCTAACATCTTAAATTTCTCATTACAAAAATCTCAACTCACTATTTAAAATTGTGGATCAATTTGAGCCTGAGTTGTGTATATTGTAGAATTTCGAGATGTGAACGCCAAGAAATGCTTAAAATTGTTGCTAAATCATGAAAAACAGTGCAAAAAAAATTCGCACAACTATCATTATCTTCAGCATCAAGTTAAGTGCGACCTTCTCTCTATTTAAAGGTGAGGAACAAATTGAGCGTCAACTGCATACAATTATTCAGACAGCAGAGAACGATGGAGTTTTCGAACGTGTACAACGACCCGGCCGTGCAGCGCACCGCGTGGAACGACTTTTGGTACGCGATCGCCTCCTTTTTCGCCCTGTTCGACGCCCTCCGCGCCACGACGCCCTGCTTCCACTTGGCGACGACCTCCTTGTTCTGGTCGTTCACGTCGCCCGCCACCGCGAGCGGGGTGATGGCCTCGAACGCGCACCGGATCCCGCACAGTGGACTATCAAATAAATACAGTTTAATTATGTCGAGATTTGGAGAAGTTTCGCGATCTATTTCATAAATTAATTTAAAATACAATTTTTCACTTTTTTTCAAAATGGCATTAATATTTTACAACAAAAAATAAAATAATTTTGAGATTTCAAAGTTATCGAAGTACTCGTGTTATTTTTTTTGAAATTTGGTGTCTAAAGAAGTATCGTGAGATTAATGGGCGTACCAACTTCTTATTTCGCATCGCAACTCATTTAGCAGTTTTGCGAAGATCAAAATATTTCTGTCATGAGGGGATTCGCAAGATATGATCTCGAAAAACTCTCCAATCTCGCAAATCTACTGAAAAACACCCATTTTGGTATTGCTTCCATGGATTTCTGTAATTTCTCCTGCTGGGGATGGTGAAGATGAGTGTGCGAAATAATTTTGCAAAGCAAGAATATGCCCAATTGCTAGGTAAATTTGCGAACAAAAACTTCACGGTTTCCCAGCAAAATTTTTTACTTAATCTCGCATATCTCGCAAAACTTCGCAAGTTCTGTTATTGCTATGCTCAATTTGCGAGATATGCCAAATATGCCAAGGTTGACGTGAGTACGCCCATTATTAATATTACCAATATTAACTTTGCATAATTTAACCATAATAATTATAGAGTTTTTTCCTTGTGCAAATATTACAGTGGAACTAAATTTATTCAAACATTTCAAAATTTTTGTACGAAGCAACCATATCTTTGATCTTTAATTAACGATATTCTTTTTCATTTTATTTCTTCGGCTTTGAAATCTTACTTTTGCGAAATCTCGCATATCTCGCAAAACTTCGCACGTTATGTATGATCAATTTGCAAGATATACAGGGTGGTTTAAATGTCAGGTTACAATGGAAAATTTGTCAATGGGAAAAATTCGCAAATCTCCATTAGTTACCGAAATTTTGTCTCTAAAATTAAACATTTCAAGAATTTGGTCATCAGTGTTCCATCAGTTTTATAAAAATTTTATAAAAATCTCAACCAAAAATCTTGTAACTAATGGAGATTTAGGGGTTTTTCCTATTGAAAAATTTTCCATTGTAGCGTGACATTTTAACCACCCTGTACATGCGATATATGCGATATATATATTTGCGAAGGTTGACGTGAGAACGCTCATTATAATCAAAGTGGGTAGCCAAGCCTTACAACATGAGATTAGATCCGGGGTCGTAGTGCCAAATGCGTATGACGCCGAACATCAGGATGGACACGATGGCGAAGAGAAGGTTCGGAAACGTGGAGAGGTACGTCACAAAAGCGTCGTTCATTAAGGTGGCGATGCACTCGATGGAACGGTACTGATGCACGGAGGATTTTTCACCTCGGGATAAGGCGAACCTGAAAAATTATGAGAAATTAAGTCCTGTCCATTTCTCATGGCCAGGGTAAGGAAAACCCCTGGGTTTTGCTATTGAAAACCCATACCCAGGGGTTTTACCTGGGTTTTGCGGGTAGTCGGAGTTTTGGGGGCAAACTGAGTCAGCGTCTCATGTATTAAGTTCAGAAAATAATGAAAACAAATGAGTTTTTCAGTAATTTCGCAACAAAACTGCTTATTAATTATATTTTAATAAGTAATTAACTTGTTGAATTGCTAGTAATGCCCTGTATATTTTGCAAAATTTGAAAACCCCGACTACCCCGACTACCTGTGGGTATTGCTCAAATTTGCTACCCCAAAACCCACTAAAACCCGCAATACCCCAATACCCCAAATACCCTGGCGTCTCCTCGACTTGAAATCATGCTTGTGAAAAATTCAATCATCTGTTAAAGTTTAAATAACTAAACTTCACCAGATTTTTTTTCTGGGGCCAAACTTTTTCAATTTCTTCAAATTTGACAAGTTTAGAAAATGTATGGTTTCTAAAGAAATTAATTTGTTATCCTTATCAAAATACTTCAAAAAACCTGTATTTTCTTTCACTGACTGCTATCATCCCTGCGTAGATTTTCAACTTTTTGTGGGTGTTACAACAGCTCAGAAAGAACGGAGCTCAAAATACTCAATTTTTACAAAGTACTTATTGTTTATCACCTCTGTTTTTAAGTGGGTATTTAAATATTTATGGTATATGTAAATCCCATAAAAATAAATTCCTGAGATTTTTAGCATGAAAATACATCCCTGTATATTTAACTAGGAAATAAACCCCAAAATTTCCGACATTACATAAAATTCCCATAGATTTTAAATCTCCGCAAAACAAGACAAGCCATAAATTCCATTAATTAAGTACACTTCTACTCACGACATTCTCCTCAATTCCGCCACGATCCAGGACATCCCCAAAAAAATTATCGTCCAATTGAAGGGTATTAAATCCCTTATATTTATAGCACGAAAATAAATTCATGACATTTTTTTCATGAAATTAAATTCATAGCTTAATTTGCATGAAAATAAATCCCTATTATTTTTAGCTAGGAAATAAATCCCCCAAATTTTCGGCATTGCATAAAATTCCCTCACATTTTAAGCGGCACACAAATAAGGCATGCCATAAATTCTGTCAAGAAACTACAATTTCACTTACGACATTCTCCTCAATTCCGCCACGATCCAGGACATCCCCAAAAATATGATGGTCCAATTGAACGACCAGGAGAAGAAGATGACCGTCGTCAAGTAGTACTCGGCCGCCATGAAGGGCACTTTATGCAGGAGGGGGATGTAGTAATTCTTGAACCCTTCGCACGGGAGGAAGAAGGAGCTCACGAAATGTGGGGCGCAGGGACTCTCGTCAACTAGCAAAATGTGCACAAACGGATTTCCGGCCAACATTAACATCCCGAAAAATATGTAATAGCTTAGCTTCTTCTGCTCGTAGGATTCCGTCATTTCGTCAAAATTTCTGTCCGATTTTTCTGGAATTGAGGGCAACTTATCGGAATCTGTGGGAAATAAAAAAGTTAAAATTCGGATAGGAAAATTGATGGAAAATTCCCGAATAAAAAATATTCCGTAAAATAATTATGCATAAATTTATGACAACTTTTTATAAAGAAATTTTCCATAAAAGTTTATTATTTCTTGTAGTTTTGTTCCCGTTTTTAAATTGTGTTGGTTGCGTTGTCCAAAATTCTTGGAGATTTTAAAACCCTGGTTATAAAAAACTAACAATTGATGGAAAATTCCCAACTGAAAAGCAGCCTGCAAAATTATTCTCCATACGAAAATTTGCAACATTTTATATATAAATTTCCCTGCAAAATTCATTTTTGCGACTTTTTGTGCATTTCTCTTAAAATTTGGCTTGTCTATATTTCTGTCATAAATTAAACCTAAAATCAGTGTTGTAGTAGTTAACTACAAAATGTAGTTAACTAGTAGTTAACTACAATTTTTTTGCAAAAAGTAGTTGTAGTTAAGATTTAACTACTTTATTAAAGTAGTTGAAAAAAGTAGTTAAACTACTTTCTTCGATGGTATAGTTGACGAAGTACATTTTAACTACTTTTCAACTACTTTTTAACTACATGTCATCTAATTTAAAATATCTTTTTAATCAAGAAATTTGGGTTTTCAAATCTTCTTAAATTGATGGTGTTCAAGTTTAAACAAACTGCCTTAATTATTCACAGAAACTGATAAAATGCAAGATCAAATCCAATAAAAATCTCGACTTCCTGAACGTAATTATGTTTTTTAGAGGAAACACTGAATATGTTGTAAATAATTTTCTTATTTCAATGATTTTAACAAAGGGTTTAACAAAGAAAAGAAGGTAAAAGTTTCTCTTTCATCCAACTACACAGTCTTAGAAATTCAGTATTAAGATAATAACAAGCGGTATTCATATATGACTCTACCAGCGTGGTATGGATAAATAATACCGTGTAGTAATAACCCGGTATTAAAGTTTTGCAATATTGGTATCAAATTTTTACGGACCGGTATAATTTAACACCAAGCGGTAGCAACTTTAATATCTAGAAATCAATACCTATACTTATCACTATGCCGGATTTCTAACAATGCATCGTAGAAGGTAGTTAAATCAAAGTAGTTAAAAAGTAGTTGAAAGTAGTTAAAAAGTAGTTGAAAAAAAGTAGTTGAAAAGTAGTTAGTAGTTAGATTTTAGAATGTAGTTAGAAATGTAGTTAGATTTTAACTACATGAAACCGAAGTAGTTGTAGTTGTAGTTCAACTACTTTTATGAGTAGTTACACAACACTGCCTAAAATCATGGAATATTATTCCCCACTAAAAATATTCTATACAAATTTCTGTCAATTTTACCAAAGTTCAACTTTTCAAAAATTCCAAAATTTTTTTAAATTATATTAAAAATTTTAATTTTCTCAAAAAGTATTTTTTTACATAATTATGCCCATATTTGTCTCTTCACATAACAAATCTAGTTGTAAAAATATTGTAATTCTTCAAAGTCGGAACATAAATATTATGGAAACATATCGCAATAAATTTCCTTAGATTTATTCTTTTTTTGTTCTTCGAGTATTTTTATAGTCATAAGAAAACAAAAGGATTCACTTTCTCTTGCATTGTCAAAAATTAATGCATTTTTTTAAAACTTGCAACTTTTTGTTCCCAATACTCGTCCAAAATTTATAATTTAGTTTAGAAAACAAAAAATTGATGGAAACAATTTTTACATCCCAATTATCCTAATTCTGTCCAAAATTTAATTTTTTTCTACATAGTCATATCAAAATTTGCCTCTCGGTTTTACATGCATTTCCCCCTAAAATTGTATTAAAAAATGTAATGTATCTTTTTACATTGTCCAAAAATCATACATTTTTTTAAAAACTCACAACTTGTTTTTCGAATATTCGTCCTCTTCACGTAGCTCAACCATCAATTCATAAATTGCAAATTTCCCCCTCCAAACTTGACGAGACAGAGCCTCGTCAAGGTTCTAATTCTATTTGTTTTGAAGTCATCCAAAATTTATAATTTAGCCCAGAAAGCAGAAATTCAGGAAAAATACCCCGTCAAAAATATTCAAAAATATATTGTGGACAATTTTTTATATCCCATTGCTATCAAAAATGTATTTTTTATACCAAATAATCATACTAAAATTTGCCTCGTTACATATTTAATTCATTTCTTTTGCATAGTCCACAATTCATAATTCAGACCGGAAAACAAAAATTCAGGAAAAATACCCCACCAAAAATATTCTGCGCAAATTTTTGACCTCTAAAAAAATTGGCAACTTACACAATTTGCGTGTAAACTTGTGAATTGGTAAAGTTTACAAAATTGGTTTCTGTAAAGAAATTATACTAATTTCGGATCAACTTGTTTTGTAACCTGGAAACTGAAAAGGTTTCACGTCAACTTTGAAAATTTTGTGAGGTTGAGAACCGTTAAAGTTAACAGGTTAATTTTTACGTCAGATGAAAGTTCTTACACTGCAGTAAAGTCGTAATTTTTCATTAAGTTTTATAAAGTTTTCATAGTTTATGTAAAGTTTACAAATTTTTAAAATATTTTGAAATATTCTCCTGAAGGAAATATTTATTTCGCAAATTTTTCATCCAAAAACTTACAGGTAGTTTAGTATTAATAAATTAATGCTTAAAGCATTGTAAACTCGTAATTGCATAAAGTGTTCACGGTTTATGTAAATTTGTCAACTTTGCAAAATATTGAAAAATGCAGAAATGTTGGAATGTTTTTTTGTGGATTTTGTTAAATGACAATTTTTTATATCCAATTGCTATCAAAAGTGTTTTATTTTTTCTACCAAATAATCATACTAAAATTTGCCTCGTTAAATATTAAACCCGGTTCCTTTTACACCGTCCAAAATTCATAATTCGGACCGGAAAACAAAAATTCATGGAAAATTCCCCACTAAAAATATCTGTATTGCTTAAATTCCTAAATTTCCACATTATTTTCAAATTAGGGTTCCTGGTTTTTTCATATCTAATCCAAAATTCATGCAATTTTTTTCGAAAACTCACAACTTGTTTTCTCAATACTCATCTTCTTCACGTAGCTCAACAAGCAATTCACAAATTGCAGAATTTCACCCTCCTTCGTCTCCACCTGGACGAGACACAAGCTCTAATTCTATTGTTTTATAATACATTTTCAGATTTCATAATTCAGCCCGGAAAACAAAAAATTCATGGAAAATTCCTCACAAATTTTGTTAAAAATTCATTATTGTTTTTGTACAAAATCATGAAATTCTCCACTAAAAATATTCTTCATAAATTTCTGATAATTTCGTCAAAAATTCTGAGTTGTTTTCTTTACGGAAAACAAAAATTCCTAAATAAATACTCGTTGCCTAAACTTTTTTACATTGTTCAAAATTCATGATTTAAAAAAAAACAAAAAATATTCTTCATAAATTTCTGATAATTTCGTCAAAAATTCTGAATTGTTTTCTTCACATGCCAAAATTTTGCCTGTTTCATTACACAATTCTTTTACATTATTCCAAATTCCAGATTCAGACCGGAAAACAAAAATTTCGTACTAAAAATATTGTTTAAATTCCTAAATAAATACTTGTTTCCAAAACTTTTTTACATTGTCCAAAATTCATGATTTAAAAAAAGAACTCACTAATTTTCCGAATACTCGTTCTCCTCACGTAGCTCAACAAGCAATTCACAAATTGCAGTATTTCTCCCTCCTTCGTCTCGAACTGGACGAGACAGAGCGTCGTCAGGGTGTACGCCATGAGCCAAACGGTATTTAGAATTCGCAACACGAGGGGAAAGTAGCCGCGACTCATGGCCTGCATCAGTCTCCCGGCGGCCAAAACGTTCATGAAAAGGTTGATAAATTTATGAATTTTGAAATAAAAACGGTGTCGTCTTCCGGCCCTTTTGACACACTTTTCTTGCGAATCCCAATCGAAGGGGAAGAGTTTCAAGCCACTCCCCACGTCGAGGAGGTGACACACGGCAGAGATTCCTTTTGGGGTCAACATCTTTGCGTCATCTGAACCTCGGAACCATCAGTTGAGCGAAGTTTTTATAGGAATCTGCATATTTACAGGGTTTCGTTTCTAGAGGGTTAATTTGCTGAATTTTTGCACTGTACACTCTAAATAAATTTGATTAAAATTAACTCAATTTTGAGTAAAATTGCCACCAAAGCAACTATTGAGTAAAATTTACCCTGACAAAGGTAAAATATACTCAAAGTTGAAAGATTTTTGCTCAACTTTGAGTAAAATTTACCTTTGTCAGGGTAAATTTTACTCAATAGTTGCTTTGGTGGCAATTTTACTCAACTTTATTTACAGTGTAAAATAAGAATTGCGAGGTGCACGAAACTGCAAGAAACATGTGCTGTGTAGCCACACGTAATATGGCATTTCTTAATAATTTAACATATTTCTTACTCTGCGTAGTAAGAAATGCAAGAAATTTGCAAGAAACAGGCACCATGTTTTTTTTGCGGATTTGACGCCTTTTTTGGCCTGAAATGGGACAAACGCTAGAAATGCTAGGTGTCCATACCTGTTCAAAAATTTAATTTTCATTCAAAAATCAGTCATCCCGATTTCAGACTGAAGATTTTCAGTCATTTTCGCTCAAATTCATTTCATTTCACTTCATCGGACTTCATTTCTTACTTCGCCGCATGTATTAAGCATAGGGTGAAAAATGAAATGAGTGAAAATCCTTTCATTCACAGTCATTCATCCGAAATGACGGAATCCTTCGGTCATTTTCATTCACATGACAGGAAATTCATTTTCATTCACTATCATTCTTTATCATAATCAGTTAAATGAATGAAAGTGAACAGGTATGTAGGTGCCAGAAAGTGCAAGAAATATGCATTATCTATAGATAATGTCTATAGACACGCGCCGTGTGAACTATGTATGCGCGACGGAGCGTAGTTTCTTGCGCCTTGCATTTCTCCCAGGCCAAAATATTTACCTGCAATAAACCACTTTCTCCCCCTTATTTCTTGCACGTGGTTACTTATTGAACCCGAAACCCTGCAGATTTCCTACCCACGCACTTTTTCCTAAATCACTATATTTTCTAGCCACCCAATTTACTCCATTACTTAATGGTCATCACATTTTGTGCGCATTTCTTTACGCAAATATTTATCGTAACCCGGACAAAATAACTTAAGCCGAGGTTATCAAACGTATCGCAACGACGTACTAACAATGGAGGCGCAAACCATGTTCAGCCCAGATAATTTTTTGACCTTATTAGTTTGAAAGAGCAAGTCTTTACAAACAACATTTGGTTCGGCACTTGGGCAGATGCGCAAATTTCAGCACGTTCTGGGCGCCGCAAGTTCGCACAAACGCACGAAGTTGAACTCGCGCTGGGCATTGCCCGAAAAATCGTGCGTTTTTGCGAACTTGCGGCGCCCATAACGTGCTGAAATTTGCGCATCTGCCCAAGTGCCGAACCAAATGTTGTTTGTAAAGACTTGCTCTTTCAAACTAATAAGGTAAAAAAATTATCTGGGCTGAACATGGTTTGCGCCTCCATTGTTAGTGTAAACTGAAACTGTTATTGTTACTGGTACGAAAATTATATATGCAAATATTGACCGCCAAACAGTAACTGATCCAGAAATTGCTTTCCGATGGAAAATACCATGATGCCCACTGGACTGGAATAATACGTAACTTTACAATCTCTGCCCGGTTGTTGGGTACACAAAGCATTATTTTATTATGGTTGCACTACCGTCATAACAAAATAATTTCTGTCATAATTCGGAGAAATGTTTACACTCTTAAAAATGGTAGAGTCCGATATATACTCCGTACTGGTATTGATCTGGTAATGACTTCTTACCGGGGATTGGTAGTAATTTGTTTTGCATTGGTAAATTTGTCATTACCACAACTTTACGAAACCGTAATGCCCGTTATTACCAGTGGCGTAAGAATCATGTATGTATATACACTCTTAGAAAACTGGTATTAAATTATTACTGACCGGAGTACATATATGACTCTACCGGCACTGGTATTAACGATCATAACCGCTTGGTAAATTCTGGTAATGAAAAATTAACTAGTCAGAAACGAATCACTACCAATTACCAAAGCTATACCTTAGCGGAGTATATATGTGACTCTACGAGATTTTTAACAGTGTATGCACTCCGGTCGCAATAACGATTTAATACCAGTTTTCTAAGTCACAACCCCAAACTGGTACACTCAAAATAAGGTAGTAATGAATCATTACCATGCGGAATGACTATGTGTCTCTACCACGTCGGTTATGATTTGTCGTTGAAATGGTAATAATAATTTCAGCGAAATTCAAATTCATTACCAAATATTAAAGAAGTGAATACCATTATATATTAAATTTGAATTTCCCTGAACTTATTATTACCATTTCTACGACAAATCGCTACCGACGTGGTAGAGACACATAGTGATTCCGCATGGTAATGATTCATTACTACCTTATTTTGTGTGTATGGATTTGGCAATAAGTTCTTATGTACCGAACTGGTAGTAATTTGTTTCTCCGTTGTAAATTTGTCATTACCACAACCTCACTGAATGGTAATACCCGTTATTACCAGTGTCGGTAGAGTCATGCATATATGTACTCCAGTCAGTAATGATTTGATACCAGTTTTCTAAGAGTGTTACAGCTTTTACCAGAATATAAACTTAGCTTATTATTGATCACAGTAGACCATTTATAATTTAACTTAATTAATTTAAAGTGTATTTGTCTTGTAATTATTTTACTCGAATATTGTATTTACGAAATTCATACATACATAATCAAAATACGACGTCAGCAATAAATATGGTCGTCAATCCATAAATAAATAAGAAATTTCCAGTATTGTTTACAAGTTCATTAAGTCTGCACAATCATAAGCGTGCACAAAACACGATCAAAAAGCCAGCCAAACAGCGTCGTAAGTCAGATTATTAATCTAGTGACCAGTAATATTCTAAAAATAGCTTTTTGTCCTTCAGTTTCATGTAATAAAATCAATACGTAGGAATTTAGCGTAATAATTTCTCCAAGTTATACAAATTTTGAGTTGAATTTACGTAACTCTTGAGTTGCAGCAAATTTACTTCAAAAATTTGAACATTTTCGAGTGCAATGATCAAATCTGAAAAATCTTTATCTTATATACATAGGTAATTTATTTCGAACGTTGGAATATTAGATTTAAACAATTAAGTTTGAGAGATATTTACATACCTGTTCAAAAAGTATTTATTCATTCAAATTCAAGATTCATTCAACTGGATAAAATAATTTATTCATTATTCGTTTTTTATTGTTCGTTTTACAAGTTATGCAAATTTTTAGTTACATTTATTAAATAACTGTTGAGTTGCAGTAAATTTACTTACAAAATTTGAGCATTTTCGACCCCAACGATCAAATCTGATAAAGCTTTATCGTATATATTTCTCCAGCATAATTTTTTTGGACGTTGAAATATTACATTTCAACATCAGTCATTCACAAAAACTATACAAAATTTGAGACATAATACCTGTTCAAAAAAATATTTATTCATTACAAAATTTCATTGAGAAATTTAATAACATTATTCAAGAATTATTCGTATGAAGTTAAGTTTGAAAAAAATGGTTATTCATTCATTATTTATTATTCATTTCACAAGTCATATTATTTAATGTGACAAATATTCTGTTTCAGTTTCAGTATCATATAACAAAATCAATGCGTCGGATTTTAGAGTAAAGATTTATCAAAGTTGTTTAGATACTGATTTGTATTAAATTTATTGTTAAAATTTCAAAAATTTTTAGAAGGTGCAAATTTTACAAGTTTAATTAAACACATTTGCATACTTTTTTTACGTAATTTTACATGTTTAAGTTTACAACATAACTTTACACTTACAATTAGTCACAAATCAGACAATTTAATGTGACCATTAATAATTTTCTCTATTTCTGATTCAGTTTCACGTAACAAAATAAATTTGTATGATTTCGAACTAAAAATTTATCTCGTTACCGACAACTTATCTAAACACGTTTACTCTAATAAACTTGTTTTAAAGAAATTTTTTCCGACTTTGAAATATGCAACTAAAAATTTTAAAGTATAAAAAAATTATCTATAAATTTATAAAATTTAATTATTTACCAATTTAGTAACTTAATTCAAATTTAATTTAATCTAATTTCTACTTTTGCAATCATCATGCCATATTCAGCTTATTTTAAACAAGTTTTAACTATATTTGTTTCACATAATTTTGTTTGTGTCTTTGAAATTTACACTATAAATTTACCGTGCATTTTCTCCTGTTCGGATGCAAATATCTCTGCCAAACGTGCCCATAGGGAGATCATGTCTTTCCCAAATTTCATACTAATTAAATTTCTGATCGACTGATACTAATTTGCTCAAAATCTATCAACTTTTTTCCTAAAATGAACACCAAATTGTATAATTTTGTAATTTAATAAGCGTAATATGATTTATAGATAGATGTCCCTTCCAGTCCTCATGTGAAATTTAAAACACTTGAAACACTCGCTTGAATTCCTAATCGAATATGCGCGACCAATAACCCCTTTTAATAAATATTTATGAACGAAAATTGACATTTAAAAATGAAATTTAAAATGTGAAATGTTTATTCATATGCAAATATTGAGTTGCGTTAAATTAATTACGAAAATTTCAATATTTAAAAGAGCAAAGGCCTGGTTATTTGGCCAAGTTTATAATTCAACATTTTTGTAGTACAGAATTTTTTCTGACATTGAAATACTACATGTTTTTTTAGAAAGCACATAAGTGTGAGATAGCGAACATAGATCTAAAAATTCGTTCTGTCATTTTCCTCATAAAATTTCAGTCCATAATTTTTTTTTAAATTTTACACCGTTTAAAAAAATTGGATTTAATTCATAATTTTATGTATTGCCTGTAATTCGTTGTAGTAAAAATATTATGAGAAAAATTGGTA